TCACCAAGATCGGCTGGATAGGGGCCGAGATAGCATTTTAGGCCATGTCCGCCATCTTGGATTTCTGAATTTTCAAAATTTGACCCGAAATTCGAGTTTCCCGTCCGAAAATACCCTCGGATACCAAGTTTCACCAAGATCGGCTGGATAGGGGCCGAGATAGCATTTTAGGCCATGTCCGCCATCTTGGATTTCTGAATTTTCAAAATTTGACCCGAAATTCGAGTTTCCCGTCCAAAAATACCCCCCGATACTAAATTTCACCAAGTTTCCACCGAGCTTCGCCGCGCGCGCGTCAATCAAGTGGAGATAGCGCCTTTTGATTTAATTCGGAATCCGGGTTAGCGCATTAAATCAAAGGGAATTACATGTAGTTCCTTTTGATTTTATTCGTAATCGCTGATTCCCTGTTTTGCGATTTTTCAGGGGCTGATTCCAGGGGATGAAATTAGTATTTTGGGGGCATATTTACGTGTGAGAGCAGCCTATTACATGGAGAATCCAGATCCGTTAAAAACTGAAATTTGGAAATTTGGCGCTTAGTTCCCTTTCGTATAAATACGTCCAGATTATGGGAAAAGTCAGGAAAATTATCAGTAAGAAATGCTCAAGATTTTCTTGGTAAAAATGCAATTTGCGGGGGGATATTTAGCAACGTTAAATGGACTGAGTTAAGCAGAAAGGAACCAACCCACATTTTGGAAAAAATTGAGTTATGAGTGGTTTCAAACTCAACCACTGCTCAACGATCTATCGCCAAAAATTCAAAGTTTTTGTTGGAGCAACTTTTGCAGAAATTGAACTTGAAGTTTATCTTTTACATTGAGTCTTATGCAGGCGCCAAACTTTAAATCTCTTTTTCTCGGTTCGATCCCGATGTGGCTTGGTTCCTTTCTGTTTAACTCTGTCCAAATACAGTTACGTTCTATCGTTCATGTATAAGTAGCTCCTGAGAGTTCTACGTACACTCCACGGTTCTACCACACTTTATGTTTCTCGATGTTTATTATCTGTACCTTTCGAGGCGGCTCTAAGTTTCACATTTTGATGACTACCCTCATCGGCTAAACCCAGGTTGATGATGATGATATCGATGGAATATCATTAGACAGGACATCAGGAGAAGTTCTGAGCCTCCAAGTCAACTTAGCAGACTACTGTCTTTATACTTATAGGGCATAAATGCTTGAAACAAACTTGTTTGTTGCGCGGTGGTAGTGACCCAGTAGTTACGAACAATTAAAGTCGATGACGGTGACATGAAACCATTGTAAAGTCTTTTGGTACATTTTACCCGATTACATTTTATCTTACTCGACCCTCAACTCGGAGTCTTATCATACCAAAAAACATGGTTTGAGGAACAGTGATACGAGGATGGTAATCATCAGCATTCTATGGTAGCAAGTACTATAACTCCAACTGTATTCACCGAATGTAAGGTAAATGCTGCCAGATTTTTAGTTATTCTTATATTCTACATTATTACTGTCAAAAACCAAGTAGAGGCACTATATTTACCATGTATTTCTGGTAAAATTTACCATTTTTTAAATTGAACTTATATTACTCCAATCGGGATTCATCAATTGTTTTGTTTTTCTAGAATCTTTTCTGGTTCCTTCTATTTGGAGAGTACCTTGATTTTTTACGTCGTCTCAGCCATTTCTGGAGTCACTCACGCTTTGCTATGGACAGGTCAGGGTGTTTACCTCATCGAAAACTCCACACCAAAAACAGTTGTTCGGGACTCATCAATATTTTGGTTTTTGTATCATATCTCGTAAGTACTTCACCCTATCTGTTCAGTCGTGCCGAGGAAAAATGTAATATGAGCTTTCAGACGTTGCCAAATATCTTCTGTGAAAACACAAATTTTCAGGAAAATTTGTGAATATTTTTCATCTATTTTTCTTCCTTTTTTCAGAGGAGTTTTATAGAAGGCAGATCTAAATTATCTGAAAATTTCAAGATGAAATATTCATAACTCTCCTTACAAATACTGATTTTATCGGAGAAAATTTGGCAACTCTCGAATATTCGTACGGCATTTTTCTTTAGCACGGCAGTATTCGTCACTAGGACTATTAGGCTGGCATTTAAATGCGTTTGCATTTAGTTTAAGTTACCCTAATAAAAATAAAATATTGAATAGTTTGTACATTGTTGTCAAATGATTTGCAGTGTAATTTAGAGAACGATGTGCACAATAACCATCGTTTAAAGCAATGTCTAAGTAGAGGCGGATCCAGTTTTTTCGAACGGGGCGGAGTGGAAGGGGGTCCGGAGATTCCCGATTCCCCCCGGAAAATTTTCGAAATTTGAAAGCGTCTTATATGGCGTTTGAGTCAGTATCGTCTTACATATTTACCAAATATAGGCCTCTTTCCTTTTACTCTCCTCCGTTCCTCCCTTCTTTCTTACATCTCTTCTTCTCTTTCACTCTACATTTCTTCCAATCATTGAGACCATTACCTTCCGAATTTGTGCTGTTTTTTGTAGCAAACCCTGTGACCTAACTTACGGCCATAGCTGCTGAGGTATCGTTTTAAAATAAATAAATTCTAGTACCACTGTTACTATAAAAACCTCCTATTTTGAGTGAATTGGGGGGGGGGGGCTACGCCCCTGACGTCCCCCTTGGATTCGCCTTTGCTTTTAACAAGAAGCTATATTATGGCTATCGTATAGTGATAACTGTTCTCTGAGTGAAGAAAAACGGATGGCATCAGCAGAGATATATTGAGAACCGAACAAAGGAGGCTTTGTACGTTGCTCAATGGGATATTGGACGGCGCTTGTAGTTTATGTTGTCGATAAATTAATTGATGAGGAAGTAGAGCAATGCATGGTTCAAGAGCAGCTCATTATGTCAACTGCGGGTATAGTCAAACCGAAGCGCCGCTAATAATCTTTACCCTACTCTCCTTGGCCTCGCAAAGCTTCAGAGATGTGACAGCAGTCCTCCTGAGAAAAACTCCTCGTGAAAACCAAGTCAAGATGGTGAAAAGCTGCAACTTATAACAAGTATATTGCCGCAGGTTTTAGTAAGAGATGCTCCTTCAATCAATAGATAGGCAACATTTACAACACTCCGAGGCAGTAACAATACTTCTACAATGTAATTGCAATTCATGCAACGCTATGCAATAAAAGGTTAAATAAAATTAGCTTTTTCTCCCGTAGGGTAGTGAAAGAATGGATTGACGAGGGCGAAATTAAATTGAGTGATTCTCTTCTGTCCTGCTTTAGGCCTGTATTGGGAAATGTTTCTGCTTTTTGTACGTTGGCAGGGAAGTCGAGCGTGGACGCGGGGACCCGGGTCATGATCCTCGACGTCATGAACGTCATCCTGGCCCTGTCCGTCGTCATGTTCTGCTTCTTGCCGGCCTCGAGCCCCCGGAGGAAAAACCCCGACCAGGCCGCCGCCGTCACGGACCCCGCTAGCGAGCCCAAGCCAGAGGATTGCGCCGAAGCCCTCAGGCAGGCCTGGCTCGTCTTCACTGATACTCACATGCTCGCCCTCATGATTCTCTTCGTTTATTCAGGTTCATAAAGTTTTCTCACTCTCATCGATATTTTGCACACAGGAAAAAAAAGTAGCTTGGATGTAGAGTCCTAGACTCTAAAAACATTGACAAGAAAAATATCTTTGATTTAATCGGAGTGTTGCTTGAATCGAAAGGAACTCCGCTTATATCAAGAGGCTTGGGCTTTCGATTCAAGGAAAAATCCAATTGAATCAAGAGTATTTTTTCCTGTCAATGTTATTAACAGTCCAATCGGCTAAAGAATCACAAACACCACGTGGACTTAGACACTTGATTGCCAAACTTCTTGAAATAGAGAATTTTCAGGTGTCTGACGTTTGATGAATTTCGTGTTTATACGGAAACTACTGAGTAAATTGAACACGAGGATACCATTGGTTCATGAATTGAACAATTATTATAGAGGATATGACAAAATGATCCAATCTGCTAAAATACGTGTTTAAACGGAAAATGCCACCAGATGACGTTACTTGGCTGTGCATTTTCTCACTTTTAAATCGATTTTTATGGTATTTCCCATATCAGAAAAAAACGATAAAAAATACTGAGAAATCAGCTCTTTAAGCACTTTCAGATGAAGCAATAAAAAATGCAAATTCTACATTTGTCGTAACCTTCATAAAGAACGTTACTACATTTCAATGTTGCCAAATTTCCCCTCACAAAATGCAACTATACCAGTAGAATCTTGGGCATTTCCAAATGAAAATTTTACTGATTTTTCCTCTGATATCATGCTAAAATCAGAAAAATTTTGGACACACATTGCTCAAGTACATTCTTGTAAAAAAGTGTATTGTCAGAGTCATCACTCACCATCAAATAAATCACGTAGTTCCCCTCCCCCCTTCATGTTCACCGACCCCCGGGTAACGTATTCAAATTTCAGCATTCATTTTCAGCATTCAGCACAAAAAAAAAAACAAAAAAAATGAAGTTTATTTCAGTAAAATGTAGCGTACAAAAAGTTGACTTGAAATTGGATTGCATTTTGCAAAAAGGAACCACTAGCATTGCAATGATGCTAAGATTGTGCAACTTCATCTTTTGCAATAAAATTGCGGAAAAAGTGAAAAACTATGAAATTTAGATGGTAATTTTTATCTTAAATTTACAGTTTTTGCGAGTAAAATAGAAACTATTAATGGATAATCGGATTTTTCCTCCAATACAAAGGAAGTTGCACAATCTTAGCAACATTGCAATGCTAGTGGTTCCTTTTTGCAAAATGCAATCCAATTTATTGTTTACATTTAACCTGAATGAGTGATAAAACTTCTCTTCCCCCTCACGCAACATTCCAGTCGCGTTGTTTCTATCTGCTTTTTTTCGGTGTAAAGTTAAAACACTACAAAAACCATCGATGATTTTTGCAGGTCATGTTTAAACTTCATTTAATGCTCTCATTTAATTTCCAGTGCTCGTGATTCTGAAACGAGCGGCTGGTGACTTGGCAGTTTCATTTCCATCACCTCGCTAGGCAACTTTGTTTTGAACAATTCTTGTCAAAATGCGCGCACATTTCAGTCTCAGCTAAAATAGTGTCTTTGGGACAAGATACCTCGACCTTGAACAAAAAACCTCAGTAAAAATATCCTCTTTCTTGTTGATCCAGCGTAATTTATCATAATTCACGAGACAGATAAACTTCATACCTAGGTTTTTATCCAGTGGCTGGGTCTTTGATATAATTGAGCCAATTTAATGTTGCGATATACCTTAACTTGAGTTGCGATACTATTAAAATTAATCGGAAATGTCCGTATCATTCAACGAATGGGGATCGTGTAACAATTTTAGGGTATGACTCCCTACAAATTTTCCCAGGTTTTCGTCTTACAAGATAGTCTCACAAACGATGAGAACGATTAAAGGACATTTCGTCAACGATTTTTTGACCGAGCATATGTTTTTTCCAGTAGTTTAAGTCCACGCGTTTTTTTTGTCACCGGAGTTTTGGTCCACTTACCAATTATTGAGACCTAAAGTTAATTAACTTCAACATGGTCGACATGTAAATACAAACAACATTTGCTCACGACGTTTTTGGATGAAATGTATAATGTTTTGGAAGAATGAGGATTTGCTCGTTTTTTGTTTGTTTAGTTGGCCAAACGGAAACAAATATATAATTGAGAATTTTGGCGTCAATTGAGATGTTGCATGAGTGAGGAATTTGCGATTTGACTATTGATTCTCATGTAAAAGTTCGCGAGAAACACGATGTGGCCACTGGTTTTCTCTGATATTAACTCCGAAGCTCAAAAAAAGCTCTCAAACTGAGGCCAAAATGGTGGGGATATCCCACGCTATTCTGAGAGTCCACCTCTACATCAACACAAACTCTCCATGCAAAGATAGGGAGCAAATACATTGACAGGGCTGCCACTTTATTTGGGGACTCTAAAATTGAAAACACGGCATCACTGCTAATGTATTAGATCCCTATCTTTGCATGGAGAATTCGTCTTGATGTAGAGGTGGACTTTCAGGATAGCGGGTTATCCATTATCCCCTCCATTTTGGCTTCAACTTGAGAGCTGTTTGTGAGCTTGGGAGTGGATTTCAGAGAAAACCGGTGGCGCTATCGTGTTTCTCGTGAACTTTTACATAAGAATCAATAGTCAAATCGCAAATTCATCACACATGCAACATCTCCATTCCATGAGGGAAAATTCACTAAAACTCTCTATACCTCTTTGGTGCAACAGAACTTAATTAACTTTCAAGAAAATCCCATCTTCTTATACCTGAAGCGGATGTACCTTTTGATTTTCCTCAGCAGCCGGCGTGCCGCGGCGCTTCAAACTACTAATTCGACATGGAGGTGTTGCACAGTATCATACAAGATTGAAGGCACCCCAACGTATCATGATTGATGGCATCTTTCAAAAGCACGAAGTTCCTTCGCAAATTAAATTGAGTGACGACAAAAAAAAAAAGAGAGCTGTAGTCGAAAAACTTGCTAAGTCCTAGTATCTGGACCCAGCAACGTTTAGCATGTGAACGTAATTAGAGGAAAAAGTGGCTTGATTCAAGCAGAAATATGCTCAAATTTACCGCCGAGAAGATTTCCTTATAAATCAATTAAGAAAATAATGCCCGTTTAGAGAAAAAAGGATGTTTAAATAAAAAGAAAAGTCACTCAGATCAAGCAGAAACCTGCTTTTATTCAGCTATTTTATTCTTGATTCAAAATAAAATCTTCTTGACGGCATACTCAAGAATGTTTCTGCCTAAATCGAGTCACATTTTTCTCTAATGAAATTCAAAAATTATGTTAAACGTTATTAAATACGGATGCTAGGACTAAGTGAGTTTTTTAGATTACCGCTCTCTTTTTGTAACGTAGTATCTTGATTTATTTTGCAAGGAAAGCTCTGTACCCCTAAAGAAAGCTTGCCATTCTTGATACGGTGGAGCGCCTTCAATCTCGTATGATACTGTGCAACACCTATGTCGCGAAATAGTTGCTTGAAACGCCGTAGCACTCTGCGGCGAGGCGGGCGACCAGCGTGGCACGCGCATAGGCGCCTACAAACCTAACAGGGATACTTCACGCATTGCGCAACGCGCTCTGTGATAGGCTCTAATATTTAAACTCGCGGAGTCAGCGTTTTTTAACTCATGATTTTGAAATATTTGCACGCTCTGCACGGATTATTCTCATTTAAATTGATGAAGAAAAAAAAATATTTATTAAAGGAAAATATAACGTTTGTTTTGAAAATATTAAGGTGGTTCCGTGTCTAATTTAATGATTTCCAAAGCTTTTGAATATTTCTTTTATATTTTGTTCATGCTTTTACTGTGCTGCAGCGTGGTGTATTCGCAATCAAACGCTCAAAATTGGACGTAAAAGATCGATATAAAAGTGGGTTAAAACCAAAGATTGCGTCCTCCTTGGTTTTTTCTCTCTCTTTTTATTTTTGTATAGTTCCTTCCAACACAAGTGCGGCTCATTGAGATTAATATCGATGCCATCGCTTGGAAAAGGTTTTACAAACGTTTGCAACGTTTTAAAAATATAATGTTTTTAAAATAAAATAATATTATCATTTAAAAAAAGGAATATATTTACGGTATATTTTAAATCAACAATTTTATAAATAGAAATAAAACCAAATATTCACCAATGAAAATTTGAAACATGAATCAAAAAAAGAAAGTGATATTTCATTTAAAAAATGAGTTACTATAACATGATATTGTCAATATAATTTTACATATGGACTGAAATATATCCTTTGGACCAAGTCACTGTTTTTTCACTCTACGCGTGGACGTAAATTACTGGACTAAACAGGTGCCCGGACAAAAAATCGTTGACGGAATGTCCTGAAACCATGTGAATGAACTCAGATTTATTGTTGGTGCGCATTTTTTTCAGTTAAAATAAATGTCTCTGTGTTTTAGGTTTACAAATAGCTTACTCTGAGACTATCTACAACTCAAGTGTTGGCTTTACGCTCAGCCTGAGTCAAAACGTGAAAGAGCTGGTACCGCTGACGGGTATCTTCAATGGAATTGGAATATTACTGGGTGAGATCTTGAGAAAAATTCAAAATTTTGGCTTTATCTGTGCCTAGTTATAGGAAGGGCCACTAAACAAGGTCTCAACTTTAGAAGAACATAACATGCATTTTCTTTAAAATTTTATGTTAAAAACGACTTCGACGGGAAATTTGGAAATCAGAGTGGCACGCGCATAGGCGCCTACAAACCTAACAGGGATACTTCACGCATCGCGCAACGCGTGAAGTATCCCGTTAGGTTTGTAGGCGCCAGTGCGCAATCCGCTCTGTGTTAGGCTCTAATATTTAAACTCGCGGAGTCAGCGTTTTTCAACTCATGTTTTTGAAATATTTGCACGCTCTGCACGGATTATTCTCATTTAAATTGATGAAGAAAAAAAATATTTATTAAAGGAAAATATAACGTGTTACGTGTATACGTGTAACCTGATGTTATTATCTCGTTGAGAGGTTAACCTCTTTATTAACCTCTTTACTCGAGGTTTATTATGGGTTCATGGGCGCCAATTTGAGTTCCTCTTGAGGAATTTAGAATCCCGGATAGCGCGTTCTGTCAAACGGAACTAAGCGCCATGGAAAAGCATTACGAGTATAGGAACGAATGAGCCCGACGCCCGGTTCGCCGCCAATCCAAGCCCCCCTCTACTTTCCTACCCCGATGGCGCTTAGTTCCGTTTGACAGAAATACATCCATTTAAAGAACATCGAGCAGAATTATTTGCAGCCTCGAGTGTAATAACCTATCCCGTTCCTGTCTAGGTGTGTGCATTCAAACACTACAGCAAGCGAAGGCTTTCAACTGGACAAACTCCGTATACCTGACAATTGGAATACAATTCCAACTAATATGCTACGTTTTGACAGGGCTAAATTTGCCGAACGAATCGGCATTTGGCGATACGCAGAAAACTGGCGTTCTCTTCAACAGGTAAAGTTCATGAAGACTTGTAAGTTTTCTTTTGCTTTTTTTTACGGATATTGCACTTAAAATCCCGAATATTGAAATTTTTGAAAGTTGAAATAAGATCCGAAAGTTTCATTGTTATGACGTTGATTGGACGGAGTTAGCCGCAATCGGCCTAATTGTCTCTCATGTTTTATTTTTTTAAACATAAAACAGCAACACTGAAAAAAATAAAAATTTCATTGAAAGATCCAGAGGTAACTTTTTTGATTATGTGTGTTACAGTGTTCCCCTCGCACTTTTATCCAGCGTTTTGTTGGGAATCGGGAATATGAGCATCCAAACGTACGTCTCATCATTGATTGCCACGCTATTTTGGGAGAGGAGTTCTCAAGTGAGCGCTATCTTTAACTTCTCCGAGGTAAGAAGTTGCATTTTTACATACTCATACACGACCTCAAGTACGCAAAATAACAAATCGATTGACGGGCATCAGAAATAAAATTTCTTGACTATCGCCTATATCGATACCCGCAAAAATCATAAAAATCGGCCCGGTAGATCTTTGGAGCGAATTGTGACGAAAAATAAGCATTTACTTTCTTTCAATGGGAGACTTCACAACCATATCATGTAATATGTACAAAAACCTGCGTCACAGTCTCAATAAAGTGGGCTCATTCAGGGACTATCACCTGTCAATAGCCGCCAAAATTCATGGTAATCTGCCCGGTAGAACGGTGAAACAAATGTCAACAAAAAATAAGAATTTAGGGGGTCTGAGAGCTTAAGGTAATTATCAAATGAGGGAAAAAAACAATAAAAAATATGGACCGACCTGTGTGTGACAAGGTAGTAAAATTGTGCTGGGTTCACACTATTTTACGAGGATAGCAAGGCCAAAAAGTTCGAAAATTCTTCAATTAATTCAACAATTTTTGAGCTCTGATGGGTATCAATGCCAGGCCGAGAGGGAATTCAAATTTTTGACAAGAGTTGAACATTTTTTGAGCGTTTTCGCTTTCCTCGCAAAATAGTGTGAAGCCAACACTATAACCTTGTTATGATTAAATTACGTTATGTTTTTTTTTTTTTTTATAGTTCGTATGGAGCGCCGTTTGCTTCATCTATAGCACCCGGATAGGTCTTTACGCTCAACTTGTCATCCTCATCATAACCGCAATCTTAGGCAACATCGTCTACATTTTAGTAGAGACCCGTGTGAGGAAAAGAAGAGACGCAGCATCAAGAAAAACAGCGGTAAACTGTGATGTAGAGAATAATAATCGGAATAATGAATTAGTCAGAAAATTAAAAGACAGCTACGTTAGCGCAGAGATCATGACATTCAGAATGCTTCCTGAGGAGTGAAAAAAATCAATGATTTGATTTCATCAAACATGAAAAATCAGTAAAGATCCGTTCAAGGATCATAACGACAACGTTACGTATTGAGGCATTGCGAGTGGTCAGCTCCAACATCACAGGTTTTAGCGAGTTTGTCATTGAGTACGTTTATATTGTGGTAGTACCTAACCCTCCTGCATTTCGATGGCCGAAGTTAGAGTGCCAAAAGTATGGACAGCGGTGTGATTATTGAAATTGATAGACAAAGGAGACGAAAGAGATATGGAGGGATCCTATTAGTGGAAGCGGGTGGTTGCAATGGATAAAGGATGTAGTTAATAGACCAACTAACGGCAACCCACGAGAGACCCGATAGTTAGCCCATCATTTTCTCCCTTAGTCTACAGGAACCATCCATATCAACCAATAGGATCGCTCTATACTCCTTAGGTCTTCTTTGTATATTGCTTTGTCTATCAATACAATTTGTCAATACAATTCTTTGCATATTAATTTGTCTATCAGTTTCCATAATCGGCCCACAGGTGTGAAACTCCGAAAATCCATCAGACTTTCACCGATGCCCTTGCGAATAAAGTCAGGGCCCAAAGGGGCAGCGAACCTACATGATTTTAAATTTCCCAGAACGATTAATTATTACAACTGTTACGACTCGTCGTTTGTGAGGCATCTGTTTGACTTATGGTTTTTGCATGAATTTACTCATTTCTGCGGGAGAAAGCTCATTATTTATAAACATTCTCGGCTATTTTGCATTGATTTTGGGATCTGAGGATTGGCAGTGGCATTCCGTGTGTGTGGGGGTTTGCTGCCCTTTTAGAACGATTTGTCCATACTCTTGCTGTATGCACAGCACAGGTACTCTAGTCAAAGTGGGAAACCACGTATCTCCGTTGCGGTGTCTCAAAAGCTCTGCCTTTATTTTATTTTTTCGAAGAGAAGCAGGCAAACTTCAGAGCTTAACATTTGTACAACATATTCTCCTAACAGAGAAGACAAATCAAAAGGTTTGCAATAAATTACGTCGAATCGCTTCCCGAAGAAAAAATAAAGTATGACAGGAGGTTTGCGATGTCGCGAATGGATGTACGCGGTTCCGCATAATGGTCACTGATTTGTTCGATGTGTGCTCGTTTGCTCATTTATCTAGAATTGGCATTGCATCCCCGATCAAAAAGCAAAAGGGGGTGGTACTATAAATTGTGATTGAGTAACAATAAGGGGTATGCAATTTCTTAGCTCCGAATTGAAGGTAGAGGAGCTCCAAATACTCGTAAGTACTAAACCTGTGCGCGTCATTAAGTCATTAAACTAATCACTTTCCACCTTATTAGCTGATATATTTGTTTTGTAAAGAAAACAGCCATCGTATTCGATCCTAGAAAAACTCATTGTTACAAATGGACGTATTTCTATCAAACGAAACTATGTGCATTAAGACGTGAGCCTGTTATGTATTTATTATTATGGGTCTCAGGGCTCACGTCTTAATGCTCATAGTTCTGTTTGACAGAAATAAGTCCAAATACAACGATGAATATTCTCCAATAATAATTGTTAATGCAATCCAAAGCATAACAAACCTACCGAAGGAATAGTGATACGTTCCTCCGCTGAGGACGATTATTTTAATTGTGTAAGAGAACAATAAATATGTACGCATAATAGCTCCAGACTCATCAGTGCATGAATTGAATTTGGGTATTCCTAAAATGTAACAAAGGATCATTTTTCCATCATTCTGCCTTCCGGTGTTTCAAGTAAAAATCACAATTTGTAATTTACCCTCGCAATCAGAGAAACTTAGGGGTAATCCACAGGCCTGAGAGGTGAAACTGTAAAAAATGCGGTAGATACGCACTCTCGTAAGGAGTCAAAGGTACTAACTTTATAGTGTTTACTTATACTCTTACGTGTTATTCTTGGAAGTGAATGACATGATATTTCTTTGTTTTACCGCTAATTATTGACTCCAGCAATTGCTTATTGCATTGTTTTTAAAACCATAAGCACAGATGTCTTCCATAGTTGTAGCCTTTTTTTTTTTTTTTTTTTTTTTAAGCGATTTATTGCTCAAATTTTTTTCTAAATTTTACAAATGTGTATTATTTCAAGTCATATCTAATTAAAATTTTCCCGTCGATTTTTTTAAAATTCTGTTATTTTCAAGGTATTGCCTTAAAATTAATTCCAAACTATGGCGGCATTCTTTAAGTGTTGCCGGAAATTTCTTTAACATATATGTTGACTCAAAATTAAGACGGGAAAGAGCACAAATCTTATTACGGTTAAATGCGAAGGACTATGGTGCATGTGCTTCAAAATTTCAAATTAGCCCGTAGTTCAATTCATGCATTTTATTAGATGCTATAGTTTCAAGGACTCTTAAATTTTTGTAATATATGACCCTGAGGTTCTTGATTTTTTGGTACACATCATGATAAAATGGTTCGGAAAGATGTAGTTGATTAAGATTTCTGTAAGAATCCCATAAAAATTATACCGTCAACTTGTATTGCAATTCGTTGACAGTTTCTTTCAAAGCAAGGATTTTTACAGAACAAAAAAAAGTTTTTGGAGACGGTGCATGTGTATGTTAAGTTGCATTTATGTATGTGAAAACAGAGACATTAAGACAAACTTACAAAGTTTTGTCGTAAACAACAGCTGTTGTAAATACCTGCATATAGGCTGCAGGCTATATGCATTCCTATGGGGATGTAAGCTCAAGGCCGAATGAAATTAGTTTACGCAATTTCATTTGTCAGCGATAAATAGGTTTTAAGCCAAAAAACCTTACATGTAGACTGAGTTTAACCAGGTGCAATCAAACTAAAAATGTAGTTCGTATATTGCATTAGTACATGATGAGTCCAGTCTAGCTCTATTGTTGATAATACTCCAATATTTTCAAGAATATCAATGAACTTGTTTTTGCGTTGAATCTTTTAATTCATCAATTCAATTTCACATCAATAGTTTAATTGAATTCAAACAATCAGTTAAAGTGAAGGGATATAAAAAAATGGACCAAACATAAACGATGAAACTTAAAGTGCGCATGAACTTAAGGCAGCTATACATTTAGAATTAACGTTAAAATACTATTTAAAACGAACAATAGCTATAATGTTAACGGCATTCGAAGAATTAATGTAAATATCAGTATGTGTTCATGTTTTTCAGTTTTTATTTACAAAGTTCAAGATGAAAGATTGTACAAAATATAAAAAACAATTGTTGGTTAAAAACATGGAACCTGAGCCTTTTTTCTTCCATCTCCCAGACCAATTATACACTACTTCTACCAAGTTTGTTGTACGAGAGGCGGTTGAAAAAGAAATATCTCCGATCTTTACTAATTGACGCATAAGAATGATTTTGGCAGTAAGCCTAGAGTTGACTTTAAGCTTGGAATCTACGCGTGGAGATCATGGAGGGCGGAATTACTGGACATAACAATCATCGTGGCAGCGTGTTCCTTGGGCATGAACTCGAGCTGCTCTTCGGGGGGATTTACCCTCGATGTTTTGCCCTCCTGCAATTTTGCCACGACTTTGCAATCAACGTATAAAAACAGGATTGCTCCCACTATCCCAAACGCTGCTAGGATACCGATTTGCCCGTGCAGGCCCATGCACTGAGGTAAGTAGTAGCTGAAACCACCGGCTCCAAACTGAAATAGAGCAGAGCACCATTAAGTTACGAAATCAGTGCTCCCATTCTATGTCCGTCAAAAGTTCCAGGATTCGGAACTTTTCTGTTCCAATTTCTCCCACTTCACGATCGTCAAAAGTTCCAGAATTCCCAATAGATTTTTTCAAAAGCTCTGAGAAGGTTCCGGAAAATGCAAAAGATCCGGAACATTTCAGGACTTTCAAAAGTTCCAGGAAACATTCAGGAAAATTTCAAAAGTTCACTGTCATTGTAATTTTCAAATTTAACTAAATGGACCACCAGACAAGGTACGAATTTAAGCATTCTGATACATGTATCTTAACCAAAATTTCACGTAGAACACGATTCGCGCAACGAATATTACTGAAACTAACTCCTAAAGGAGATTTCAACGTTTTTATTTCACATTGGTTACGAGGACTTTGAACTGCCCGCTCACAAGAAACTCAAAGCTCTACGTGAGTCAAATCGCGCACTACAACGATTTCAGCAAGCTTCTCAATCGAGCAATGTTCATTTCCCACCATTTGTTTTTCAAATTATAAGTAATTTGCGCATCGTGTTTTACGTGAAATTTTGATGAAGAAACATGTATCAGAATGCTGAAATTTGTATCTTGTCTAGTGGTCTATTACGCTTTATTGACCCAAGAGTAGGAACTTTTTAAATTTTTACGTCTCTCTTGTAAAATGCAATTTTAGTTTTTGAATTAAGAGAGATGCTGGATTCTCATGAAGATTCCCGCCGGTCAAAGTTCCTTGCCTGGAGTCCCTTGCCTGGACAGAGCGAAATTGACAAAACTATTTTGCGCAACTATTCGTGCTCTCAAGACGCTCATTTTGCCATCATGGTCATTGAAGGCAAACTCGACAGAATATACAGGTCACGCATTGAGGAGAGTAATGTACCTATACGTGTTTTGAATGCTGATTGTAACTGCATGAAATTTTCGCTATAGTGCGTGAGGCTCCGCCCCGTGTAAAGTACGAGTAAACTGCTAGTACCCGTTATTGATGAATACAATAATTGAACTTATTGGGTAACGGGCAAAATGTACTGATATGCATACTTATACGATGAGGATTATTTGCCCGGTTATGGAGTTTTAAGATTAAAGTTGAGATGCTTAGCGGAACGTTAGAAAAATAGAAATTCTCTTGAAAATAGATCTGATAATTTGTCGGCTGCTGAGTGTTGAGTTCCTGGAATAATGGCAAAACAAAAAACTTACCTTTACAAAATTGAAAACGGCCGAGCACTGAGAGCTTTCTTTTCTGAAAATTACGGCTGCCAAGTTGGTCGTGTTTGACAAAGTGTACATTTGGCCTATTCCCATAAGTACACTCGAGAGAAGACATATTGGAACACTAGAAAAATCAAGAATAAGTAGAAAACAGTACTAAATGTATCCCTTCTTTCAGGTATATTCTCATTGTTCTCAACATGATTTTGATTGCATTTCATTTTGATATTAGAAAGAGGGCCTCTAATAGAAAAAGGCTCTGATCGTAAAGGATTTGCTTTAGCTTGTTATTTCGACAATGACAGGTTGACAAAAAACAACATACGGCCGATAAAATTCCCAGAATTCTCAAAGGAAGAAAGTACGATTTATTTCATCTCTATCGCCGTTTTGATATTACTCGTGAAAAATAACCATTATAATGTTTTACGCTTACGATTCAACGAATAAAATCCTGCTTCTCTCAGAAAGTTTTTCAGAGTGTTTCTGAACGCAATCTAAATATTGTTAATTCCTTGCCCCTCTGCCATTAGGGCGTATCTTCATGTCCACGTGAGCCCTGTTTCACATATAAATCCATGCTTTCTAGGGCTCATGCAGAAATCAAGATATGCCCTTACGCAGATGAGCGACGAATTAACCCTTTGTTGCATGTGCTATTCGTCGATTTTGGAGAGAAAATCTATAATGTGCAGTATTTTTTCGACAACAGAGTCAGTTGGAATTGATTTTTGTAGTTTTATTTTTTTTTTAAAGTTAGGAGATCATACTTAAAATGCTGCCCAAAAATAATTTTTTGCTTTGATTAAATTTCATTTTCCAGCGTAGAAGTAAAGCTGAAAACCATTTGTTGCTTTCATGCAACGCTGTGCAATAAAGGGTTAATGACTCATGCAAACTAAAATAAAAAAATTCCTTCTGCGAATTCGGCATAAAGTACTTGCTCACCTGTTGAAAACAGACCCAACATTCGATGTGTCACCATACACCGAATCATCAGGCATATTTAGCACAGTTAATGCGAAAGCAACCATTGTAGCTAGGGTTCCTGCGATTAAAAATAAACTCCGCTCGTATTTGTGTTCATACTTCTTCTTACATACATACTGAATCACGCCACCTGCTGGCAGAAAATTAGATGTGTAGTAAGTGGTTTGTCCTGCAGTAAATTTGTAGGATATAAATTACAAAAATTCAACGTAATATTGAAAAAAACAAACATTAAATAGTTGCATATCGACGCACAGCCCCCGCCGCACAGTGGATCGAGTCAATAGGAGAGGTCGTACAAAATTTGGAAACTTTAGACGCTTATAACTCCGTTTATACAAAACCTAAAAGTTCTAAAAGAGGGTTCATTGGTTCTCTCATGAAATTTTCTACATTTAGCACCACTTTAAATTCAAAATATGACGTACTCAACATCAAAATTTGCAGTTTTAGTCAAAAATGTTATGTCCGACCTCTCTAATTAACTAACTTGATCCACTGTGCGACGGTGAAACTACCAAACCACGTATCTCGTTTGCGGTGCTTAAAAATCTCCGTTCCTATTTTTTTCTTTTCTTTCTTTCTTTCTTTTTTTTTCTTTTAGGAGAACAAATCAATATAATAATTTCTTGACCTTTTCAAGAATTAACTTCAAGTAGTTTTAGATTTAAAAAATGAAGTATATGACAGGAAGTCTACAGCGTCGCAAACCGAAGTACGTGATCTGGTGCTTTCACCGTCGATATGCGGGGAATGTGGAGGTGAGGGTGAACCTGGGCGATTGACGATGCCTAGGATTAGGTTCAAGACATTGATTTTAAGTTCAGTCCACCTCACGCTGCGAAGTGGAATAAATATGTGGTTTTCGAAAATTTGCTGAAAAAATATTCCTTAGTGGCTAATTTTAGTTCCTTAAAAAACAAATGGGTTGACCACCAGTACTTGCCAATTATGACGCCAATTCCAATGAAAATTCCTGTCATTGGAACCAGCTGTTTCGAGTGACCGGGTGCCAAGTTTAAGGTGAAACCAACGCTGCTGATGAATATGACTGAATTGTAAGCTACAACTTGACCTGGAAAAGCGACAATTTTACAACATTAAAATTTTACAACATTTGAATGCTCATATGGCGTTTTATCTTAGTACGGGAGAGTAACACTCTCCTTACGTGCCCTTACTTTACTTTATTGCACGTCGTTTATTAATGTTTCCAACCGGTTTAAGAAACACCAGCTGTGTAAAATTCCATAAGTTCACATTACCTAGCAAGTGTCTCGAGAGAGTCTGTCGAGTCCGTCTTCGGATTTCTTTGGACTCAATAAGAAGAATCAATTTCCGGAAATTCTTTCCTTCAATTATGCATGATACAATTTATCGTACATAGGTTTAATACCGGCATGCGCATGCTAAGAGAATAGCGCGTGTTCAATACATGCATGTGTGTTGTGAGATTTATTGCCATAGCGTTTCTTCAAACCTTGAAGGAAGCTAAGGAAAAACGCCGTATGAGCCTTTGGGCGTTGCCAAGTTTTCTTTGATAAAACACGGATTCCCGGGTAAACTAATGAATATTTTATTTCCGATTTTTCAGATAATTTTGTTCGCAACTTCACCTTACGTTCCTGAAAATTCGAAGATATTCATAACATTCCTCAAAAATAAACATTTTATGGAAGGAAATTTGGCAACTCTCGAATGTTCATGCAGCGTTCTTCCTTAGCATGAATATATACGTTAGTTGATCTGCCGTATAAACCTATGGAAAAGGATCGATAAGGATACGACTGACCGTCGTAGGATACGGTGTACGTTGCGTGTTCGCAACGAACACCGTAAAAATCGATATTTTACCGTAGCTTCAAATGGAGAAATATCGATAATCGATAATCGACCACTGAAAAATACACACCAGAGAAGAAGAAGATAGGCGAGAGACAGAGCATGTCGGGATCGATGAAGACTTTCCATGACTTAACGAGGGCCTCCAAGAATCCGTTGTTCCCGGGGGACCTTTTTTTAGGGGGAGCGTTTGGGTCCTCGGAGGCAGGGGGCCGAAGAAAGCAGAAAAGAAAGACAGCTAAGGCAGCGATCCCGACAAGAACGTGGACGATGAGCAAACGAGTCTCCGCGTCCACTTTCGCTTTCTCATCCAGAAGGAAGAAAAGGATCAGGTGACCCGCGATTGGCCTGCGCGGAAAATATCACACTCAAAGAAAAATAATAAGCAAATTTCACATCTAAAAACTAACAATAAGACTCACATTTGGACCACGTTTAGCAGAGAGGAACCAAGCTACATCAGCTACTCCCAAATTTAGGGGGGCCATTTAATTTTTTTAAAAGAGAACGCTTGTGCGGATTCCTTTGAAGAATTTAGGTAATGTGCTTATTAGCATTATGGAGGAGATTCACTGACATTTCCGCACAGAATCCGTATACATTCGATTACGTGTAAGAATTAAATTACGTGCAATCAGGTATTGTTCGCCCGCAGACATCGATCGATATTAAAAAAGATGTTTAAATGTTGAACAAGTGTATATGTAATTTTGTTTGCCTTCCATCTCAATCATAAACTCTCCTTCTTTTGGAAATCTAATTATGGAATTCCGTGCGTTTTGAGCTTTTTGAACTTTTCGTGCCGCCATTATCATAGTTACGAATCGAGTTTCTTGAATTGAAATGTCAATACTTCAAGGAGTAATTCTAATTGTGCATCATCAGACTTTTTTGCAGCATAACATGTTTTCTCTACACGCCATTTTGATAGTTAATAAAGGACTTCGATGTTTAAAAAGAAACTAACTATTGTTTTAAATATTGCAGCTACAATTGGACCACATTTTGCAATTTGGACCTATAGATTCTAGCCCGGTTTAAAAACAACGTATGTGCCATTAGTTTTCCTATGCACATAAGTGTTTTTCCAGAAGAGCCAAAATTTATAGTTCCAAATTGCAAAATGCAGTCCAATTATCGATCGAGTGGTGTGAGGTAGTGGGACATTTACAGGCGTTCCATCCGGCCATGCTAGAAATGTCAAATCTTTAGAAGATCCGTGCTTTGGGAGGAGGGGGTGGGAGGGTTAAACATCTCTGTAAGCCGAAGTTCCTGACATATCTCTTTCTCTTATCTTTAAATTTTATTTACGTATCGTTAGAAATATATAAAATATGCATATAAATATTCCCATTTAGTTGATAGCTGGTCTAAGTGGCCGAAAGCAGTCGGCTTTTGCCTCTTTTTTCATCAGGCCTTCGAGGAATTACTTTATAATTTTGTCTAATATTAGCCCCAATGAAAAAATATACAAGGTAAAATAGTAATAGTATAGCTTAAAGAATAGATCCGCCATTCAAATATCCGTATTTTGGTTCCACATTTTCGGCAGCTTTGATGATGCGTTTTCCTAGGATCTGGCCCTGCGCATGATACAATCAAATTTTTTGAGAAATGAAGTCGATTGTTCAATATACATTCATTCTTACGCAGCACAAAGTACGAGCCAAAAAACGCTCGTGTCCCTTGATATCGTTTTCGGCGTAGAGTTGTCGATGAGGTACGTCCCTTGCGCGGTCCATAACAACGCGTGTGTGAGACCATTCAAGGCACACGTTGGGAATATAATCAAAGGGTCGTCAAAGTAAAAAGCAGCGTTGTAGGCCCTGAAACATTTCAATAATGTTCATGTCAATTTTAAATTTAGAATTACAGAGCGGATGGGAACAAGCACGAACCCGAATCAGGGAAATGTTTTTCATAAAGAGGAGGGTCTCCTCCAGGGAATCAATTTTTGAATCATCATCGAAAGACCTTAATCAATAAATTGCATTTCTCAAATAGGGATTTGTTGATTATGGGAATTTGATAACAATTTAAAAATCAACCCTCTGTCCACTTTGTTGCTGTCCAACCTCTGATAGGTGCTCCCTCTGCACCCTGTAGCACCCGTGCGTATCATGGTAAAAAGGTTTCAGGAAATTTTGTCAACGATTTTTTGTCCGCGCACCTTTTTTGCCCAGTAGTTTACGCTCACACGTAAACTAAGCAACGGCGACTTGGTCCAATCGTTATATTTTAGTCGGTATGTAAAATTATATTGACAATATGGAAATGAGAAATTGAGAGAGAAGGAGGTGTTGTTATGGTTGCTCATTTTCTAAATGAAATGGTTTTACTCTCTCCTTTTGAATCATCTTTTTAAATTGTTATTGGTGTATATTTGGTTTCATTTCCATCCTTAAAATTTTCGATGTACAATATACCTTATATATGTATAGGTACTTTTTTTTTATTTTTTTTAATAAGCCGCAGTTGTGCCGACAGAAACTGCAAAAATTAATAAAAGAGGAAAAAAACCAAGAAGCACACAATCTTTAGTTTTAACCCATTTGTACATCGATCTTTTAGAGTCAAATACGTCAAATTTTGAGCGTTTGGTTGAGCGTACACCTCGCTGCAGCACAATAATAGCCCAAAATGTAAAAGAAAAAATTAAAGTGCTTTGGAAATCATTAAATTTGACACGGAACCACCAATATTTAAAAAAACACACATTACATTATTATTCTCCTTTGATAAATTGATACATAATTTTTTCCCATCAATTTAAATGAGAATAATCAATGCAGAGTGTGCAAACATTTCAAAATCATGAGTTAAAAACGCTGACTATGTGAGTATAAATATTAAAGCCTAACAGAGCGGAGCGGCGTGCTGCCAGCGCGAGAGGCTCACTGGCACCTACAAACCTAAGTGAATACTTCACGCATTGCACAATGCTTGAAGTATCCACTTAGGTTTGTAGGCGCCAATGCGCGCTCCGCGCCGGCCGCCCGCGCCCGCCCGCCTTGCGGCAGCGCCTAGAGCTACTATTTCACAACAGAGGTGTTGTACAGTATTATACGAAATTGAACGTATTAAGAATGACAGGCATCCTTTAAAGGTACAAATCTTTTCTCGCAAAATAAATCAAGATACTTATCGTACACTGGAAAAATCTAAGAGCCTTTAGCTGAGGCAAGTATAGAGGTTTATCCGGTTCAGGTATAACAAGGTGGGAAAATTTTGAAAGATAATTAAGGCCTGTTACACCAAAGAGGTGTAAAGAGTTTCAGTGAATTTTGTCTCATGGAATTGACGCTCCCCCATTTTTACCAAAACTCTAACTATATATTATTCTCCGTTGGACCAAACAGACAAAGAAAAATAAAAAAAAAAAATAAAATAAAAAACAACAAGCAAACCCTCATTCTTCCAAGACATTTTATATTTTCATCCAAAAACGTCGTGAGCAATTGTCGTTTGTATTTACATGGGGCCCAATTAACTTTGGGTCTCAACTGGCACGTGGACCAAAATTCCCGTGCCGAAAAAACGCGTGGACGTAAATTACTGGAAAAAACAGGTGTGCGGACAAAAAATCGTTGACGAAATGTCCTTTAACCGGTAAAAAAAATTTAGGTCATTATACTAATATTTGAACGCAGTAGTAGAGACTAATATTTGCTGATAATAATAATAATTAAAAAAAAATATAATGAAAACCAGTCGGCAGAATCTTTAAAATTAACTCAGAAAAAAGCACATTCCGCAGACAGAAACCATCATATGGTGACAATGATAGTAAATTTACATTCACTGTAATTTTATTCAAGGAGCACAATATAACGAAAATATTGAGATAACTCTGCAATTGATGCAATGAAATTCCCGTTCTTTATATCATTACATTACAAAATTTACATTCGAACTTTTAACATCATTTGGTCAACAAATGTCGCTTTAAAACGATGACTAAAATAAGTTCCATCTGAAAGAAAGGGAAGGAAATCATTTACAGTTCAAAAAATTTGCAAAGTATTTCCATTTTATTCAAATAATTTCGATAAGAGGAGTTCTCCTTCAATTAGTGGATAGACAACATGCAAAATACTCAGGCCACAATTGCAATAATCTTACGATGTAATGATTGCAATTAATTGCAATCTGTGCTACTTGGGAATGAAGATTAGATCACACCAAGAGACAGTGACAGTAAAGAGACGACGCCACCAAAGGTTGGTATTAAACGAGAGATAATGTTTTTTGGTAGGCTAAATTAATACGGTGAAAAATTCAAATTTCGAAGAAATTTAACTCACACGTCACCCAGAGATCCAATTATCAGAGCCACCTTTACCCCGGTAACCGTCAAAATTGAGGGACCAAGCCATAAACTCAGGGATAAAATGATGTAATCTATTGCCAAACAAATGTAGCCCTTCTTTGACTCTCCACCCTCCACTTCCTCATGCCCCTCGCCAGCCAGTAAAGCCTCCTAAAAATCATTAACAGTAAATTATGAAATTTTCAAAATAACATTCGAAATAAGAAGTTTAGGTTGTAAACACTGATAAGAGAAAGAGAAAAGAGATAAGCTTCAAATGTGTTAAGCGTCACCAAAATAAATTTGGGATGAGGGTTTTCGCTGTGGGAAAATTCACTCTCTAACTAAAAATCCGAGTTGCCTCGATGCTTTACCTGAGTACCGACCCGAAAAACATCTAGAATTGCTAGTACAATTTTACACTCTTACTTTCAAATTTTAATGGATTGGAGGCGAAATTCACTTTACTACCACTCTAATCAGACAGGGTTTTCTTTCTTTGTTTGCTTTTTGTTGTTTTTTTTTCTTTCTCTGTGCGTGTCACCAAATGGTTTCAAAATATTTGAGGAAACCAGAAGGTTTCTAGGGAACTTTTTTAAGATTCGCCCACCGCGTAATCAAACGCTTTGAGGGTGCCGCGCTAGGAATAAATATTACTATCGATACCACTCATGTTAAGTTACTGACTTAAGTATTTCGGCTTTTATTTCACGAGAGCCCTTCTGCTCAATGATAACTCCAGCCCGTGTCTATCAACCATCTAAAGCCATGTAAAACAGTTGCTATTGAAAATAGATACTCCTTACATCCATTTTAAGTGTGTGCAGCCACAATCTTTGTGAGTCTTCTTGATATTAAAGCCTAAATAAGTGCGTTAAAAGTGCAACACAAAGTGCATACGATAAAATGATGTTAAAAGATGCCGCCAGCGCTCTTAACGAGCTACATGAGCAAGAGTATCATCTTCGGTTTTGCGCAATAACTTTGCACCTAGAAGAATAAGCCACCTAGGTAGAATTAAGCAGCGGGAGTGACAAACGGTGGACCCATGGAACCTTGCATTATTTCCCCGCAGAAATCTCTCAATCCTCTTAAAGATCAATCAAGGTACTGACCTGTATACTGACGAAGGCTGTCGTTGACATGGTAAGCACGAGGAAGCAAACCCCGAGGTAGATCAAATTGAAATCTCGCTTGTTGCAGAACATTATCAAACACTGTTCAACACAATTTACCGTGATTCACCGTCCTATCCAGCAACGCTACACAAAACTGAATTATTTACTTTTTACACGTGTATACTAATAAAGATTCACAACGCTTCACCTCAGTGTTATTGCGAGATATTTACGAAAATTAATGCATCCCTCCCACACAGATAGGAAATACCCGGTTCGAGTCCGAATTTTCAGATTCTGGTCATTCAGTGTACAAGTCCGCATTGCCGTTTGGTCGAATTTAAATCACAAAAAATTCATTGATACCTCGGTATTTAGCGCAGGCACTAGAATTATTTGCGTGTAAGCACTGAATTACTTCCTCAGCGGCGCGTAAAAGAAAGGGAGTAGGATATCACACTCCAGAGACGCAAATTTGTTGGCTAGCCCCACTCATGCGTCTGAGGCCCTAGGTTTTCTGTTAAGTGGATTAATTGGTCGGAGACAGTTATTCGTCGGCGATCATGGGAGTTTCCATTGCAGTTGCGAAAGGACGGAGCTAGTGTTGACCCGAATGGACAACCAAAACAGACTGGATTTAGAGCTGCGACACCAAGAATTGGCGAATGTCTCGAAATTGATGAGCTCAGTTATAAATTTGGACGTATTTCTGCCGTAGGGAACTAGGTGCATTATGGCGTGAGCCCTGTTGTGCATAAATCATTTTGGGTCGCAGGGGCCATCTCTCAATGCACATAGTTCCGTTTCGCAGAAATACGTCCATTTAGGACTGCTTACAAACTGAAATCGGGGTTTTTCCAAGCTATATTTTTAAGCCCTGGATAGATGATCAAATGCCGAACCAATGCCGATCAAAGTAGACATGCAGATGACTGGTGGTCACCATCTACCATCAAATTTTGACGGGCCGCACTTTTTTGTTCAAAGTAAGATCAGAACGGAGTGCCACCATTCACCATTTCCTGCCACAGGAAACATTTCTGCAAAGATTTCATTTTAAAATGAAGCAAATCAATAAGTTTTATACTGATGACTCCCGACACTTTGATGCTACTTTGATCGGAATTGGTTCGGGAATTTGATCGTCCATCCAGGGCTTTACATTACACGGAGAAAGGTAGTTAGGTTCAAATTGGATACCGAGGTAGTTCCGTTTAGGAACTGAAGTTTCCGGTCACAGTAACCGACATTTGATGCAGCTAACAGAAATTCAGTTCCTAGGATTGGAAATTTCGGTTTGGTAACCTGTACTGAAAAACCTCGGTGTTCAACATGAGCCGAGATTCAACATCTGTGAGCGAACGTCTTTTTCAGTGTAATTGACCTGTTGCAAACTTCAGCCACGCCAAAAAAAAAAGAGTTGTAGCTATTAGTAAATTGTTCAAAAATAGCGATGAGCGCATCGAAAAAGTCTCAAATATACTCCTAATTTCACGATCTGTGTAAGAAGTATTCGTTTTTTAAAGCCTCCCGCTTGAAAAACGATACTACGGCACAGGTGAACATTTTGTAAGAGGAGTCGTGCCTTCCAACCCTTGCGCTCCGGGATGCCACCCATTATTCAACATGGCTGACGCTTTCGCACGATAATCGCGAGGAAGCACCATCGTCTTCATCAACATAAGGAAAATGCAAATATAAACACGCTAGTCGGTAAAAAATCCCGTCTCGTCAAGTGTGTTTTGGCAGGTTTGCGTCAGCCATGTTGAATATTGCGCAACATTCTAGTGCGCAAGGGATGGATGGAACAAGTTCTTTTACGAAAGGTTAACCCGTGTCACATAATCGTTTTTTTTTAAGCGGAAGGCTTACAAAGAGGCATATTTATCACACAGATTGTGAAATTAGGAGCGAATTTCAGACTTTCTTGATGTACTCATCGTGATTTTTTAGCAAGTTCCTAGAGACAGCTCTTGCCTAAGCTTTAGTTGAAGTTTGCAACAGCCCCATTTTTCTTTCCTTTTTCTCAAGTTTTTATGGAAGAGGACTCTTTAAGGTTGTTAACCAATCGATTAGGCAATTAGACGGGAAAAACTTAGACATCATTGCCGGGGGAAACAACAAAAACAAGAAATTCTGACTATACTCCAAATCACAGGAAACGTTTGCCTACGCGGCAATGCCTGCACGTGATACTGCCTTTTCAGTATGTACTTAATCCGTCATGCGTCATTTAAATAATTTATCATAGTTGGGGAATACGATTAAATGTGGAAAGCACGAGTGTACTTACTTTTTAAAACTGGACTAATCTGAAGACGATTTAATAAATTCAAGAAAATTTACCTATTGAGAAACTCTGAACGCACACGTGTTAATTTCAGCTTTTGGGCGAATAAAGCAAGCAGATTTCAAAATTATATGTGAAAACGCACAAGAAAAATAACCAAAGAGGTAGTTGAGGCGCTTTGTCACTTAGCAGTTATGAATGTAAAGTGAATTTATCACAATTTTTTATGGGAGGATTACAAAGTAGAAGGACATTATAAGATAAAATAGTTTTTTTTTCTTTTTTAAAAAAATAATGTTCTACTCATTATTTTTTTCACAATTTCAAGAGGAAAGTAATGGAATACATTCCTGACACAAATAAACTTTGAAACAAAGATTGTTGACACTCTTACATAATTATATTATCTACATACCTAGACTTTTATTTGGTTATTTACATGGAATGTTATCATCATTTGTTTATCTCTAAAAATTTTGCTCACAAAAGCGGTATTTTTCTCGCTGCACATGCCTCTTTTTTGGTTTTCGCCCGACACACCTTGCGATAAGTGCGGCCCGCTCCTTATCGTACAGTAACAATCATATTCAATTAAGGTTACATTTTAAGGTATTTCACCCCAAAAAAGACCCCGCACTTGCACGTATATTACAGCCCTTCTTTTAAAATAAAAAACTAATATGTACAAATTTCAAAATTTGATGCTAGGAACTGCAAGAAAATTGCGAGAACCCCGTGTATTCACTTCAAATTACAATCAGTCTAGACAGTCCTACGTAGACGAGAACCGCAAATCTGAAAGGGTTGTATTGCTAGACATAATGATCATTGTCGTAGCGTGTTCTTTCGGCATGAACTCCTGTTCCTCCGGTTGCTTCTCATTTTCGCTCTTCAATTTGTTCACTGTCCGGGCGTCGACGACAAGGAATAAGATCAGGCCCACAATTCCAAATGAAGCTAGAATGGCGACCTGGTAGTGAAGACCCAGGAACTGACAGTAGAAGTAGGTCATGCCACTTGCACCAAACTAAAAACATTGGAAAAATGAATGAATATGCTTTAATAGTCATTTCAAAGTTACACGTTTTTGATGGATGTGTAAGGGTTAACGAGGGAATTTGTCTAGAAATTTCAATAAAATAATTGAGAAGCCGATTGTGCGACCAAACATTTTGTCTTGTTACATTGCTCTTACAATAACACGGGGATTTTTTTTTTTTGTATTAACTGCTGTAAAAAAGGTTAGATATGAAATTTACATAGAGTAAGGGTAATAATAGGTTACCTTGACGAAATTGAAAATCGCTGAACATTGCGAGCTTTGCTGGCGGAACATGACAGCTACAAGATTCGTTGTATTTGAAAGCGTGTACATTTGACCGACTCCGATCATAAAACTTGCCAGAAGACAAATAGGAACGCTGAAAGAAAATTTTCAGGGTTTTTAAAGCAACTATCTCATTCAAAAATGCATAATGATTGTTTAACTCAGGAACCATGTATATAATGGACCACTAGACAAGGTACGAATTTCAGCATTCTGATACATGTTTCTTAAACAAAATTTCACGTAAAACACGGCGCGCACAACGAAAATTACCGATATCAACTCCTTACGAAGATATTTAATGATTCTTGATGCGTAAATTCAAACCACTCGCTCACGAAAACTCAGCGCTCTACGTGATTCACATCGCGCGCTAAACGTTACCATGACAGTCTCTGCTACATTAAAATCTGGCAACCTCAATTTTGACGCTTTGGCTCAGCTATAGCAAATTGCTTATAGTTTGAACAACAAATGGTGGGAAATGAATATTGCTCGATTTAGAAGATTGCTGAAACCGTTGTAGTGCACGATTTGACTCACGTAGAGCTTTGAGTTTCTTGTGAGCGGGCAGTTCAAATTCCTCGTAACCAATGTGAAGTAAAAACGTTAATACCTTCGTTAGGAGTTCGTTTCAGTAATATTCGTTGCGTTAATCGTGTTTTACGTGAAATTCTGGTCAAGAAACATGTATCAGATTGCTTAAATTCGTACCTTGTCTAGTGGTCCATTCGCAATTTTTCAAAAGTTTAACTTGTGATTGAACTTTTTACACATAATACCGACTGCCTGTCATATTTTTGGAAGTATTCGTCGTGGAGAAGTTTCCATGAATGCAATATAATTAATAGAAACTGAAATGAATGGTACCTGAATTTTTCTTTAAGATTCAGTAACGCTAAAAACTTAATGTTGTTTTTGTATTGGCACTTTATATACGGCTCGAGGTGACGGTGGTTTAAGTCTTGGTCAGTTTAGGGAAAATATTAGAATATACAACAAAATCAACCGTAAACCAAACAAAAGAGCATTTTTTCTGTTATTGTACTCTTATTCAAGTATTTTTGCTGCATCAGAGTTATTTTTTATATTTTAATGCACCAAAATGAACAGCCAATGGCTTTGTTGTAATATGTATAGAATTATGGGACCAGACTTGAATTAAATAGCTTAGTATTTTATTTTTTAAAAAGAAATTGAACTTTTGTTGTTGACGCTACCGAATATATTCTTTCTGAGGGATGTCACGAAAAATCTCTCAAAACTCTCGTATCTGATTTTAGATATGACAAAATGATGAAGGAGACCAAACCAGGATCATCACTTAAAATTTTCACGGTATATATTCCTCGAATAGAGAAGAAAAATCAAGAACGTTTTAAAGGCGTTGAGAAAAAAAAATTAAGTTAAATAGTTTTCTATGTAGAAAATAGGTCATCTGCAACGGCGCAAACCGAAGAGGTACACATTTTCTGCAGTTTTATCATGGATATGTTAGCTGGATGAAGTAACGTTGTGCATATTATCTCACCTGTTGAACACGATGCCGACATTTTCAGTGTCCCCAAATACGGCATCGTTGGGGAAATTGAGGACGGTTAGAACAAAAGATATTATATAACAAAATTGGCCTGCCGAAAGGAATAGACTTCTCTCGTAGTCAAACTTGCATTTTTTCTTGCATAAGTACTGCACTATGCCGCCTGTTAAGAATACAAAGAAATTTATTAGGCATGTCACAGGTACATACTCACGTGGCGAAAACCGAGTTGATCCTCTTAAAAGAGGGTCACTATGGAGAGAGTATACTGATGAACACAAAGCAATGTTGATTTTGCGGCTCTACCGCTTTCTTACCTCGAGATTTAACACTGGGAAAAACTCTAAAAATCCCACGCTCATATTTATTAGAGGCTGTCCTGAAATGACGAAGGATTGATTTTTTATTTTATACGCCCCCCTTTCTTCGTGTCGGATGTATGCTAGGTAGCGTCATCCCCTCCCTCCTACACAATTTAAAAATTACGCCAGGGTTAGGTTAGCCCCCCACCCCCCTCCATATCAGTCAGTGAAAATCGGGACTTTGTGCCGATTTCGATCGAAATTCTCCTGATGGGTGCTTCACGCCGAGTTTATCCTTGCTCTTCGGCTTGATTTAGGTCAATTTAAGGCACCCCTTGAAGCCCTCCCCTCCCGGACTCTGACGCCATTCATCAACGGCTCTGTTGATCTAAATTGACCAATGTACTTTAATTTATAATTAGTGACTTCGTTTTTGAGGAAGTATTGAATCAACATTAGAAGTTCATAGATCGATAAAAAGACGACCATGCAGCCATTGAGAGAAAAAAAAATGTTGTTTCATAAATTCAACTTACCAAATATGACCCCAAAACCGATGAAAATTCCACTCAAAGGCACCAACTGTTTTGAGTAAGTCGTCAGATTTAGCGTAAAACCAACGCTCGTTATGAAAATAACATTGCTGTATGACATTTGCATACCTAAAACGTAAGTAGGGAAAAGTAATTTACTATTAGAGCTACTTGATAAATATCAGAAGATCTAAATGACAACAACATCTATTTTTATAAAGTTAATCATTAACATTTAACCATTCCACATCAATTAAAGTTCTTTATCTATCGATTTTCTCAAAAACTGTATACCATTTCCGATTCTTCGAGTTAGCTCTGTTCATAAAGGGACAGACATTGCAACACTGTTGCAATGCGTATCTTCAATGTGTCAAAACTTCCCTTTCACCGATATGTTCATGTCATCTTTGTATGAATTTAAAATAAAACTGAGCTGAGTTGAGGTTGTCTACCCACATGACCGAAGGCGTGCTGACCCTCAGGTACGCATACCATCCATTTATTCAATTTCTTATTGTTCTGTCAAACCTGGTAAGTTGCACTGGGTGTAACCATAAACAATGCAAATAGAGCTATCCGACAAACAGTGGGTTTAAAACTGCGCGATAAACGTCGATGACATACTTTAAGTTGTTGTTAAGTTTCATTTTTCCTTCTTTTATTATTTACTAAATAGTGACGTTTACCTCCCCTCAAAGTGAATTTTTCGTTGTACCCTTTCTGTCTCCCCTGTAATCTAGGATGTGCCAAAAAAAACCCCTCATTGACTTAAAGACCCTCCCCCCCATTTAATTTTCATAAGTACATGATTTATAGAGGAAGGAGGTCGAGAACTCTCTGCATTGCTTGTTTGGCGCAACGCGTGTAGTATTCATGCAGTCTTGAAGGCGCTTTCTAGGCGCTATTTTGCGTTTTATGTTCATGCCGACGGCACTGTATTTGGCGCAATGCGTGAAGTATTCCTACAGTCTCGTAGGCGCTAATATGCGTTTTGCGCTTATTGCTGAGTGTTCGGTGCCATCATTCAAACTCGCAGAGTTGAGCATTTCTCAGCTTGCTTCTTTGGTTGTTTGTGCCGTATTGTTGGGAGGAGGGGGGTCGAAATTTGAGAGAAAAGGGCCGTTACAAAGTCAAAAAGTATTTCTGCTGGGAGGATTCAATTAATGAATTCAACGAATAGTGTTCAACTAAGTACTGAGACATAGAATTCAAATAATAAACTTCTACTGTTAGAATTCAGTAGCGTGGCCTTATTAACACTAAAGATCGCATTTTTACAAACTCGATTTTAACTGGGTATGAGTCTCGATAATTTTACCTAACGTTAATATATGATTAATCCTAGTTTAGGATATGTATACGTGTAATCAACAACCAATATAATCTGTAGTGGCTACGTAATGTTAAAAAAAGAAGAGGAAAAGAAAAAAAAACATGGCGTTTTTCAACAAAGCAGATCGATGGCTAAAGCTTGAAACCACATATTTCAATTTGCAACGTCGCAGACTTCGCATCTTACTTTATTTTTTAATTTGGAAAACTAGTCAACTTAATTTCTCGAAAACTTCCTTGATTTGTCCTCCCTATAGGCAGAATATTTCCGCAAACCTCAAGTTATAAAGTTAGCTTAGATTTCCCCGAAATCAAATAGAGGCGAAAATTGTGAAATACCGCAATGAAGAGACGTGGTTTTGCTTTTTAGCCATCGAGATAAGGGTGAACGATACACATTCCATGCGCTCATCCTCCACTGGGCTCACTTGGCTAATTGCCTCCGCTTCGATGCTACCTTGCTAAGGAAAAACCCCGTGTGAACATTCGGGAGTTGCCAAATTTCCTCCGATAAAATGTTTATTTTTCAGAAAAGTTATCAATATTTGTCCTTGGAATTTTTACACTATTTGGATCAAATTACGAACGAAATTATCTGAAAATTTGAGGGAGAAATGTTTATAAATATCCCCGCATAAATTCGTGATTTATCAAATGGAATTTGGCAACGCCTAAAGGCTCATACGGCGTTTTTCCTTGGCACGGCAGTATGATAGTTGTAAATTTATCCCGGATCGTGAATAACTTTGAACCACCGTGCGGTGTGGCGTTCCATGTTCCTTGACATACAAATGCATCCTCGTCAAGTTCAATGCCGGAAGACGGTCTAACGGACTGTGAACTTTATTGATTCAGTCTTTGCGGGATTTATTCGCCGCTTGGCTGACATAAGGGCGTAACTACACATTGAGATGAGCCCGAAAAAGCATTGAAACATATGGAAGACAGGGTTCATTGCTGATTGTAGTTACGCCCCTCTGTCAGGTAGCCGACGTATTGATGTCTGTCTGAATAGAGTCCCTTTAAATTTTACCTCAAGTCATACTCCCAGCTTGAAATGCGGGTTAACTCCGATCTCTCTTTCATTTCATAACATCAAACAACTCTGTTAGCGAAAAAGCTTGTCACACGATGTTATCCCGTAGTTATTTCAAATGATTACGAAGCGTGGTTCACTCAAAAGTTTGTTACCCGGGCAGAAGAAGGAAAGGCGAAAACTGCAGCGCGCAGTAATTTTACTTTAAGTTTTTAAATTTTATATCTGATTTCTCATTCTCTATGTCTTACATTAATTCAGTGAATACTTTCTTTGCTCTCGATCTATGTGAAAGCGGTGCGCCTAGCACTCAAATAGAACACCGGCGGACCGAATTTTTTGAAACTACGAATCAATGGCAAAATATTTAAAAGATGCCGGCCTTAAGTTCCTCTCTGTAAACTACAAATAAGGCGTTGACAAGAATCAAGTGAGCATTTCTATTCAAAATTGGTATTCGCGCTTTTGGGATGAGTCTCGACACTCTATTATTGCGCTTTTGGATACCGTCCGCGTGCTTCGCTTTCTACGCAAAATTGTGAAGAGAAAACATAAAACGTAGTGCCTTAATTCAGAACTCGTCCTGCGGGCTGATTATTGAAATTTAAAGACAAAGCTATAAACAAAGAAGACATAAGGAGTATATAGCGATCCTATTGGTTGAAATGGCTGGTTTTTTTAGACTAAGTGGGTAAATGATGAACTAACTATCGGGCCTCTCGTAGGTTGCCGTTAGTTAGTCTATTTCCTCTGTCCATTGCAACCATCTGCTTCCACCAATAGGATCCCTCCATATCCTTTTAGTCTTCTTTGTCTATTGCTTTGTCTATAAATTTCAATAATCAGCCCGCAGTGGACTATTATGAAACATGATATATGTGTTGTTTATGGATATGTGTTTAAACATAATGACCTGAGAAACAAAATATTGGCGTGAGGAGGAGCATATCTTTGTCGATGAAGACTTTCCATGACTTGACGAGGGCCTCCCAGAAGCCTTCCTGTCGGCGTGTCTTCTTCTTCTGCGCGGAGTCCTCCGAGGCAGCAGGACGAATGAAGCAGAAGAGCGCAACCGCTACAAACGCTATACCGATAAGCACGTTCAGAATCAGGTATCTGGTCGAAGTGTCCACCTTGGCTTTCTTGTCCAGCAGGAAAAACAACACAACATTCCCAACGATTGGCCTGAAGAAAATTATACATTTTTCATAAAAATTATCAAAACGATTTTGACATACTACCGTGCGAAGGAAAAACGTCGTATGAACCCTCAGGCGTCGCCAAATTTCCCCTAGCAAATCACTAATTTTCAGAGATTTTTTTAAATATTTGTCTACCGATTTCTCAGATAATTTAGTGCGCAATTTTATCTAAAGATCCTGAAAATTTAAAAGAAAAATATTCATATCTATCCTAAAAAATAAAAATTTTATCGAAGGAAATTTTGCAACTCTCGAATGTTCATACGGCGTTCTTCCTTATCACGGCAGCATAGTTGGACGCCATGTTTAGGGTTTTATGTTTTAGGAAAAAGTTACAAAGATGATATCCTAATTATTATGGAAAATAGGTCATGCGTCATCAGAGTATTCGTAGAGGAGAGAGGTATCGATGTTGAAGAAAAGTATGAAATTTTCACACCAATTATTAAAAAGATATTTAGTTAGGCGTATGCCAATTTTAATGTTTTTTTTTTTTTTACTTTTAAGAAAAATTTATAAAAGTGATATCCTAATTTTCACAGAAAAATAGGTTGTGCGTCACCAGGGAATTTATAAAGATCTCTGCACGTGGTCACACGCAACTCTTGCAGTCCATGGGTTTGTTTTCTCTGAGGCAAAGGAACCTAATCAATGGACATGTCACACTTGCTAGGCTTCTGCAGTGATTATCTGTTTTTCTTCCTTCAACTTGCGTCCCTTTTAATTGGAGAATTCTGTAAGCTCTGTAGGGTTTGGGAACGGGAAGATTGGCTTTGATAGGGTTTTTACCAATTTGGTTATTTAATTTGTGTTGCAGATATCATTGTTTGCAGTTCATCGGTACATGTGTCCTCAATCGTATGTGAACGTAATTTTGCTAAAAGAAGCTGAAGGAGGAAAATGATTCAATCAAATGGAACTATATGTCTATAGAATTTGCGTGCCTCAGATTTACCTCTGATTTTATCGATAGTTCATTCTAGCATAATTGTATCGAATTCCGGGAGAGCGCAATTGAAAGCTGCAACGCTGAGTTACCAAGCTCTTCCATAAAAAATAAGTTACATTAATTATTTTGAAAGCATTAATAAAAAAGTATGAACGAAGAGAAACTTAAAAATAAAGTGATTAATCTGGGCCTCAGAGATTTACTTTACTCTGCTCTCGAAGTATTAGATTCGTCCCGTTTACAGCAAAGAAAGTCAATTTTTTTAAAAAAATCTTTATGGTTTTCATGGTAGGCAACCAATAAAATCAGTAAAATATGGCTATAGGGCAGATTTGAAGCATCCACCTTGAAGCCTCTCTCTCTGGTTCTGCTACGTAAACTCCTCATGATTACATTATATGCGTAGCCCTATGACAGCATCCCTGCAACCATCCGGTGCAGTCAATGACCGGACGAATGAGCAAATTGTAAGCAAGTCTCACCTGCCTTTGTAACCGTGACAAGCTTAGCGTATTAAATTTGATCAACCTTTACTCGAATGAAACCAAAGCGTGTCGCACAATGTCGCTCAATCTATAATTATTTATTTATTTATTTATTTATTATCGATTTCTTTATTTATTATTTATTTCTTTATTGATTATTGATTTCTTTCTTTATTATTGATTTCTTTATTTATTATTTGTTTATTTTTTACTTTTCACACACTTGTACTTCCGCATCCTTAACCTCTCACTCATTCACCGATCAGGTACAGCTGTTCCCTTATTTTAAGGATGGGCAAGTACATACAACGTAGTAAAAAAATGCCTGTTTTCTCTTCAAAATCTTACGTAGAAAGCGATTTATACAACGAGAATAGTTCGGAAATCAACTTCTAGGTGAATTTTGACAAGTAATTGAGGGGCTTGGAGGACACAGCGCGTAAGTGTAGTTTTTGATACTTAGAGAAATGCAATGTATTACAATAATACAATGTACACATTAAAATGTGTATACAATGTATGTGTGTTTGAAGTTTCAGAATTACACGGGTCCTTATGGCGGAAAGAAAGTTCAAACTGATTTTTCGATGCTTAAAAATCGGAATTTGGGAGCGAATTATTCACAGAATATGCATTAAGACTAGCTTTACTTGAAATCATTAATAAGTCAATTTTCTCGAAAACTACACTAATGCGCTTTGTCCTCCAAGCCCCTCAATTCGAAAACAGACCAATGTAAATCAGACTATACAAATGACATCATATTCATTTCAAGCATTTCAACTATGTTACTCGTAAACACTTAATATCTCGTTCTGTAGTTGATGTGCAGACTTCCCTTTGTGTAATTTGTTTTCCTCGTGAAATTTTGAAGGGAAAATATGTTGCGTAGTGTTTCAACTCATACGTCGCTTAGTGGTCTTTTCTGCAGAAATCCAGAATGTACATTCAACACACTGAAACAAAGTTCCCGGCGTTTTTGCCAAGGTTTGTTGGTACCTTTACCATCTCACTTTTTTTTACCAATGATTGGTAATTTTACCCAGACAGACTGGTAAGTTTACCTAAGAATTGGTATTTTTACTGTTTTTTCAGGTAAGAATACCACTTTTATTGGTAATAAATTCCCGGTATTTTTGCCATTTTATCTCGGTAATTATACCACAATCGATAAAAAATATTGGCGTTTTTACCAAGGTCCAGTAAAATTACCGAGAAAGTTCAATAATTTTACCAAGATTTCTCCGATACCAATTTCATAAATGGTAATTTTACAAAAAAAAAACTGGGATCAAATAGAACCCTGAATTGTTGGTAATTTTACCCTTTTCTTAGTAAATACACCGAGATTTTTTTTTCAGTGCAGAAGTACTTTTCTGGTACACTTTAAGCATAATCCCTCGCCAGAGAGATTCTGTTTCAAGAGTAAACACGAGGTTGGCAACGCCGCAAACTACCTCACTGCTCACTGCAGTGCAGCTAACCTCACATCCGACCATCGATCTGCCGTGCAACAGCAGCACCAACCCAACTTGCATTAAAATCACGTGGGAAGCAAGGACCTTTCACGTACCCCTTTGCCCCCATTCATTTACCCCGCTCATTTTACTTTTGCACGGCATGACATTCAGTGGCATGGCGTACTTTGCAATACATCGATTGATCTTCCATTGAAACCTACGGAGAAGAATCGATAGACAGGATGCTCGCTACGAACACCTTGGTAATCGATTCTTTATTATAGCTTCAAATGGGGAAATATCGATAGTTGATCATTCACGTCTTGCCACCGATGACATTGTGATCGCCGCGAGCCATTCATGCTGCTTTTTACGACTCTTGTCTGTGGCAGTGTAGCAGTCAACATTGGGTGAGGGAGCTAGACGTGAAAGCCGCCTGACATAGAAAAAACCACGACCTTGAAAAGTTGCAATTTAAAAAAGAATGCGTTTGGTGGACACTAGAAATTTGTAGAGTTAATCATAGATTCATACCCATTATGGTTGAAGTTGTCTTAAGTCAGAATTTAGCAATTCGAGGGACAAATTCAAGATTTTCATTAAAAAGCTTAGAGTAAGTTATGATCTCTTGAATCAATTATAATAATTCACGTCTATTCTTAATGAAAAATAAAACATGGGTTTCAATGTCACAAATGGGGTCGTTATGGTGGTTATTCATGACAAAATTGACTCATATTGCATATTAGATGCTTTAAAAGTACGAAAATTTTCTGAAGGAAACCCCCCGGACTTCCTTTCTACCCCTCCTCCGTTTAATAAATTGTAACATTTTTCTTTCCTCGTTCACTTAATTATTGCATAAAACTTTTACACCGATTTTATACAAAAAATGGCTCATCCTATTGGACACCATTTGTTTTCCTGTGCGGGGAAGGGATAAAAAAAATCAGGAGACACTTACGCTGCACATATGACTAGCCAGAAGACACTAGTATCCCGGGCTATTGTCTTCGGCGAGGAGTTCTCGATGAGATAGGTGCCTTGAGCAGTCCACAGCAGAGCGTGCGTAAGCCCATTTGTAGCGCAGATAGGGTAAATGATCTTCACGTCATCAAAGTAGAATGCAGCAGAGTACAACCTGTACAAAATATGGGAAATCTTATTTTGAAAAGAGGATTAAGAAACAAACGGTCAAAATTCCCAAATTGTGCATGGAAGAAAAAAAAAGTCATCCTTACATTGCTCATAATCGATTCTAGGCCTCGCCTTCTTTTCTAATCGTGGTAATAACGTTTCTGCGGATTCCTTTGAAAATTTAAAGGAATTCGCATCGTACTATGCCGAAAATCCACTAAAATTGGTACACGGACTTTATGTCCACTTTTTTTACGTCCACAGACTTTTCGTCCACAATTTTTACGTCCACAGTTCTAAAGCCCACACTATTGTTAAGTCCATTACTTAAACGTCCACTAAGTTAAGTCCACAAATGTAAAGTCCACTAAAAGCCCAAAACATAAAACAACAAATTTGAATGCTTTGGAAATCATTAAATTTGACACGGAACGACTATTATATTTACAAAAAACACATTATATTTTCCAGTAGTACATATTTCTTTTTCATCAGTTTAAAAGGAAATAATCAATGCAGAAAGTGCAAACATTTCAAAATCATGAGTTGAAAAACGCTGACTCCGCGACTTTAAATATTAGAGCCTAACAAAGAGCGGAGCTGCGTGTTAGCAGCGCAGGACGCGCACTGGCGCCTACAAACCTACTGAGATACTTCACGCATTGCGCAACGCGTGAAGTATCCCGTTAGGTTTGTAGGCGCCTATGCGCGTGTCACGCTGATTGCCTGCCCAACGCTTTAAGCAACTATTTCGCATCAGAGGCGTTGCACAGTATCCTACAAGATTGAAGGCGCACGAAATAACTAGTTAAAGAGGACTTTCAATTTTGACTGCATCTGTTACTGAAAAATGTTTAATTTGACATTGGAGCGTTTCCTAGGCTCCCACTTTGGTTTTCATCTTATCAATATCCGTACAGTGTACACATGATTGTATGTTTTTATCTGCCCTTAGAGTCTGTTCTCTTTCATGATTTGATTCATGAGTGACATGTTTTTAAGAATGAAGGAACTCTTCACCTCTCTTAATTTAAAAATCTAAATTTTCGTATATACTCCCATTTTCAAAATTCTCTGTAAAGACGTTAATAGCCTGTGACGTTGAACGTCTTAAAATATACTAACTAACTAACTAGTAGTAGTATGCATTTATTTTTGAGGTGGTTCCTGTCATTTAAGTGAGAAGAAAAAAATGTGGACATAACATGTCCACAATTTGGATAATTTTGGACATATTCATGGTTGGACATTAAATCATGTGGACTTAACGCTTAGTGGGTATAGTTAGCGGTGGACATTTATTTGGACTGAGTTAAGCAGAAAGGAACCAACCCAAATTTTGGAAAAAATTGAATTATGAGTGGTTTTGAACTCAACCACTGCTTTACTATCTATCGCCGAAAATTCAAAGTTTTTGTTGGAGCAAATTTTGCAGAAATTAAACTTGAAGTTTAGCGTCTACATTGAGTCTTATGCAGGAGCCAAACTTTAAACCTCTTTTTCTCGGTTCGATCCCGATGTGGCTTGGTTCCTTTCTGTTTAACTCCGTCCATTTAATGGACGAAAGGTAAGGTGGACATAAAGTCCTGGAAGCCTAAAATTTGCACAAAAATCTGCACAACTATTTTCATGTGAAAAATTAAATTGCCCAGTTACATTTGGCAAGAGCTGGCGGCTTGGTCCCTTTCTGCTTAACGCGGTCCATATGTAGTCAAAGTAAAACACTTACACATCGCCAAGTGCGCCAATGATGAGAGAGACCTTGACTCCGGTCACCGTCAAGATTGAGGGTCCCAGCCACAAGCTCAAGGACAAAAAAGCGCAATCGATAGCGAGGCAGACATATCCCTTTTGACCACCGTGGCCATCTCCAGCAAGAAGAGCCTCCTGCAATCCAAACGTATGTTATCCAAGTATTACCCTGCTAAAAATGATGAGTAGGCTATTCAGAATTCGCCGACTCACATGAGTAGAACTCCCTACTTATATGAGTAGAAATCTTACTTATATCACTAGAATATTCTACTCATAAGAGTAGAAAAGTTCAACTCATATGAATTAAATATTTTTCATTTTTCAAAAGTGCTGTTTTTCACCAGGAGACACCGACGTACTATGTGAATTTGAAAAATAAAAACGTTTTGTTCTTATAATTTTTTTGATGCGGTGACTAGTTTCTGAGATACCGGACACGGTAGATTTAACGCTGAGCTTATGTGAGTTGAAATCTCTAGTCATATGAGTTGTAATCTCTGGTCATGTGAGTCGGCGAAAAGTGAATAGAGAAATTCTGCTCATATGAGTTAAATTCTATTGATATAAGTTGAAAATTTATTCATATGAGTTGAAATTCTATTCATATGAATTGAAATTCTACTCATATGACTTTGATTCTCTACTCATTTGTACTCACCATTTTTAGCAGGGTAGCGACATCAATCAAGAAAACTTAACATCATCAGTACATGTTTTGTAACATTCTCAAAAGTCAAAAGGGTTTTGTTTGGATATGAAACTTTTGAACCTTGGACTAAAAATTCAAAAGCCATTGATTTGACTCCTTTTTTTTATTTGAAGATACCACGTGCTGTTTAAAATTTCAATAAAAACATTATTATTTCTTGTTTCTAAATTTAGTATTTTATCATTTGAATGTGTCACTGATCGCAGTATTTGATTTTTTTAAAACTTTGCATGACTTTTTTCTTCTCAAATGTGCATTATTTTAAACTGTAAATTTAAACTGCTTTCACTTGAATTTTTCGTAGGATTTTTTCTTCGGTCTTTTCTGAGCCGAAACTCCGAGGTGTTTGTAAAACACTTCCTTGGGAGTGGTGTCAAGTTCTATGCTTTGAAACTTTGGTTGTAGGGTCCTCTCTCCTGTGAGTGTTCCAGATGTGAAAATATTAAGTAAGTATGAAAATAAAAGTAAGTTACTAGAGCCATTATACAATGTTTGGACTACATTTTTCAATTTGAACCTACAGATTCTACCCCGATTTAAAAACAACGTATGTGCCACTAGTTTCCCTATACACATAAGTGTTTTTCCGGAGGAGCCAGAATTTATAGTTCCAAATTGCAAAATGCAGTCCATTTAACGCTCGTACCGGTACCGCTCAAACACGATAGCTGGAAATTCGTTTGGACCAATGCCAAACTCAGCATTAAAAATCGGATTGAATCAAAAGTTTGCACCGATTAAAGTTTACTAGCTTTCCTAATGTTGTTGTAACGAGTATTCACTCGAAAAATGTTGGGATGAATCGTTTAAAGCGGCGTGTGATAGACGGGCGAGTCGCCAGTATGTAGTGTTTAATTAGTCGACTAAGACGCTAATGACAATAATTCAGAAGCGGGCTCGCCAGTTATTACACCCAACAGTCGGGCTGGACCGATAACAGCGTTGCTAAATTAAGTAGAATTCCCTTGTAGAAGTGAGAGTTAAATGTCTAAATAACATAATTAAATTGCAACGCCATTGAAATGGTAAATTACTAACTGTCAGGCATGACCATATTGTATTACATGTGAGTCCACTGTTTTTGAGCAAATGAGAGATATCCGCGTCAGGAGTGAGATGGTAAGGGAGATGCCAAGCAGACCATCGTGCATGACATTACGATGAGACAACTTATTTGGTATGGTCATTTTTAGAGATGGCAGAAGACAGGTTGCCAAAGGAAGTCCTTGATTAGGTTCTGCCTGGGAAAAGGCGCAGAGAGCGTCCGATGAGAAGATGGAGGGATGAGATTGAAGCAGAAATGTTCAAGTGCTCGATGCCGGAGGGGTTGTGGTACGAAGAAGGGGCAGCGGAGGTTGGGTGTCGTTGAGCGCCAGGGAGTGCTATAAATCGACCTTTACGTGTGTACAAGGTTTCGACCCTTACAGTTTTATTTATATAGATGATAAATTTGAGAATAGAAACATTTGTCGGGTAGGCTCCATATATCGACGGTGAAACTACCAAACCACGTATCTCGGTTTGCGGCGTCGCAGACTTCCTGTCATACTTTATTTTTTAAATGGAAAACTACTTAACATCCAGTCTTGAAAATTTCTGTGATTTTTCCTCATTGTACGGAGAAAATTCCGTGAAAATTTCAAGGAATGATATTGATTTGGTCTACTTCAAATAAATAAAATGTGAGCGTAGATTTTTAAACACCGCAAACGAGATACGTGGTTTGGTAGTTTCACCGTCGATATATGACTCTAAAATGCCTCTACAGACCTATCTTTTCAATATCGTGAAGTGACAATAGTAAAATGGTCAATACATAGAAAAAACCGATATTAACGACTCTGTCGAGGGGTACTTTCTCAGTCTAGACCGTCCGCTCCTCTTTTTTGGAAACATTTACCACTGTTGAAGAAGGTCAAAATATTTATTCACTGGTATTTATTCCATCATTCTCGTGGCAGCTTGTCAGTGTGGATGATGCTCAGTCACCTTTAAAACCGAAAAAATGAAATTCCCGAGTATGAGAGAATGGAAAAAGTTAATTGGAGGAAAATTAAATAACGCGCGAATAAACTTAACTTAAAAGGGCCGCATATAGATTTTTTTACTATCTCGTTCACCAAGTGCCCCAAGTGTCACGCAATTTGAGAGGGATGACGCAATACAAGACAAGTTTGAGGTACGTGCCCTCCATAATCAGCTTGTCACGTTTAGAGGAAAAATTGAAGGAATCAATGATCTTTACCCTTAATTGCATTGAAAAAGTTCAACTAAATGTCGGTGCATGGAAGGGAACTCGATCAATATTATCGATGTGACGTAAGAAAATCAAAAAAATTGGAAAAACGAATCAGAACTCTGCGCGCAAAGCATTACGAAATACTCGGTTTGAAGGTGGTGTTTTATGTAGTTACTCTTCTATTTTTTTTGTCGCAGTTTAATTTTTTTCTTTACTTTTTTGTCAGTCTGGTTGTGCGTAGATCAGAGCGAATCGTCACTTTTGCACACTGCACGTATCCTTGACTGACCCGTGAAACGAAAGCGGAAAATATAGCAATGAACAGCTGGTGCGAAAATGAACCGCAAAAAATGAAGAAGACACTTTCTATTAGAAAAAAAGGAAAAAGTACGCGGAGGGGAAAGTTGCAAGCTTGAGTCTGGCCTAGAGGAGAGTGCTTGCAAAAAATGCAAGCCTAATGGCGTGCCTGTGCACTCTTTTTTTATCGGATTGAAGTTATTTAAAAAAATTAGTACGTAACGAACGCACGCGCGCACTGCCGTGCTAAGGAAAAACGCCGCATGAACCTTCAAGCGTTGCCAAATTTCCTTTGATAAAACTCGAATTTTCTGGTAAACATATGAATATTTTTCTTCCAATTTTTCAGATAATTTTGCTCGCAATCCCACTGAAAAGTACTGAAAATTTCAAGGAAACATATTCATAACTTGCATCGAAAATAAACATTTTATCGAAGGGAATTTGGCAACTCTCGAATGTTCATACGGCGTTTTTCCTTAGCACGGCAGCGTAGCCTTAAAGTTTCGGGCCCGTTGTGTTAAGAGAAATTCAATTGGACGTATTTCTATCAAACGGAACTATGTGCATTATGACGTGAGCTCTGTTATGCACATATTCTTATGGGTCTCAAGGCTCATGTCTTAATGCACATAGGTCCGTTTGATAGAAATAGTCCAATTATGCCCTAACCACTGAAGAGCAGACGATGCGCGAATTAATTGTTCCGAATAGTAAGTATGGTTCTTCGCTGAGATGTGGCGTAAAAACGAAGAGCGTAATGAATATTCTGAGAATCAAGGGGTTTTTTGTCCCTTATGATTCAAACCTCTTTTCTTTTAATGTTCAAAATCTACTAACGCCAAATCGGAACCTAGACCGCAGGCTCGAACTTGAAGACAAAAAAAAAAGATTTTTGCGTAAATTCAACAGCAAGTGTACATTTTCACCCGTAAATTTCATTTCAGAGATCAGAGGAACGAACAACAGCTTTACACACTGCACTGGAAAAAAACACATTGGATCTAGAGTCCAGACTCTTGAAAACATTGACAAGAAAAAATACTCTTTATTCAATCGGATTTTTGCTTGAATCAAAACGAAATTCGCTTAAATTAAGAGGCTTGGTTCTTGATTTAAGCTAGATTCTGATTGAATCAAGAGTACTTTTTCTTGTCGATGTTTTTAAGAGTCTGGACTCTAGATTCAATGTGTTTTTTCCCCAGTGTGTTGGCAGTCTCAAATATAAAACGAACTTCTTTTTATTTTGTTAAAGAACGAACGTGCTACTTCATGATTTTCGTTAAATGTAAAAGTCAATAATGTTTTAAAAGAATGTTTGGCACAGAAACCACTAAACTAGGTATAAAATTGGTCGAAAATATTGCTCGGCGAATCCTTAGTCAAGGGGCTTGGAAGATAATGCGCATAAACGCAGTTTTTGATCGAGATATTAGAGGTTGCAACCTAACCCTTTGTTGCATGAGCTATTCGTTGATTTTGGAGAGAAAATCTACATTGTACAGTATTTTTTCGACAATAGAGTCAGTTGAAATTGATTTTTGTATTTTTTTTTTTAAAGTTAGGAGATCAGACTTTAAAAGCTCCTCAAAAATCATTTCTTGCTATAATTCACAATTTAATACTCCAGCATAGAAATAAAGCTGAAAACCATGTGTTGCTCTCATGCAACGCTATGCACTAAGAGTTAAACTAGTCTTAAAATATATTCTGTGAAAAAATCACAGCTGAGGTCCAATTTTAAAACACCAGGAAGTGAGTTTGAAGATTCTCTCAACCGCGCCGTAAGGCTCCCTGTAATTATGAAACTTTATACACGAATTTTTTTAAAGAGCGGAAAATGTCCTTATACATCTTGCACTTAAGCTCTTTAATAACAAAAATCTCAAGCATGTAAAAGGTTACTTTTAAAATATCTAGGTACGTGTAGTTTACAGTAAAGATAAGTGCTTTTGAGTGAGTGATGAGTAATCATAATTATAATCACAGAGTGAAGAATGGCGTCAACTTTCGCATATTTATACACTCACACAAGAAACCCTGGCTCTTTCCTGTATCTTCCTTTCTTCTGATATGACTATGGTGACGAAGGTTCTGCTGACGAAACAAGAATGCTCATCATCGCGTCAAGACCATTACAACAAATGCCAGAGTGACTGAGTCATATTCAAAGGTGGCACCGTAGAGAACAATTTAAATTCGGTCTGAGGTATTTTCTCTTTTAAAGGTTCTCAGAGGAGAATAGCATAGTTTTCCTTTTTTTTTAAACGATCATGATTTTTCTACGTCGACTGAAATTATTCCACAGAATTTTGTAAATAAAAAGTGTATGCTGTCAAATTTTGAGACAGAACTAGAATCGCAACCAGAGACATCGAAGAGGTAGGTAGATGTTTTTCCAGCCACAGCGTCGATTTTTACGAGGATTTTCAACTTTTGTAAACAACATCATTACGAATGCTATCTCCTTTTTTACACTGAAACTTTTCAAACCACGCTGAAGATGAGTATATTTTCAACAAGTGCTCTCTCAGTTCTGAAAGTATCCTATGCAGAGGATTTGACTAGCAACATAAACTGAACGTAGACGGGTGATGATGTGATTAGAGATCAATTTTCGCCTCTTTTTGGCCAACAAAAACTTGAAATTAGCCACTTTCAAATAAATCTAACGACATTTAAAAGTGAATTAATTTTAATTTTGGAAATAATAAATTTTTACCGTACCAATATACTTCTCTATAAATCATTTAGATTGTCATCAGTTTTACTTGGCGGACAATTATTTGACAATTTGGACGCATCATTCTACAATTGACTACACTGTATTTATCTCATAGGAGATAATGTATTTCAATATCAACTCTCCTTTTCTCAAAATGTAGTATAAACTTGAGGATCTTGGAGGAACTTGGTGGATCTCTGCCATGACAGATTTCTGTGGCGGGTAGGCGTCGCAGAGCGCCCTAGCGCGCCGTAAAATCGACTTATACATACACACAGTATAAACTTGTGGTCAGATTCCACGAGTCTCTTTCACTGTATCTCTCCTCGCTTAATATACGTTGAAAGAACACGGATCCAGGTGAAGTTTGGAAAACCCCCTAGCTGTGACATTGCACTGCAGACAAAGTAACCTCCTGATTTCTTCCTCTAAAGAAGTGAAATAATGCACTAATGTGAGAGGGATATGCGAGGTATTCCGCAAACGTTGCATTAAAAGCACATGCACATTGCAACGCGGTGATCGTAAACAGTGTCAATGAATAGATAATCAACAGTTTGCAAAGCTCTCGGAAGCGAGTATAACGCTGATGTCGGAATGCATCCGATAATCATGCCGCGTTTTTTCCGAACACAACTCGCTACTAAAAAACCGTCATTTCTTCGGCGAAATTGCAACCAGTGATCCAGAGCGAATGGTCTAATTGTATTGATGCAGTCGTCGCATAAGGCCTGCTGAAATCTGATGAACAGTAGTAACAATGCCCTCGGTTATGGGAAGTGTTGAGAATGCATCGTCGAAGTGCCTCACTGCGCACGTAACATGCATTATGTGCAATACTGCACCAAAATGCTCTTGATAGGTATTCAAAGTATACGCATAATTGACTGCGTTGACGTGTAATGTACCCAATAATGAGAAAAATGCAATAATTTTTAGACTTGGCGCTCTCCAATTAATTGAAAATGTTTTAATGCATTTTATACTGAATCCACTCTGGGGAGATCATAAAGCAGAAGTACTAAAGTATTCTTCACCTTAGATGAGTAAGAAGTTCGGAAGAAGTTTTCAAGACGGTTTGATTTCGGAAATGAAAAATAGCCATAAAGTAACAATGTAGACCTTGCGAAACGTCAGAAGAAAATTTCGCGCGAAAGGAGAATGATTAAACAGTGCTTAGGACCGCCGTGAAATCAAGTTCTACATCAAAACGATGTTTTTTTCAATGTTCTGAGTAGAGCGTTTTTGGAATAAGTACATCTATTCTCCCCGGGCCATCGAAATTTTGTCTCGTTGCCGTAATTTAAATTCACTTATTTTAAATCATCAATCATCAATCATCACATCAACATTAATACTAAATTAAATTTACCTGTATACTGAGAACAGCGTTCGTTGATAAGGTGAGGACCAAGAAACATATCCCCAGGTACACCAAATTAAAGTCCCGCTTCTTGCACACAGCTTCGGAATTCATCGCGCCGGATCAAGGGGATGTATCCCACGATAGACACATACGTCACAAGCCCTGACGTCACAATTGACGTCTCCCTTATTTATAAGCACTGAAGTCACAAATCCCCTACGAATAGTCTCACCGCACCGATTTCGCACTGCTCTCGTAGCTTGGACGTCAACCCATTGGTGCTCAAAAAGTCATTGGAAGCAGATTGGAGTTCTTTTTTTTTTTTTAAAAAAAAAAAAAAAAAGATGTGACATTCAAAGGCGTGTCGCGATACTGACGAGAAAAGGCAGTGCGTGCGCAAAAAGAAGAGTCCACGTTATTCACAGCTGAGTTATAAATGCGCGTACCTGCGTAGGTAAAATTCAACGGATTACTTGAAGTTCAACTCATTTTCGAAGAAGACAGACATGCGACGCGATGAATAAAAACTGAATGAGAATTAGTGGAAGTCGCACGCGGTGTATCACGTAGGTATTTTGCTTTTCATTAAATTGAGAGAATCAATGGAATTGGTAAAAACGTGATTACAAGTAAAATTAGAGCCGGTGCACCGAAAAATAGAAAGTTGTTACTCGAGTATAAATTAAATCTATCCTCAGAATTACTTTTCTCCGCACAAAATAAAAGCTTAGGGCACGCTTTATTAATGTGAAATCGCTTTTTTAATACAATTTGAAGAGGAAAAAAATCTGTTCCATACCTCCCTTCTATATTCAGATGAAATACGAAGAAAAAGGGAAAACTAGAAAATGGGCGAAAGCACTCTACCGAAGCGTTACTTGGTAGGCTGGACTAAACTGCTGAGGAACTGCTTTCAATTGCACTTGAAATTAACTGACCGTAAAATTCAATTTTCAAACATACAACTTTTGTATTACTTCACTCTGAATTACATGAAGGACAATGCATAAGCGCAAAGTTTGCATTCTTAACTTTCTCCGTGAGCTGTTGACAAAAAGTCCGTTGCAAGCTTGCCAAGTGTGTTAAATAATATTCTGAATATAAGGAAAGGCACCTGAAATAAACAACGTACCTCAATTTTCTCTGAATATGAACACAAATTTATTTAGGAACGTTTTTTGTGGTGCAGGTACAATATTGTTGCGATGAGCGATTAATTCGTCGCATTAATGGCAGTAGGAGCCGTTACAACTTAATAGCTTACATTTTCCTTTATATTTTTTTTCTCTTTCTTACACATATTTAGAGTTTTTAACACAACTTCTGCAAAAATGTATTCAGTGAACTATATCATGCTAGATTTACTTTATTCTGATTTTTTATTTTAGAAAAATCGTAAAATTTGTGTGTACCCACTTATATATTTTCATTCAATTTAGTTTGCAACATACATGAACATATTTTTTAAATAATTGCATTAAGAGCTAGAGAAATTAAATAAATAAGATTTTAGAGACAATTTGCGATGTTGAACAAATTACCACGGTCCTTAAAATACTCCAAAATATGCAATACCTATCGCGATATCTTCAAATGATTTAAATTAATAAAATATTGAGATCTCTTTAAACAGACTCTTTATCATTAAATTCGAACAACTTTTAAATTTAAAAGTTTAGAAAAAGACAAATTTGGATTTGATTTTCTCAGCCCCTAATTAAACTCATGCTTCTCTGACTCTGTATTTAGGTACTTTGTTACATGTGAAAGTCGGAGTGAAATATCACAACCCCGCGTCATCATGAGACCGCATGCTTCTAAAAAAAAATCGGGTCATTTCATTATCAGATTACTCAACTAGGGCAGTGAAACAGTGCATCTGCACTCCTTTTTTGCGACATTGAACCAATGAAAATATCGTTGTACTGGTCAAGTTTAATTACTCTTATCACTTATTAATTATGCAGCACGTATAATTTGCGACAGCTCTAAGGGCTACCTTAATATAATGATGCCAGATGAAGCCCACGATTGTTATGAAAATACAATGAATAGGATAGAGATAAATATATCTTGCAATTTACAGGCGGCATTCACAATATATTAATAATATTATTGTGAATAGAGATAAATCGGTTTTTATTTCATTTGGTCATGCACTGGCCTGAAATTCTCAATGCTCACTTGAGGGACCATTCCGCAGCTGCATGCAGTAGAATGCAGATATGACGTTTTTTCACATATTTCTCGTCAACCAGTCTTGTTGCAAAGTGAAATTATGAAAATATTTCTGGTGACGGTGGTGCGGTACTGATGGATCACCTTGTATAAACATGACTTAAGTCAAGGAAATGTATTTTTATTTGCTAGTGCTTGCACCTCTGTAAGTTTCATTAGAATTAACATTATATATTTAATTAGGGGAGTTTGTAGTGCTCATGAAAAAAGAAGAAAGAAGTTAGTAACCGAAACTGGATGATTTCACTGTGCCCGAGTTTTAGTGGAAAGTCTCTGTTACCGAGTGGGAGTTATGAGTCCTAATATCTTAAATATACTGAGATTGCCGAGCTAGTTCGGTTAAAATTATTCCCAGGGACTTGTTGCGTGTGTTAGACAGAGGCACGATTTTAACTTAGACTTTCCGAATGATCGACTTGGTTCATGAAATTTTAGTTGTTTCATTATTTTCTTCGGCTCATGGAAACGTCTGGTCATTCACTACCATTATTCTGAAACCTGGGACAAAAAAATGCCCTTCATTGACCGGCAAAGCATCAGATACGCTTAAACATGTTTTGCCTTCTTACGAATAGGTAATTCTGTTGAATTCTGTGAATAGGTTTCTCCTTAAGGTAATTCTGTTGAATTTATAAGGATCGTCTTCATGCAATCCCGAATGGAATCGAATGTTCGTCCGTACATGTATTAGCCTTTTAAACAGTTTTTTTCCGCAGGAAGGCTCATATAGTTTAAATTGTGATTAAGGGAGGTTTGGGGGGGGGGGCATTCAACATAGCTTTGCGAGTACAGAAATTACAAAGTGCAGCAGGAAAAATATCGAGGATTTTTCAAATATGATGCTAGGTCTGGTCCTAAAGTTTCGTAGAATTTTTTCCTTCGTATTTTGTACTTTTTGCAGTGGAAAATCATTTTACTTTCTTGGAAAGATCTATTTATAAAGTTATAACCTTAAATTTTACTGTTAATGAAGTTTTGAGCAATTAACGTTGATTAATTTCATACCCAAAAAATAAAACATTAAAGGAGCACCGCAGCAATGCAAAGTCACAGGCTCTTAAATATTGTCTTTTCAGTGATAAGCTATGTCGAGGGCCCCATTTAAACCCATTAAACATTCTTCAATAACAGCACATCATGTCGACGGTAAAACTCCCAAACCACGTATCTCGTTTGCGTTGTTTTAAAATCTCCCCTCCCATTTTAATTTTTAAGAGAGAGCAAATCATCGTCAGTCCTTAAAGTTTTCGAAATATTATCCCCTGCGCACTGAGAAGAAAACTATCGGAAGTTTTGAGTGAATTGGCATTGAGTAATTTTATACCTAAAAAATGAAGCATGAAAGGAAGTTCGCAACTTTGCAAACCGGGATACGTGCCTTGAGAGTCATACCGCCGACACGAGAACTCCTACGGGAAGAAGTTGCTTAAGGAGCGACACACAGTGGATCGAGTAAATGGGAAAGGTCGGACAAAATTTGGAAACTTTAAAACCTCATAACTCCGTTGATACAAAATTTTGAGGTTTTATAAGTGGATCCATTGGTTTCCTCGTACAATCTTCTTCTAGAAGCTTTCCTTGAAATTTAAAAAGTGACGAAATAAACATGAAAATTTGCAGAAGGTATTGATAAGAAAATTCATGTCCGAACTCCCCCATTGACTCGATCCACCGTGCGACAGTCAAAGCGGCCCCAAGTCTTACTGTGCTTTTTTGGCATATCGACGGTGAAACTACCAAACCACGTATCTCGTTTGCGGTGTTTAAAAATCTACGCTCGCATTTTATTTTTTTGAAGTCGACCAAATCAATATCATTCTTTGAAATTTTCACAGAATTTTCTCCGCACAAAGAGGAAAAATCACAGAAATTTTCAAGACTAGACGTTAAGTAGTTTTTCATTTAAAAAGTAAAGTATGACAGGAAGTCTGCGACGTCACAAACCGAGATACGTGGTTTGGTAGTTTCACCGTCGATATTCTACTTGCACCGTCACTTTGGTCTTGAGCGAAACAGAAACATGTGCACTTGGATCACGCGAGCCGTAAAAATTTCGCGAAGGTATGACGCTGGCGATAAGAGCTCACGTGGTTCCCACGTTGAATTTCGCGGGACGGCACAGTGTTGCGGGTCGTGGCGACGGGTTGGCTCGCGGCGGGAAACTGATCTCAGGAATAAGTGAAACTGCGCGGGCGGGCCGGCCGGGAGTGGCCGGTGGCGGACCCCCAAGCCTCGATCACAGGAACAGGGCTAGGCGGGATGTGGACAGGACGCGACTGGAGGGTGGGAGGGGAGGGTTTTCGCGGGCCGGCTCAGTTCTAATAAATCGTATTCGATAGTGGTTCGATAGATCGTTTGGTTTAAAACAATAGGACGTAACCTCAAACACAAATTTTAGGATTCAAGTTGGAAAAGCTGGAAATTAAAAAATCCCTAACAGTTTCACTCTTCATTGCCATTCTGTACTTCGAAGTATCAAAAGTCTATCGCAAAAAACCCGTTCCCTCAGATTATTCGATTGACTTTCGAGGTTATGTTTACATGCTGAACCAATCGATATCGATACAATCTCACCTGTTTGATGTATCGAATACGATCCAAGGCCTCGAGTTAGGTTAGGTTAAGGATAAGATCGACCACTCCAATGAATCGCTGAATCAGTACCTGTGTTTTCGCTCTTGGGCAATTTTACGAAAAGTGGCCAATGGGTTAGTTGCGCTGCTCACAGAATCGTGTTTTAATGTTTGATTCTTGTAGATTAGCTGAAATAATAAGATCCATCCGAACAGCATCTTTCTTTGTTCAATATTAACCGATATATTGCCCTTTGAGAAGTCGGGTTTTTGACGTCATCCACTGCGGCATGCAGTGACACCCTTGGTTTCCTCCAGCTTGCTTTCGATGGAGTTTCACGTTGATTAACCAGTGCAAATGTGCGTCACAATGACTGCTGGAAGCGAGGTAGAAGAAACCAAGGGCGACAGTGACACTACCGCGCTGGATGACATCAAAAATCCGACTTTTCAAAGAGCGGTATTTCCGTTAATATTGAACGAAGAAAGTTGCTGTTTGGATAGATCTTACAATTTTTAGCTGATCTACGAGAATCAAGCATTAACTTACGATTCTGTGACCAGCGCAACTGACCCATTCTAGTGGTGGTTGTTTTGTTTGTAAAATGAATGATAAAAAATCTAATATTTCACCCATTCCTTTGGATATCCCAGTCGATGTATTGTGAGCTTCATTTTCAGCTTTTACTGCTTGAAATGTCATGACCGTCACTCAGACCGTTACACCGCATACGATATTTTCACCATCAATCAAAAGTTCATATTTTCGGTGAAGAGGAGGCCAGGAATGCACTGTTCAAGGATTAACTCCAGCGGCGTTATCGTGCATATCGACTCTCATTGTAATTTATGGCTGGAGCACTCTGCTATTCTAGCAACTATCGCCATGGACTGAGAGCTTAGCCTCATTTGACATTCGATGATTCGACTCAGAACAAAATGATACCGATCGTTAATTCACGCTTTTTACGAGAAGCAAAATTCACGGAAAAAGTGAAATTGCTGTTTTAACAATTTTATAGTTAAAAAAAGTCCGGCATGTTTCAATGTAGATTTTACCATAAGAAAAAGGCTACTTTAATCACGCCCTTGGTTAAATCTACATTTGAAACATGCCGGGCATATTTTTTAACAATTGTGATTTAACAATTAGTCAAATCAGCAATCCATTTTCTTCCGTTTTTGATGTTGATACATAAGTAATCTAATCTTTAGCCAGCTTATAGCTAATCTATGGCTATTGATGTAACTCCCGCAGAACAGATATTCGAGTAAATATGAACCGGATTGGGATTTCTAGGGGTAGTCGTAAAAAAATTCCCTGAACGACACAACTCTCGTCAAATACCAATTTTCAGGCGCTTAAGAGAGACCTCTAAACATGATTTTACTTTCTTTCTTCTTTATTCAAAATTATTGTCAATTCAGACAGACCATAGCATATTCTGAGCAAAATGTATCCCGGCTTTTCTTGAATTTCAAAAATAAGAGACACCTCAACGCGGATTGATGCCAGTGCAGAGGTACGACTATAGATCGTATTCGATGGTAGTTCGATATATCGTTTGGTTCAAAACAATTGAACAAAACCTCAAACCAAAATGTTAGGATATTTGTCAAAAAAGCTGAAAATGAGGAATTCCGTAGTAATTTCACTACTCTTGGCCATTAAGTACTCATACGAATCAAAAATCTATCGCAAAAATCCGTTCCGTCAGATTAGTCAGTTGACTTTTGAGGCTATATTTATGTTTTGAACCAATCGATATCGATAAAATCTCACCCGTTTGATGTATCGAATACGATTTATTCGTGTTCCGTAGATGTCCACGCTGCATCTGCATAATAGAGGGTGTGACAGCGTGAGGCGCTAACTCGCAAATTTTCGCTGTACTAGCAAACTAAACTACCAATGTGGTGTTGCTCAGTTTCAGGGAAAAGGTTTAAAAACAAGGCCAAATTACGTCTCTTCTCTCTTTGGTTGTATTCCTCTCGTGGCCCTTGAAGCACCATTACAAATAAGACAGACGGAAACAAACACAATATGGAAATAGAGCAAGGGAAAGGACGCGCGTTGATGACGGCGTAGAGATACAACTTATCGTACATGATGGATGTCCGTGTTGCATCTGCAAAATTGAAGGCGCACTGGCGCGAGGCATGAACTCGCGATGCTGCTCCCCTCTGTACTGCCAATGAGGTGTCGCTCAGATTCGAGAGAAAAATTTAAATGAAGCCCGAATACATGTTTTCTATCCTCGGTTATTAATTTGATGTCTGATTCTTTTTCAGGATGTATCTTACACCTACACCTCTATTTGAAACTCGTATGCACCAACAAGAAAAAAAACATCATTAGTCAAAGATGTGGGGAAAAACTAGGATTGCCTTTTATTTTATTTTTTAACTAGCAAGAAACCCGTGCTTCGCACAGGAAAACCCCTACCATCAGCAATCACTGTGATTAGTGATCAGTTACTAATTGTGTTTCATTATTATTATTTACTATTTTAAAATTGGCGAGACGCACTGGTTTGATAAAAATGCAGAGATTAGTAGCATGTTGATTAAAGCTGCTATTTTAGTCTGTTCTGCAGTAAATTCATATGATAATTATAATAATTAATAATACCAAATCAAAAGTTGGTTTTTTTCATAAAGATGTGTTACTTTTATCAGTTCAATGTTTAAGTGTAGTTAGCTGGTGAGTTTCAGCCGCGAAAATTACGAGATTTAACCAGCGGTTTCGTTTAATTCTCAGCAATGGCGGGTTTGTTATCTACATCGCGGAGAAAACGTGATTTTTTCAGGGATTTTGTAAAACAAATTAGAAATTAAACGATAATCACCACGATATCACGACAAATACGTAGTGTTCCTAGCGAATTTCTAAGATTATTATAATTGCGTGTTATTCACATCACTATCGTGACATACACGCGAATTTCTGACTCAATTAAGGCTACGTAAATGTGCGCATAAAACTCATACACATCTGTTACTTGGGATGGGCGAAAACGTATGATTTTCCTTCAAATTTGTATGATACCACATACCCATTCCGCAGTTCAAATAGTTGCTCGCTTCATTTCTGCTTGTTAAAATTGACGAATTGCAAGAATCCAATCTCAATTTTACGAGCACTATGGGATGTAACCATCGGTTTCCTTATATAAGATTTAATGTTTTGAAATTAAAAAAAAAGCATCAGCGATGATCCAAAATTTTGCAAGTATGACTCATGTGTTTCGGTAAACTATGATAGAAACAGAAAGCAGGTGGAGAATGTCGAAGCGATGTTCTAGTTTTGCTCCGCTGTCAGCACCGCGTCTGCAGGCGCAGTGTGACCGAGCCGTCATCAAAGTACAGAACGCCTTCAATATAGCAAGTGGCAATATGGACATCCCCCGTGGTGAAATAGTTGTATCAAGAGCGCCTTCGACGATCGGAGTCAAATAGTATATCCTAGTGCCGAATCTCAGGGTCATACGAGCTTCCGTTCACGAGATCCGCTGGTTTAGTGAATGAGTGAGTCAATCAACGTGAAGTCTGCTTTATTAGTTTAAAAGATAATTCAAGATTATAAATGAACCCACACTTAAAAATCACAATATAATTCATTATGGAAACAATTTTAAATGAGAGTGGTGTCATTCCCTTCTAGGCGCTTGACGAGCTCCTTCACTATTTCATTACTTTGCACCCCCCCCCCCCCCNGGAACAGCTGTGGATTTCCAGCTGGTGTGCGCGGACTCCTTCCAGAGAGTGTGAGGGTGGGGGTGTCCGGGGGCCTTTCTCGGAAGTTTTTGACAATTTGATGCTATAATTAACAGTTTTGTCTCATTTCTCACTGCAGAAATTTGCTTACTCTTCACTTGTAAATATATCATAGTTTTTCAAAATTAAACTAAACTTTTCTTACAGAAAAACGAGGAGAGGGGGGGAGGAAATATGAGGGAGGGAATGAAGGATCGGGGAGAAAAGAAGAAACGGGGAGCGGAGGAGAATATCACCGAGGGAAAACAGGTAACACTTTGGGGGATTTACGTTAATTGCTCATAAAAAAAGCCGCCCCCTCCAATTTCAAATCTGACGAGTTGCTTGTCTGCAAACATGACTACTGTCACCATCGCATAATGAGATTATAATGTGTACTTTTTGTGACCTTAGAAACAATAGATTTAAGAGAGAAAAAATCGGTAGGAAAAGTTACGATAGTAAACTTTCAAATCTTTATACCGCCTTAACGATGACCGTGAACCGATCGACACCAATTCAACCGACAAATTATTAAAAAAACGGCGTCGATTCGATCGTATCACAAGTTATTACTTTCAATTCATTTCGATCGAATCCATACCCTACGCCTCGAAGGGCCTCATTGATCAAATGAACTTCGTTTTGCAATGGGAAACCACAATTCCTGACTTCTTTTAGGAACAACGTGTATACCATTAGTTTCCTTATACACACAAGAGTTTTTACAAATGAGGCAAAAATGTTAGTTCCGAATAGCAAAATGTAGTCCAAATGATCACGTAATTACATTACTGAATAACGATGGAGCCTACACATAAAAGCCGCTTCACTTGCAGGCTTTTATTTAAAATTATCTATAAAAATATGTAAATGAAGAGGGGAAAATTAGTTGGGTTTTATGAATTGAATTATAATTTTGACAATACTTCAGACAAACTTACCAAAATGTCAAAATCATAAGTTGAAAACCGCTGACGCCGAAAGTTTGAGTGATCACATTAATCACATGCGGCCGGCGCGCACGGCGCGAGACGCACTAACGCCTTACAAGACCGCAGGATACTTCATGCATTGCGCATACAGCACTGTGCGCGCGGAGCCTAGTATGGCGCCTTACAAGTCTGCAGGATACTTCATGCATTGCGCGTATACCACGAAGCACGCTCAAGTCGTTGAAAAGTCGTCTTTTCTTGGTATGTCGAACCTACCCCGGTAAACACAATTTCCGAACAGTGCCCACCGCAAGCTTGCAAATTGCAAGTTGCATAGGATCACAGGACTGTAGAGACTTTACAATTCTGTATGTTTTTCGCTGAAAATATAATTTTCCCCGGCCGCTTCGAGGAGCCAGTCCGATCCTAATTACAGGGATTCAGAAATTCGGACGATGTTTAATTTTTTTTGTTGATGAAAATAATAAAGAAAATAGAGTGAACGAAAATATAGGGTCGAAATTTTCTTTGATTTTGTTTGAAATCAGTTCGGCGCTTCTGATTCTTTGCCCGGTTTTTACCATTGATTAAGGAGGAAATAGGTATCGTTATTGCATCGATTCAAAAACTCAAACCACGTAAACTTATTTGGGTTTAACAAAAAGAAGAAAAAATACGAACGAAAATATCGCATCGACATTTTTGATGATTTTATTTGAGATCATTCCGAGAAATTCCCGGAAACACTTCAGGAAAACTGTACGTATATTCTTAAAAAAACTCTGAAATGAAATAGAACATGAAACGTTGCAAACAAAGATAAATACGATTTTTTTCGCGTGCTCCCGTCCGTATTTTAATTTATTCATCTTTTTAATATCTCGAATATAGTTGTACTACAATTTTTTACGTGTAGTTTTCTTAAAGTGGTTGGCGGCCGCGCAGAGAAGAAATTTTGATTATGTTCAAGTAATTTGCCACTTTAAATTACAAAAAAGCAAGGTTGAAGTTTAAGAAAAAAACCTTTGTTTATTTATTTATAAATATGTGAGGCGCGCTAATACAAAAAATAAATAAATAGATAAATTCAAAATTGGGGCAGTGTATATAATAGTAATAATAATCCCTCTTAATTTTAAATCTTTGGATTTATCAGTGTGCTAAACTAAAAATTTTTGAGAGGTTAAACCTCTCAATTTCGCGTCTGTGCTGCGGACTCAATATGCCGCGCCTTAGCGGAGCTCAACGGTTGAAAAATATGAGTTTGGGTCGGATGAAAAAGAATGAATTTGAGTACTACCAATACATGATCTCCCGCTGTAGGTCAAGATGAATTTGACTTTGAGTCTCGTTCAAAATAGCTCTTTTGCTCAAGTGCAAGATCGACCGAGTAAGGTCACTTACTCCCGCGGGCACGGAGCTAGACCCATCCATTTGGGAAGAAGAAAAAACTGAAGGTGGCTCCTTCCCCGTGGCGTCAATGTAAAGCAACGTCGGCCAGCTCCTCACTCTACTCTCGACCACTTTACTGAATACTTGGCAACTAATAAGCGCCATTGTCGGTGTCGCCGTACCCTGTTAACATTAGCGGATCCAGCAGATTGGCAGCTGGGTCATTCCATTGTAACGGGTGTGACAACAATTTAACTTTAAACAAGAATTTGAACTCTTTCTTGGGGTTTAATTAAAAAATTATCTGCAGTAGCAGAAAGAACTTTTTTTATAGATCATTTTAGTTTATCAGAAATTGTTTTTACTTTGTTCCATTCCTCAGGAAAAAATTAAAAGGCTGCGTAACGGGCGTGACCGATTTTGGAAGTGAGTTTTTCCTCAGTGAGTGTAAAGTGGAAACTCAGCGAATTTTATGAATTTAAAAATCTGATTAAATTATATGATGAAGCCAAGGGTTTTTGCTTCATCTGCCGATGATCCGTTTTCGATTATCTTTTTTTCTTTCCTTGAAAAATGGGAGAGTTTGCGTAACGGGTGTGACAGATTGTCTCTCTGAGGTCCATCATTTCTGAGAGAGTTTAAAAGTTAAAAAACTTACTTTTCTTTTCATACTCTTATTGTAGGCAATCCTAAGCAGTAAATCAATCAGCAATTTGACGCATTTTAATGTAGAACATGCCAAAACTACATTTTTCTACAGGGTGGCTCAGACCTACCGTCCCAGGGCTTTTCTTCGGGTAGCCCAGGATTCCCCTCTCGTCCCCGCGGTCCTGGACCTCGCATGATCCAAATTAACCAAAAAAAAATCCTGGTACGGTAGGTCTAGGCCTAAAGTAAAGTGAAAATATTTCAATCCAATCGGAGAGAGTTCAACGAGTTCTAATTGAAGTCCTTTTGAGATAGGTGTATTCACTTTAAATACTGAAATATGGCAAAAAAGTTGGCTATCTCTCTCTTATTAGATGTATACATACCTCTAATTGTGCATATGAGTGTATTTCTTGTGATAACCATAGAAAAAATGGTGAGAAGTGAGGCAACATCTGCATAATTGAAGCCTCTTCTCATTGGTCACACCCGTAACGTGTCACACCCGTTACGCAGTTTCGTCTATCAATTGTTGAAATAAAAATTTGGAAAAAATACTCCAAAGCTGTAATTGACTTGGAGACGTACAGAAAAAATTAGCATCTCAAAATAACATGAATTAAAATAGTTACATTAAAAAACCCATGTTTTGCGTAACGGGTGTGACAGTCAGTACACTAAGTTTTAAAAGTTACATATAATACACAGTAATTACTTTTAAAAATTGAAACTTTGCAGGAGCACATTGAATCAGTTTCTTGACAACTGCAAACATAAACTGAAACTTGGTTTTGGCGGGAACACCAGAAAATATTGCTACCAAACTGTCACTCTTTTTACAGTTGGATGAACCTAACCAATGGGGTTACAAAACACGTGAAAATTGCGAGAAAAAAAACAAAACGGATGTAAACCCCATATATTTCCAAAAACTAGGAGTATTAAGGAGTCCAAAAATAAATATTGTTGGGTCATTTGGAGGGGGGAAAAAAATACCCCGCGGACTACCTAGGCGTGGAATGATCCAGCATTGTTTTTTCCCCCATTTAAACCTATGGAAATATACCGATTCCTGTAGGAGCCAGGTGCTCCGACAAGAATCGATTATTTAACATAGGTTTAAATGGAGGAAATCCGATGTTGCCAAATTGCAAGCGAAACATGTTCGTTGATTGTCTCATAGAAATACTTCCTAATTGCTAGAGCATACATTGTCTTTCAATACATTTTATTTATATTTTAAATTGGTTCGTTATGGTTATTTTTAACACATTAGTCTCCTCCTGGTTTCGTTTCTCCTCCTTTTTTTAATAAGAAAAAATCGTGTGGACGTCACCGAATAACTTTTGCGATTCACGACGATCAGCTCTCCACACTCCCTTATAAAACTTATCAAATAAATAAAAAAAATGGACTTTATGAGCTGGACTGAAAGTAGCAAGCACAACTCTGATTAAAATTATGGGAGGCATGCCATTACGTATGAAGCAATCGTGCCAGCAAATCACAAATACTGCACTTGCAAGTCACCTATGGAGTTAGGTAAATTCATTCAAACACATTTTGCGTCAATTGCGTCCAAACAGAAGATAATCTTCCTGAACTAGATTATTAATCAAATACTATCAATGAATGAAAGGTCGGAATCCTGTTTACACTCTCACTGAACATCGAAAATACATCAAAAGTGTTACACGGGGTTCTCGACATAGTATGAAAAAATGTGACAATAGCTGATTCCGTCTTGTTGTCGTTGTGTCTTCCTCTTGTCATGATTGTATGTGCTCCCCGAGGTAGTTTGCTTCGATGCAAAAAATAGTGCCTGATATCTCGGTTCTAAGTTTTTAGAGGATTTACCCTCTTTCACAGGTATGCGCCAAATTTTTATCGTTTCGACTAGTGGTATATACCTTTTATTCCATTACAATACCGATATAAAAATGATTTAAACTGCTGTAAATGATTGATGAAATCGTGTTATTTCTCGTCACTCTACAAGCTTAAGCCATCAAAATGCGATTCCATGACCGACGTAACTAACCCTTTGGCTTCTGTCTTTGGGTCTGCATGAAGTCTTCTCATAGTTAATACATTTTATTCCCCTTTTAGGAGAAATTCATTTTCACATTTCATTTTTTTTCTCTTTTGATCCAAACGTTTTGCCTCAATTTCTAGGTGGTCCTCAAATGAAGTACGCGTAATTGGAGTTTCGCCATCTAGATTTCTCATGTCTTGGTGAAAATTTCAAATCTTATCATCTTTAAATTGTCTTCATCAATTCTCCATCTAGCAATTGAAATGCGCATATACCTTTCTCGAGGAAATATTTAAATTTTACGAGAAGGTCTCTCTTCGCACTGGTAACTCTGACAACATGGTTATCCTTTGCCCAATAGGTAGAGAGGGAACCTGCTCAGTGATTGACCTTAGAGAATCGGCTTTGATTTTGGTGTTAGACTTGAGATGTGCGGATAATATCAACAACGCGGCGTGCAGAAGCGTGTGTGTCTGTGTTTCAGTTGCGCTCCTGACTTCTTCGGAATCAGCACTATCATAAAGTAAAATTTAAGAAATATATGCTCACGTGAGTACAAACACTTTTCAATATCCTCTAGGTTTTATCTAGGTGATCTATGGTTGGTTGGTAGATAGGTACGTTTATTTGGTGCTTTTAACAATTGAGCCATTAACACCTTAGAGGAGGGATCAAAATATAGTACAGAATTTAAAAATTTAAAAAGTAGGGTAGTACAAAATTAAAAATTAGGACAAGGAAAGAATACATTAAATTTGGAGATTAATTCGTTTGAAAAAGAGAGGGATTTCACAAAAAGTATGTTTTTGCGATAAGATATGTGTATAACTTTGCCAACAGTTCGAGTCCCCCGCACGAAGGAACGTAACTTCATTCCAAGGTTGTAAAATTGACTTAGACTATTCATTTTTTTTACCAAAATCAACCAGAATCATTTTCGTCGCAAATTTTTCTGACGTTTGCACGAGATCAGAAGAAAAATTAATGAAATTTTCAGTTAGAAATTCCCAATATCCTCCTCGGAAAAATGCAATTTGCGCGAAAAACGGGGGCAGCATTGAAATGAAGTTTCGTGTTTTTGTATGGAAAACGACGATTTGGATCCTACAAAGAAACCAAAAAGCGAGAAAGGTTACACTTAGGACAACCTTTTCTCAGAAAAAGGCAATTATTTTGATTTTAAATCCATTGAAACTAAAGTTCAACTTTTTCCATATGCCACCAGTGGCGAGGCGTGAATGGTCGATTATCGACATTTCCCCATTTGAAGCTATGACAGAATCTACTATCAAGGTGTTCATTGCGAACACCATGTTTATCAATCCTTTATCATAGGTTTAAATGGCAGCTTAATCGGTATATCGCAAAACGCCACCTCACTGTATGCCACCTCTATTCCCTATGCTAGAGAAGAAATATTTTCTCCGAGTTTGTATTTTAAATTTTGTTTGGACACACGACTTTTATTAGGTTTTACCAAAATAAGCCTAACTGCGTTTCACATTGCATTGTAATTTTCTCCTACTTTTCAAGTTGTTAACAGAGAACTAATCGTCATAATGCCTTGAACCGACTTGTGAATTCCTTCCGGATATGCTTGCAAAAATTTCATGTCAAAATGTTGCAGATTTTTGTCAAGGAAATTAAATATGAGAGGAAAATAGGCAATATCTAATATAGTTAGGCTTATTCTATCAAAATTCGTCCAATTATTCCAGCCTCTAAGTTCAATTCACGTGGAACTATGCACATCGCACGGTCATTTGGTCATGTGACGTTGCCAATTTTTTCCCAGCATAGAGAAGAATTACGTTTTTTTTTGTGGATTTCCATTTCCAGGGAATAGTCAGAAACCGGAGTAGCGTGCCAAAGTAAACGACACGGAAAAAAGAGCCCTGGAGCCCATTCCACTGCAAGATGATAAAATTGAGGGCTTGGGTTCTTCTATTTTGCGTGCTAATGGTTGCGACACAAGTCTTCACTACCGCCACTAAACAAAAGCGACCGCATATTGTCTACATTTTAGCCGACGATCTGGTAAAATATGATTTTTGTTTGTTTTTCGCTTAGTTACCTGCTTGTATGTGCTATACTTATGCCATACACACGCCGCACGGTGGATCGAGTCAATCCGAGGAGCCGGACATGAAATTTTTTAGTAATATTGCAAATTTTGATGTTTATTTCGTCACACTTTAAACTTCAAAGGGTGCCTCCAAAAGAAAATTTCACGAGAAAACCAATAGAACCACTTTTAGAACCTTAAAGTTTTGTATAAATGGAGTTATAACCGTTTAAAGTTCCAAGTTGTGTCCGACCTCTCCTAATGGCTCGATCCACTGTGCGCCGGTACATACGCCGGTATGTACTTGTATATCGACGGTGAAACTACCAAACCACGTATCTCGTTTGCGGTGTTTAAAAATCTACACTCACATTTTATTTTTTTGAAGTAGACCAAATCAATATCATTCCTTGAAATTTTTACAGAATTTTCTCCGCACGAAGAGGAAAAATCACAGAAATTTTCAAGACTGAACGTTCAGTAGTTTTTCATTTAAAAAATAAAGTATGACAGGAAGTCTGCGACGTCGCAAACCGAGATACGTGGTTTGGTAGTTTCACCGTCGATATGCAGAAACACCATGTACATAATCTTAATTCAATATTTTATAGATTTTTTTAAATCTATTCTTGTTTCCTTTTGCTTTCACTTTTTTTTTAATTGTACAGAACGAATTGTGACAATCGTAATTTTTGCTGAAACTCAAGCGGTATTTTCTGCGACGGATTATAGAACATTTGTTATTTTTTATTTTTATTTTTTTTATTTAAATGTACGGGTTGAATCGCGTATATTTTCAGACGTAAGTTTCTCCCGTCTGGGCAAGTCGATTGGATAAAAGAATAATCGAATATAATTTTTTACGGATGTAACACCCCGTCGGCAAAATTGCCTAGGCCAGGGACTGGGCAACTTTGCCCCGTCTGCGGACTGGCCACCGACCTACCCCCGTTGTCCGTTCCGCTGGTCAAAAGGCTGTCACCAACTAGCGATGCTCTTTCTATGTAGGTATTTCATCATTCGGGTGCTACTGTAAATGAGAAATCCCGTACATCTCTGGAGAAGTGAGGAAAGCGGGAGTGCCTTCACGTTTTGGATATGCAACACGCACATTCATTGAACACGAATAGTTGCATCAAGGCGCTACAATGAGCTCAGGCTAGTCAACGTAGAGCGGAAGTTCACCAAGTTTTGAAAACGCAACACGTACATCCAATACACTAAAATTAAAACAATTACGTGGCTTGTATTTCGATACATTTCAGTTCCGTTAAAATCTTGCGAGGTGTTCGTCAGAAATCGGGCAGCTGGGATATTCGTCGGTTAGCGTATGGATATAAATTTTCACGCTTAAAATTTCCAACAATAAATTGCAAAAAAAACCAGAAGCAACAGCAAGTTTCTATCTTTGTTAACGATACAAATTTCAGGGTTGGAATGATGTAGGATTCCATGGATCCAATGCAATTCAGACGCCGAATATCGACGCACTCGCCTATTCTGGTATCATTCTACAAAACTTCTACGTAAATCCTCTCTGCACGCCATCCCGAGCTGCTCTCATGACCGGAAAATATCCCATCCGCACAGGTAATCTCATTACTACTTGACTTATAGAGGGAAAAATACATTGCTAGAATAGGAAAAAGGATTCGTAAAAGAAGGAGAGCGGTTTTTCATTTTCGTCGAAAATTATTATAATTATGATGTAGGTTTTTCCCACAAAAATAACGCTTTTGGATGAGAACTGACTGAAAGACGGGCCGTGGCCAAGTCTTTCAAACCTAGAGCCTGTTAAAATCGCTAAAATTTGAGAGTTGTTATTTAAAAAGAGTTGTTAAAACTTCATAGATTACCATTTTAGCAGTTGGTCATATAAATAAAAATAATAATAGAACCACATCGTATAACACAGCGCAAGCACATTACTCAGTCACTGCCCTGAGCTTAAGAAAGATCTAGTGATGTTATACGTGTGCAGGATCACAGCTTTCTGACTTTGGGTGTGAACGTTTTCACTTAGTTGGAGCTGCTTCAGATGTCTGAGGAAAGACTGAGGAGTGATCCCCGTAACGGATATCATAAATGGTACCATAATTACTTAATAAAGATGACACAAATAATATCACTCGCAGAGCGCACGGCTGGGCCAGTAGCGCGCGAATCATGAAATCATGTATCTCCGTTTGCGACGTTGCAGACTTCCTGACATACTTTATTTTCCCCTTGAAAAACTAGCCAATTTCTTTGAAAGTTCCTTCATTTCTCTTCTCTGTTAGGAGAATATTCTGTGTAAATTACAAGCGATAGTTGACTTGTTTCTCTTCGAAAACATAAACTTGGGGAGGAGATTTCGAAACATCGCGCTGGAGATATGTGGTTTCGCACTTTAACGATCTGCATGAATTCCAGCAATTTCATCACCGATCTGTTTCGTCAAATATAATGTTAACTTGTTTATTTTGTATTTTACGTAGGTATGCAACACTTCGTTCTGTACGGTGCTGAGCCTCGGGGGCTACCACTGAAAGAGAAGCTTCTTCCGGAGTACCTAAAAGAGCTTGGATACACGAACCACATGGTAGGCAAGTGGCATTTGGGTCACTACAAGAAGAAGTATACACCTCTCTACAGAGGATTCCACTCTCATCTGGGCTTTTGGACCGGCCGACAAGACTTTTATGACCACACCGCTTGTGAAAATGTAAATCACATAGCTGCAAGTTATACCTGTTTTTTCTCCCTCATATGAGGGGCTTGGAGAACAAGACGCATAAGTGAAGTTTTTGAAAAAATTGAGATATTAGTGATTTTAAGTAAAAATAGTCTTAATGCACATTCCGTGAAAAATTCGCTCCCAAATGTCAACTTTTAAACATTAAAATGTCAGTTAAACTGCACATGTCCGCCTTGTCCTCCAAACCCCTCATATGGACCATGGACCTAGCATAGCAAAGACATACCAAGCTGTATTTCGGGAAAAAGAAAATGAGTTGGGAGGTTTTTTTTTTTTTTTTTTGGAGAACATTGAATTAGTTTTAAATTTCCCTCTGTCAGTAATTCAAAATCGACAAAACATATTTTGGAGGTCAAAATAGTCATTGAACTTTATTCCTATCTTTGAGTCTTATGGACGAATAGAACTTCAAACTTGTTTTTCCCTTTTCTGAGTTCAAACTTGATGCTACTTGGTGCGTCTATGATCAACATAGGCTGAAGAGAGTCAAGTCAGATGAAAGAAAAAAAATATCGATATTTTCAGTATTTTTCAGCTTGACTAGCTCCTAACGTTCTTATGCTGTCAAAAATCAAAGTTTCCGGTGGAGGTTTTTTAATCGCAGTAGGGATTTAAATTGATTTTTCACACTGCCTTATATAGAAGAAGAAACATCTGCACCCATTTTCCTCAGTCCTCACCTTATGCAACTTTTTTCTCCAGGAAGAACCTGAATTTGGAGGGAAGGATTCTCATGCAAAGAAAGGAAAATAGTGCTAAATGAACCGCGTTAAACAGAGAGAAAACAAGCCACATCAGCTATTGCTAAAAATTGGACACTTTAATTCTTTGTATGAAAAGGGTTCTGCGGATTTTTAAGCAAATTATAGTGAATTTTTTGCATATTACGAAGCAAATTCCTAGAAATTTTCAAAGAAATCCACACAAATATTTTCTCGTAAAAAAATAAATTGCCCCGTTAAATTTGGCAATAGGTGATGTGGCTTGGCTCCTTTCTACGAAACAAGGTCCAAATATGAGAGAGGAATCGTTACAACTTCCCATTTAATTCATATATTCGCCAATTCGTCGCTTGGCTGACCAAACATTTGAAGATGAACCCGGGAAAGCATTACGTATTTGCACGACCGGGTTCATCACGAAGTGTACTGCCTTGCTGAGGAAGGACGCCGTATAAACATCCGGGAGTTGCCAAATTTCCCTACACAAAACATGTATTTTTGATGACATTTATGCACATTTATCTTTGAAATGCTCCGATATTTATGATAACATTGCGTACAAAAGTGTCCGAAAATTTTGGAAAAAAATATTCACAATTTTCTCAATAAATTCGATTTTAATCGAAAGAGACTTTGCAACGTCTGAATGCTCATACGGCGTTCTTCCTTAGCACGAGGTGTAGTTATGTCATAACGTGAGGAGGGCAAGGAATCATCCCAAAACATATCTATGTCGCAGGCAAACAGTGAAATCAGGCATTTTGTCAAATGCCTAGGCAGATAGTTAAATTTTGACGGTCCACAAAATTTTGTGAATTTATGGCGAAGAGCTCACGAGTTTTCAATATTTTTTGGAAAAATAACTCATCAAACCTACGAACTCTTTTTGTCTCTTTTCTCTCCAATTTCTTCTCATATTTTTAAATGTTGAAATTGTAAAAACTCTGTATTTTATGACATGCTGAAAATTTCGAGATAAGTGTCGTTCAGGATCTGAAAATTGTTTAAAATACTTTTGTGTGATGCACATTTTTACCAATATGTTTTTCTCACAAGAGCAAATAATTATTTTGTCTAAAATGAGGAAAAGAATCAGAATTTCAATCTCAGTTAGAATATTTGACTATTTGCCTAGGCATTTGACGAAATGCCTGATTTTACTATTTGCCTGCGACATCTACATGGCTAAATGTCTCTTGCAGGGCACATGGGGTTTAGATATGCGGCGCGGGATGGACGTGGCGTACGACTTGCACGGCGAGTACTCGACGGATGTCTTCACTCGCAAGGCCACGTCGCTTATCCGCGATCACGACCCCTCGAAGCCCCTCTTCCTGTACATGTCCCACGCGGCAATGCACTCTGGCAACACATACAGCCCTATACCCGTCTCAGAGCAGTTGTCCGCCACTATGTTCGCCCACATTCAGGACTACCATCGGAGGAGATACGCTGGTAAGTCCCCCCCCCCTTTCCTCAGAAAAAAGGCCTTTAAACGCTCGGCCGCGCTAGAGTCCCTTTATACTGAGAGTCAAGACAATTCGGCTCATGGATGTCACAAACGGGAATAAAGATTACAGAAATTGAACGTTTTTCGTAATCTTTGATCGGCCCATTCTCAAATGCCTTTCTCCGTTCCTCCTCTCATTCCGTTTGTTCCTTGCCGAACCCGTAATTCCCTGGTCCATTCCAGATTATAATATTTGCAATTGGTGAAAATGTAATCTTTATTCCCGTTTGTGAGACTGTGGAGGCCTAAAATACGGGAACCAATCAGAAATGGATTCAAATTGTCTTGACTCTCAGTATAAAGGGACTCTAGGCCGCGCCTGCGCCGAGTAGGGAGATGAATTTCGAAGTTTTCCCGATAGATGTGGTCTTGGCGCACACTTGCCCACACTTGCGAACAATGTGCTATCAAATTTACAGAGAACGCTCCATCTCTACTGCGGATAGGTCAAAATGTATAAAATATAAATACAAGTCCTCACGAAAGTCAAGGTAAATAATTTCTAAGGTCTGTAGAGGGACAATTTTAGTGGATTTTGAGCTGCAGGATCTTATAGGCGGATCCAGACACTTCGAACGGGGGGCGTAGAGGGGTCCAAGGCCCTCCGAAAATTCTCGGAATTTTAAAGCATCAAATATGCAGGTTGAGTCAATTTCGTCGTGAGTAATTACCAATTATAAACGTCTCTTCTTCTTTCCTCCGTTCTTTCCTTCTTTCTTTCTTCCCTTTTTCTTCCGCCTTTTTTTCGAGTGAACGAGGGGGGGAGTACCCCCTGAATTTGCCTTTGAAGAATCAAAAAATTACCTTAGATTACTTTTACGGACCTCCAGATTTCTAGAAAAACCAATCTTCTCTAAAATAATCTCTTACACCTTCATAAAAACATCGTTAAAAGTTTATTTGAAAGAAAAATAGTTTCCTTCAAAACGTGAGAAAAGCAAAAGAAACTTGAGGTCTTTTTTTAAATTAGAGGCATACAGTACAGCAAAATAAATTGTCTCTCTAAAGACCTGGAAGCCTTACAGTCTCTGCAGAGAGAAAAAAGAACAGCTAATTTCAGAATTTTCCTGGGAATGAATGGTCTATCCCGGGAAACTTATGGGTGATAAAGCAAAATATAGCTTATGTTTGGCTCAGGGTCGAAATTCTGCACAAACACCTTATTCTAGTGAGCCTTTTTTTTTTTTGCTGAACAGAGTCAATTTCTGTCAAACACATCCTGAGAATCATCTCAATCGCAACACCGGTAAGCTTGATGGAAACATTCTCTGAATTATTTCAATAAGTTGGATTCTTCAGTTTTAATTTCATATGCTTTTCTAGTTGCACTTTATAAATTGGACCAGTCTGTAGGGTCGCTAGTTGAAGCATTGAGCGAGAAGAAGATGCTGGAGGACACCATCATCATCTTTACGACGGATAATGGAGGTCCCGCAGCTGGATTCAACATAAACGCAGCGTCAAACTGGCCACTCAAAGGCGTAAGTTGAACGTATCCTCCATCTCATGTTCTTCTTAAGAAACCGTTTTACAGTCCTAGGTCCAAGCCCAAAGCTTCTTACACCTCCTAGGATAAAGGAGGTATTGCAACGCACCCTAATAATGTTAGGTATTCAAACTGTTTATCGTCCAGTTTTTGACAACGGAAAAGGGAAGTCGCAATTAACTTCTTCAATTTAATATTTTGATCATAATGTCACCAGGGCCGGATTTAGGGGGTAGCCACATGGGCCGCGGCCCATGGCGGCAAATTCAGGGGGCGGCAAATTTTGCAATTTTTTTAAATGTAGGTCTGAAAAAAAATCAGATCCAGAATAACCATTTCAAACGAGAAAAGGCGACAAAATCTCTTATTTCCTGAGAGTATAGTAATTTATAATTTTGTTGTCTTTCGGTGATACAAAGAGACAGCACCTTCAATAAGTCGAGTTAAGAGAGAAACCAAACGCGCAATTTGGCTTGGAGCAGCGCGGCGCTATGATGACGAGGACTTGAGATGAAAAGGAGAAGCCCTCGACGCGGCGGTCGGCATGTAACACATATTAGCACCTACAAGACTGCATGAATACTTCACGCATTGCGTCCAATGTAGTGCGGTCAGCAGCGGTCGGCGTAAAACGCATGGTGCCTACAAGACTGCGCGAATACTTCACGCATTGCGCCAAACACAGTGCGGTCAGCGCGGCGGAAGTTAAAATTATTAGACCATATTTATGTTTGTTCTTTCATAATTTTTTTGTTAATTTCCTACAAATGGAAGGCGTTGTATACACAGAGATAGCTTTACGGAACTTAACTTTCGCGCAGAGTTCCGTGAACTTTTGCTAGTGGTGTTGACAGGGCGTTCGCAAAAAAAGTGTCCAACACGAGTAAACGCGTATTCTGCGCTCTCCCCCTCCGGCACGTTCACTTGATGGTTTTTATTGATGTTCCAAAACGCATTAGAAGGGGGCGGCAAAATACAGGCGGCCCACGGGCGGCAAGTAGGTAAACCCGGCCCTGAATTTCACAAAAATTGAGGATCCTACCGGAGTGCTTACATTTAAGTCTCAAAGATTCAGTTTTGAACGAAAAGAGGAACATTACGTAGGGATGTAAAAGTGTATAGAAATTACGACGTTCGAGAAATCAATGGCTCCCAACCCAAAATCAAGGTTTTCAATATTAATAGGCTCAGTGGATTAAAGTTTAAAAAACCGCAATGCGAGTCACGTAGCCTGATTAAATTAATGAAAATCATTCGTGACTTTGACGAGTGAAGTTTTATCCACCTATTTTCAAAAATATAATGATCATCCATCTGTATGTTGTCCGACAACGCAGTGCAGCTTCGGTCGTAAAAATTGGGCGCATCATGCAACTATGCATGCTCTGAGGAAGTCCATGTTGCATGTGCGCAAAATGGAAGGCGCTCCTGATTTTGGTCATATCCCCCGATACACTCTATCGTGGATACTTCTTTGCAAGACGAATTCTCTTCGGGCGATTCTCCACAATGACATTTTACCCGCAACGATGCTTTCCTAGCCGGCAGATTCAGAGAGGGGGAAAAACTTCTTCCTCACACTAAGTAAAGCCATTGGTGTAGACTATAGTGGTAAACCGAGCGTGTTTACTTATGTGATTTTTCGACCATACTCGACGGAAATAGCTCTATTAAAGCTTTTGATCCCGTGGACTACGGTTACGTTAATTTAACATTACCATTGAAAATGATGAGACATTTTGTTGAAGCTGTAAAATAGATTGGTATTGAACAACTCAAATAAACTCATTCGTGTGAGGTATATCTATATTTTTAATGCTGATATCGCTATCGTCGTTATAACTTCCTGATTCATGGAATCATTATTTGAGAGTATTACCAAAAATAGCTGAGGCTGCCATGCTTTTAACACACTTTTAACATAAGTACAACACTACATCATACTATTATTTTTGTATATTATTAAGGTCAAAAGTACCCTTTGGGAGGGTGGCGTGAGGGGAGCAGCTTTAGTGTGGAGCACAGCATTTAAAAACCCAGGTAGAGTCTCAACTCAATTGATGGACATCACATACTGGCTGCCTACCCTTCTATCGGCGGCATCCAATAAAAGCATTGATACTAGGTAAGCATCTCTTGCAATCTAAATTATAGGTGGATATAATCTGTTAGGTTCATAAATTTATCAATAGGTACAAATTGAGTTGAAACTTAAATCCTCTCAAAAATTTTGACTCTCCACAGCATTGGAGTGTAAATAATCCCTGGTCAATAAATGTTTACATAAGTCACAGAGTAAACACTACGTAGTTGTATGTACGTTATACATGCCGTTTTAATAGCGCTCTCTGGCGCTCTGCGACACCCAACCGCCAAAGTCCCCTATCCTCCTTTAGCCCCTCAGGGAGTTGGTGCTCCCTAATTTACGTTTTATACGTTATATTTAACAAAATAGATTATAAGTCCATCCACATACTGTCGATGATAATTTTTGCTCTCCGATGTAAATTGTATCCCTCGACCCGAAGTTAACACCAGCGTATCTAAGCCTTTTTCATTCTGAAAGATTTCTGCCGGATTGCAAAGATAATGGGGGACCACACAAGGATGGGCTCTACTTTGCCATGATGAGAGAATCACTTTTGTGGACTCATTTGAGGAATAGCATAAGTACAATTAGTTTCCCGTGAAGTTTTTATGGATGAGTCAGAAATGGGCGTATTTATGCTAAAAGGAACTATGTACAAGTGGAAAAATGGGGTGTGCTCGTGGTGAGCTGGATGAGAAACAATGTAAAAGTGGATATAGTTCCTTTTGAGAAAATGGAAAAGCGGGAGTTTACATTGAATCAAAAGGAATTGAGCGCTAACTCGTGAGCTGTGGACATGTAACATAATCCTTGTGGACACGGCTTATGAGTTAAAACCGAGCGAAAACGACAGCAAAGACGGCTTCGTTGCCGCTGACGTCACTGGCGCTTTAAAATCCTCATTCATTCTTATGGCCCGAGCACTAACGAGCACACCCCATCTTTCCACTTCCACATAGTTCCATTCAGCATAAATACGTCCGAATGTGCAGGGGTTCATCTCTATCGCACTATGGAGTCCGCAGTTATTTTTGACCGTTTGCAATGTAATTTTAGCAAGAGGGGGTGAAATTGCGAAGTAATCAAGGAGAGATAGACTCTCAGCGTAGCATATAGATCATATTCGATACATCAAACGGGTGAAATTGTATCGATGTCGATTGGTTCAAAACATAAACATAGCCTCAAAAGTAAATTCAGAAATCTGAGAGAACGGGTCTTTTGTAACAGATTTTTTATTCTTTTGAGTATCAAATGCCAATTCAAAGAGAAATTGTTAGGAAATTTCTCATTTTCAGCTTTTCCAACTCAAATCCTAATAGTTTGGTTTGAGGTTATGTTCTACTGTTTTGAACCAAACGATACATCGAACCGTTATCGAATACGGTCTATTGAAAGACTCGCGTCTTTGTGTGGTAAAAGCTGTAGCCCCGTGACGAGGTTCTGAACATAAGCCTCCTCGGAATCAGTTGACCACATCCGTATAATTTTCAACTAGGTATCATTCAAATAATAATCGATTAAGTATCACTTTTACACTTATCTCCATCATTAGTGTTTCTTCTTTTTGGCAGATATTTTTAAAATTACTTGCTTTTCTTGTACCTCAGGAGCCATAAACTCGATGGACATGATGTCTGGGACTCACTAGTCAGCGATAAGCCGTTCAGCAACACAACCATTTTGCACAACATTGATCCCATTGATGGAAATGCAGCTCTTCGTCACGGCAAATGGAAATATGTAAACGGTAATCTGAACTCTATGTAATGAATGTTAAGAGATTCTACAACGAGAGGTTTTGATCGCGTAAGCTCCTGATGACAGAGGCAAGCGTCGCGAACTCGAACAAGATCCAGATCTTCGTAAATCTGTTTCCTGTCCGTGTTTTAAACAGATCACAAAGAAAAAAAATATACTTTCAATTCTCACCCTTTTATCGTTTTTCTAATGATTGTTTTTTTTTTCAAAACATATTTAACCGAACTTTGAGCACTTAAATTAAATATTTAGGAAATCGTTTTTATTCGGGGCTTTCTCTTAAAATCATTCCATATGAAATTTTCAGGCACTGTGTTCAGAGGAATTGGAGATGCCTCATTCGGTCCCTCAGAAAGGAGTTCGGAGAACGATTACAATGTGAGCTTGGTTCTGGATAGTGTAACAAGCAGGATGCTGAAGAAACTCAACCTATCTACTTCGCCTGAACAGGTCTGTATTCGCCGCCCTGTTAAGACCTCGGAGGACTTCTATTTGCTCAAATGAGCTTTCCTTCCGTTATTGGATTCTTTCAATGCTACATTACACAAACTGAAGTCATAACTGTGTTTCTGAAATTTAAGGGTGAATTCTAATAATTTGGATCGTAATTTGCAAACATTTGTATGCTCTGGATTGAGAAAGTCACCCAGAGAATAACCGTACACATCGTAAATTTAGCTGAAATTTTTCATTCACATACTTTATATCGACGATTTGGCTCCTTTACGATGGCGAAACTGCAAAAGCGCGTAACTCGTTTAAAATATTTCAAAATACCCGCTAACATTCCATTTTATCAAAAGGAAACGAACCAATCGACCTTATTTCTTAGAATGTTCATGGGGTAGGTATTCTTTACACAGGACAGGAAAATTCGTTGTTTCCGTCCCCCGGCTTTGGCTCCTTAGTTGCTAGGTGCAATGGCGTGCGATATATCGCATCAATTAGTTCAATTTTCTCAGCTACTCGTCATTTTTTTCGAATTTTGAGATCGCAATACTGTTGTCAGGAGACTAAGGAACTCATATACCAATTTTGACAAGCATATCAATCTAATAAAGGCGCAGTTTTTTAGAGGAAAAATATTGCATCCGATACTGATATCGAAACTGCACTCGAAAATTTATTTTCCCTCTAAAAAAAACTACGCCTAAATTACGATGAATTTGCTTGTCAAATTGGGTAAATGAGTTCTTTAGTCTCCTGACAACAGAATTGCAATCTCAAAATTCGAGAAAAATGACGAGTAGCTGAAAAAATGGAACCAATCGATGCGATATATCGCAAGTCGTTTTAACACCAACTATGACGTCCATAGAATCACCTTAAGATACAGTTTTTCGCAACTCGCATCATGTTAATTCAAGAACAGTGTAACTAGAGTCCCTTTATACTGAGAGTCAAGACAATTCAGCTCATGGATGTCACAAACGGGAATAAAGATTACAGAAATTGAACGTTTTTCGTAATCTTTGATCGGCCCATTCTCAAATTCCTTTCTCCGTTCCTCCTCTCATTCCGTTTGTTCCTTGCCGAACCCGTAATTCCCTGGTCCATTCCAGATTATAATCTTTGCAATTGGTGAAAATGTAATCTTTATTTCCGTTTGTGACACTGTGGAGGCCTAAAATACGGGAACCAATCAGAAATGGATTCAAATTGTCTTGACTCTCGGTATAAAGGGACTCTAAGTGTAACTGGATGTTATCCTTCATACTCATATGGGCGCAATTTATTCCACATCATGCTTAGATTTATCGTGATTTCAGATCCGGAAACTGAGGAGACAGGCTATGGTGGTTTGCTTCGACCGGAAGGACCGTAAGTCTTGTGACCCGTTTCACGGACCATGCCTCTTCAATATCGAGGATGACCCATGCGAGACCAACAATGTAGCCAAAGAGTAAGAACACTTTTTTTTCTTTCTTTCTTAAATGTTTTAACCCTTCCCCCTCAAATTCAATTGAACCTGGCTTTTTGTGATCATCTTAAAGATTGTCATAAGACATTCAATTGTTTTTTCTACTTCATATCAATTTCTCTCTCTGTCAAATGGCTACTGGGTCATTTTCAACATACCTCATTTGATGGGCATTGGGATCGGTTACTTTATAGATACTTCACTGTATAAACATTAAAAATAAGATTATCTCCCTTATCGGCTATTTTCCAATTGCCTATTGTCCGCTATTATCTAAGTTACCCGTTGATGATTCCATCGTGGCACCCGTTGATGGTAGAGTACTTGTATACGGGGGAGTATTGTTATCTCTGTGCCGCTCTCTGATTGGTTCATCAGTTTCAGGCTATCATGGAGCTTCAAAGTTGGCCTAATGAAAACGAACCTGACCCAGAGGAACACGTATTATCAGCTGAGAAACGAATGATAATCACACTCAAAGTTTAATTTTAGGCAGAAATATTCATCAAAGTTCGATCCGAACCCAATTCAGAAGTTGGAAAAAAAATTCTCACACCCAAAATCACGTCTAGAATTTTGTAGAATTTTTTCGTCATCTCGTTTGTTTAAATTGGGCCAAACTAGGAGCGGAGGGGCTGAGGTTTGTTTACATTGGTCCAACTTCGGGGTTCCATGATAGCCGACCAATCAAAGAGCGGCACACTTTTTCTGCAGCGAAAGGATTGAGATGGTAATACTCTCTCGTATACAGGATGGTGCCGAACGAATACCTTTTTTTCTTCTTTTTTTTCTAAGCGACCTTTATTGTCAAAAATACAGAAGTAATAGACATATAGGAAATATTCAACAAGAAACAATAAGGATGTAAAAAAAATTAAGAAAGCTAAAAATATAAGTAGAAAAGAAGAAATGAAATTAAAAATATGCTGATTAGAGAGAAAAAAATTCAAGTGACTCCAGGAGCCAAGGTCGCGCCGGAATCACTATGTGGTATACCATCGGCGTGAACGAATACCTAGGGTAGGTAAGAGGTATTCCTACTTGTTAATGGTGTCACAATGATATTCGTTGATGCTCTCTCTGTATCTTAAACAGCATGATCTTTCATTTCTTAGATTTAAATTTATAGCGTCAACTTGATTTTTTTTTCTTCGGCCACAGGCATCCAGAGGTGTTAAAAGATCTGCAAAACCGTTTGAGTGAAATCAGCAAAACGGCTGAGCCTCCCGGAAATTTACCATTGTACGAGCGTGGGAATCCAGAGCACTGGAGCTATGTTTGGACCAATTTTGGTGACCATCTCAACCTTCCCGACGATATCAAACCCCAGGGAGAACCGCTCCTTCCGATCACTGAGGCTGTCTTCGCCTGCACGAGAAACGGAGGAAAACTTTTTTAAACCCTAGGATTAGAGTACCTTTATAGACAGAGTATGGCCATTCGTATCTTTTTACTACAGGAAAACTGTTCCGCTTTTTGATTGGTCAACGAGTTTTTAGGCTTCATGATGCTCTTAGGGCCGTAAATAAACAAACAAGATGGCGACTCACCGTAACATCGATAAGAAGCTAAATTTGACAAAAATTTCAATTATACGGCAGTAACAATTTAAACTAGCATATCTACGAATAACACACGAAAAAAACACGAAAACATTGTTAAATCGCCTTTCACCTTTATCACAGGAGGATGTAAGATGTGCATAACCTCAATCTTGCTTGCTGATACAGCCATCTTGTTTGTTTATTTACGGCCCTAAGAGCATCGTGTCAGCCTATTCGCTCGCGACCAATGAAAAACTGGAACAGAAATGGCCATACTCTGTCTATAGAGGTACTCTACCTAGGACTCTGTAGAGACTCAAATGCTCCATCATGGAAGATCATTTGGACAGATATGTTGTTCCATAAGTTTAGATTTTACTATAAATCTCCCCCTCTTCCCTATTTTTTCGAAAAAATGTCTCCAGGTTATTACTAATTTCAAGTATTTTTGATGCCCATTAGTGAAGTATTTGGAGGGGGGGGATAAAGGAGATCTAACTGGCTTCCCCCTCCCTCCCCCAATATCACCGAATTGTTGACAAATGGACGACCAAGACAAAGTTTTGATGATGAAAATATTTCTCTCTCCTTTGAAATATTTTTGGCTACGCCACTGAATTCCCTGCATAGGCTCAAGCACCCTCGGAAAATTAGGGTGCGGAGGAGAGTTCGAAAAAGTTCCTTTTTAGATATATATATTTTGTACAAAACTTTCAAAACCACCATTTTTAGATACGATTGAGTTGCATGTCGGGCTATTGAGTTGTTGAGTAAATTACAAAAAAAAAAAAAAAAAAATAATAAAAAATTGAAAAAAATAAATAAATGAGAAAATTATATTTACTTTAAAAATGTCGTATTTTATTTCTGTAAGAGCTCCTTAGAAAAATTGTCCCGCAGAGCTGCAATTTTTCTATGTTGAGGTTAATAATTTGGTTCGCCGGTTATGAAAATCCTCGACGAATTAGAGTAATACACACGCTTAAAATCTTTCAAATTTTAACTTTAGTTGACACGATGAATTAAATAGTTGTACATCTCAGTCAGAAATTTTATGAAAATGCAGAAAAAAATTACATAAAATCCGTGGTAAAAATATAGGATTGAATTACACAACAAGGATAGTAAATTAAGCTCTCATCTCGTGAAAGCACTCATCTATACTCCTTATATATTCTTTTATTCGGCTCCTTCAGCTTTGAACTCACCAGAAATACATCTCTGTATTCTACTCAAATTTTTAGAAATTGTTTCTTAAACATTTAAGTACACAAGCACTCCTTCCAATATACTTACATTTCATAATTTATTTTTTTGCCATCAAATTGCACTGTTGGCGTCTTAGGAAGAGCATTCTTAAATTAATATTTGAAATTAAGAGTTGGTGCCCCCATAGACATGAAAGACGATTTTTTTTTAGTACTTTTCTAATATGACGTCATTTGAGTTCGGTTTCTTGCCATCCTTCTTGCTGGACGGCAGAGTGGAGAGAGTGTATTTGTAATCGACAGGGATAAACAGTAGCAGACCTGTAACAGCTGAGGAACCAAGGAGGAGGAGTTGCGTTGAGAGGGACATGATGGTGCAGTAGTAGTAATATATCCCTTCTGCAACAAACTGCAAACACCAAAAGACATTTTGTATCGAGCCGTTATTAGAGGTAAAATATTCTTAGAACACAACCGATGCTGATTTTAGACAAGGAGACGACTTTACGGGAATGAGCAAAAAGAACTTCCCCTAGTAGCAGAACCGTAGAAGGAAAAGATAAAGATTATGTACGAAATTTAATTTTTTTTTTTATAAAACGCATGCATACGAAAGTGTTAAAAGCGAACATTTTTATGTGACCATTATATAAAAAAAGTCATAATTTTCGTGAGCTTTTCGCAAACGTACTAAAAAATCTTCTAAATCGCGAAAAGCTCACGAAAATGATGACCTTTTTTTATATAATGGTTACATAAAAATGTTCACTTTTAACACTTTTGTATGCATGCGTTATATAAAAAAATTGAAAGGTAAAGAAGAAAAGGAAAACACTGTTCGTGATGCTTCTTTCGATGGTATCAGCTTGCTTCGTGCAGTAAAATGAGTAAACTAACAATGTGTTGCGTTCGGTTGGGTCACGCAACTAAACTAACCTCTCGGCAAAGCGGGAAGTATCGCCAGATTTGAAGGCGTTCTAAACGTTCAGTTGGGTCACGCAACTAAACTAACCTCTCGGAAAAGCGGGAAGTATCGCCAGATTTGAAGGTGTTCTAAACGTTCAGTTGGGTCACGCAACTAAACTACCTCGGCGATAAAGCGGGATGTACAGCCAACATTTGAAGGCTATCCCGGCGTTCACAAACTAACAGTTAACTAAGCGTTCACTAAAACTTGCCAGGTTCCAAAAGACTTTCAGGCAGAACTAAAATTTATTTCAGTCATATAAGATTAAGCAGACGACCGCTATGCGAGCCTCATAAATGCATTATATCTTTTACGCCAAGGAACTAAAAGTTCTGGCTCATCCAAAAAAAAAACACCTATCTATCCCCTCTGCAAGAGACTAATCATAGGCGTAGCTAGGTCATTTCGCTGAGGAAGGGGCCTGGCCCCCCACCACCGGGGGGTCAGGAGGATATGGAATATCCCCCAGCTCAATGGGGGGGGGGGGTTCGGGAGGCCTCCCCCGGAAATTTTTTGAAATTTTAACTCTATTTGAGCGCATTTAGAGGCACTTACGGCGCTAATCTTCCTTCAATTCCTGCCTAAAAATCATCCAGTTTTATGCATTTTAAGGTTAAAATACTTTGAAATGGTTGCATTCAACAGGTTATTCTATTTATAGGCATCCTCTCACGGGCCACGGTGACAGAGACTTACCGTTGAAGAAGGTGTTTTTGCACCATTCAGAATTTCTGGGGGGGGGACCAGATGATACTATTTCCAATTTTGGGGGGACAGGCCCCCCTGGCCCCTCCTTCCTACGCCTCTGCGGGACACTCACAATTAGTTAAAGAAAAGAGCACATGGCCGGCTTTATGCACAGGCTGTCAAGGCCGCGGCCTAGGGCGGCAAATTTTGGGAGGCGGCAGAAACATATCGATGGTGAAACTATACCAAACCACGTATCTCGTTTGCGGTGTTTAAAAATCTACGCTCGCATTTTATTTTTTTGAAGTAGACCAAATCAATATCATTCCTTGAAATTTTCACAGAATTTTCTCCGCACGAAGAGGAAAAATCACAGAAATTTTCAAGACTAGACGTTAAGTAGTTTTTCATTTAAAAAATGAAGTATGACAGGAAGTCTGCGACGTCGCAAACCGAGATACGTGGTTTGGTAGTTTCACCGTCGATATGAAGAGAAAACGAAAATAGGAAAGCACGATCCTGAGGCGATTCAATCCAGAAGAATTAGGTGCAATATGACGACGGCCGAGGGGCGGCAATTACGTTAATCCGGTCATGAAAGATACTCTAAAAAGTTGTAATCAAGAACTTTCTCGTTCTCTGGTAAAAGTGAGTCAGCCTGACGTCAGGCTGATTCACTTTTACTAGGGTTATTTTTGACGATGTAAAGTTTTTCCTCTTCTTCTCGGAATTTTATGAGTAAGGCTCAAAATTGGCCGTTACTCTTGGGTACCTTTTCTCCTCCCCTCCATTCCTTCTCTTCTGATTGCTGTAGAAAGCCACAACCTATGACGCGCAAAACCAAACTCGCGTCATAGACACGGTAAAACTCTGACGAGGTACCTATTTCTCCTACGAATTGAGATTATACCTCTGTATCAGTAGTCAAAATCCATAAAAATAGAGAAACGCATAATTTTTTAAAATATGGAAAAAAATATGTCTGGTGTACCCAAAGACAATGGAAAATTACCCTCGTAAAATTGAATGCTGCGACCGAATGAGCAGGGTTGTTTTGAAACATTAGACATATCAGTGCCGGAACGTTATTCATGACGTACATCAAGCCAACTCCAATCATGAAACTGCACATCAAAGCTATGGTTACACTGTAAAAAATGCAATACACCACGTTTCATCAGTAATTATTTAGTCCATTAGTCCTTTACAAGCGCATAGGTCTAAGAAACAAATCAGTTTGAGGCCCATTTTTGGATCAATTCCGGAGAAGGTGAATTTGAATGCTCGATTATCATAGTTGGCAATGTCGTCCGGCATTTTTCTTTTTTCAGTCACTCTTGCCTGCGGGAGGATGCGCATCAATAGTGGGTTCTGCGCTGACTGACATTTTTCTCTCCACAGATCGCAGTAAAAGGGTGAAAATTTAACATTTTGACCTCCGCAAAATTGCATTAACATGTCCTATCATAGCCTGTTCCCTACCCTGGTAAAAATTGACAATAGAATCTGTGTTCCAAAATACCATAGACCTACATCCGGCTGTAAGATTTCCAATAGCTTCTATAGCTGGCTACACAATTTCTTATAGCCTTTTATAGCCGATGGCGATTAAGCAACAGCCAGACGATAAAGTGTATGCTAAACGTTACTAATTACGGATGCTAGGACTTAGTGAGTTTTTGGAATACTGCTCTCTTTTTGGGCCGTAGTATTTTGATTTATTTTGCGAAGAAAGCTCCGTACTTTTGATGGATGCCTGCCATTACTAATATATTAGAGCGCCTTCAGTTTCGTATGATACTGTGCAATACCTCTGGTGTAAAATAGTTGCTTCAAGCGCCGTGGCAGGCGGGCAGCCAGCGCAAAACACGCATTGGCGCCTACAAACCTAACAGGGATACTTCACGCGTTGCGCAATGCGTGAAGTATTCCTGTTAGGTTTGTAGGCGCCAGTGCGTCGCCACTCCGCTTTGTGTTAGGCTCTAATATTTAATCTGGCGGAGTCAGCGTTATTCAACTCATGATTTTGAAATGTTTGCACATCCTGTATGGATTATTCTCATTGTAATTTATGAAAAAAAAAATATGTATTAAAGGAAAATATAATGTGTGTTTTGTGGATATTAAGGTGGTTCCGTATCAAACTGAATGATTTCCAAAGCACACGAATTTCTACACAATTTCTTATAGCCTTTTATAATCGATGGCGAAAAAGCAACAGCCAGGCGATAAAGTGTAAAGCACGGCAATAGGAACTATAGCCCGGCTGCATAATTTTTTATCGCTTCGTATAGCCCGGCCGTATGATTTGCTCCGCATTCTACAGCCAGCTATATGATTTTCTGTAGCCTTCTTTAGCCGGCTACAAGAATTTCTATGGTATTTTGAAACGCAGCTCTTATAGCCAATTTTTACCAGGGTAAGTTTGGATCCTCTTTTTTGAGATCGGTTCTATCTCTATTTTTGACCCTGTTCAAAAGTTTGACATTAGAAATTGAAGGTTCAGTCAGATGAATCGCAAATTATTCGAACGACATGGTGCAATGAGCCAAAGATACTTCCATTGCGAGATTTTTCGGCAAGAGGGGGCGCTATCTCTGAAAGTAATTTTGGTAAGGAATAATTGAAGCCTCGCTTAATAAATGAAGGATATGTCTTTTTTTTTTTAGGAGGGTAGGGGGTGTAAGTGAGATGTGGGTGATTTTGTACAAAGAGTTATTCAAAATGATCAGTTCAGCCCCAAGCCAAGATTCAAGTGCAACAATTAAAAATCTGAGTTCATTTTTACTGATTCAGAAAATCATGATTTACCTCCTTCATTCGCAACGCGCAGGGTTCAATTTTTACTTTTCAAAGTTCAATGGGAAACCAAACGAACTTCAATGGCAAAATGAGTCAGTGCCTAAATTGTCAGGATTACCGTAGTCGAACTTTTGAGCAGTTGCTTTTAAAACATGAAACTTCCTAGCTGTGCTCAACTCAGTTCCTAAAAGATTACCGATACCCTGTTGATACGAGTCCAGAGAAGGCCCTGAATTCATTGATAATTTTGATTCTTGAGTTCTCCCGAAAGTTGAACATTTTTTGTTCATTTTTTAAAGTCAGCGCCAAGAGGTAAATCTTACTCGGATCATAAGGAGATTCACCTATTAGTGTAAGGGCCAAGATCTTCCGTGTCACCGAAAACACTATTATCGGGCAGGTTGGCGTACGCTAGAGCAAAGGCAGCCAACGAGCTCAAAGTACCCACTGAGCAGAAAAAGGTCCTTTCAAGTGAAAAACAATCTTCCCAACGACGCACAAACTGTATTGCTCCGCCTGTATTCAATTGAAAGAAAATAAATTAAATTAGAGAAGAATCCTCAAAAAAAGACCTCGGGGTAGACCATGAGAGTTACTTTTTTTTTAAAATGTTTCCTCACTATTCGCAGGAAGTTTGAACGTCTGTGGAACAAAATAGGATTTTAAATCCCATATTACTTTTTGTTTAATAATTGGATTTATTGATGGGATTTACAGAAGCCACTTCGCATATTTAAATAAAATATAAATGTCTGCCGTCACAATCCGTCGCTCCTCTGACGTAACGTAAAGGGACCATCTTTATTTCCACATGAGCGCCGCAGCGAATAGAGTTATAAGAAGCCCAGGGCTCACATATGTAGAAATTGAGCCTCAGAGAAACAAGGAATAGGAGTCAAAATTTCATTCTGAGGAGTTAAAGCTCAAAGCATTTTTTGATGTGTTATGTGCATGCACAAACCATTGACTTATGACACAATCTAGACCGCGCACTAGGCCAGACTTTAGGCGGGGGAGGTAAGACAGCTGGGAGGGGGGAGTAAAAGCGCGGCGTGGGTAAAGACGCGCCTTCAGCTTAGTTGATACAGCCGGATATACGAAGGGTGCCAGGCAAGACTGGCATTTCTATTGTCTGGGCACCCTTTGCAATCCGGGTTGCCTATCGTCTCGCCGAAATTTCCTAATGAGCGGTCTAAATGCCGTATAAAGTATAAGTTCATGGCACAAACCTGTAGGTATTGTCTCTGTCCCCCTTTTCTCAACTAAGCAGTTTCTAAGTTATGTCAAGTCAGTGACAGATCAAGTATTTTCTATAAAATTGAGGGTGAAGGCGTCTTACCCATTATTAGACCGGCGCCAATGTAAATTCCACTCAAAGCCGTCAGACTGGCAGAGTATTCGGTTAAACTCAGCGTAAAGCCAACAGCAGACGGATAAACGCTTTGTGAGAATCCTTTGAGTAGACCTGCAAACGTCACAAAATTTTCAGTCACAAATAGTTGGCGGGGTACGATTGAATAATGGCCAAAACCCTGCACTTTTTGATTGGAAATTTCCGCTTTCAGGGATCATTCTTAGGGTCATAAGAAGCCCTGTTTGTCACAGTTCGTTCTAAAGATCTACCGGGCTTAATTTTTTATGATTTTTGCGATCATAGAAAGGAGATGGTTACTAGATCTGCCGTGATAGCGAAGAGAGCAGTAAGTGCATCTCTGTATGAGCCACGGTTAGCACATGATTTTATGGTTCTCGGGGCTCATCCCAGCATGCACATACTGCTCTCTTCGCTATCACTGCAGAGATGAGCCCTAACTTACAGGGCCTGCGAATTGGGCAGGGGGCGTGCCCCCATGAATTGGGCACGGGGCGTGCCCCCATGAATTGGTACAAAAAGTAACACCTCAAAACTTTGGATTTATCAGATACCTTAGATTATTTTTCATTGAGAGAACAATTCCAACGGGCTGAACCTAATCAGCACTCCTAAACTTGTTTCTCCGTGCACTGAGGTCCCTTATTCCGGGCTCAATCAGTCAGATGCGAGTGACTAACCTGTAAAAATAGAGGATGGAATAAGAAGGAGCATGCGGGAGTCCATGAAGACTTCCCACGTTTTACGGATCTCCTGTTGGAGCTCGACGGGTGCCGGGGCCTTCTGCAGATCCGGGTCCCTGGAGGGGCGACTAATGAAAAGTGACAAGAAAAAACCAAACAAGTTGATTGCCACGGTCACGTCCAGGATTAGGATTCGAGTGTCATGGTCGATGATTTTCGTCGCCCTCAGCAAGAGTAGCAGGATGATTTGACCGATTAGTTGCCTAATTGAAAACAAAATGATCACTCGATGAAGTTATTTTGTTACACCCGGGGAAAATACTGCCGTGCTAAGGAAGAGCGCCGTCTGCGCCTTCAGACGTTGCCAAATGTTCTTCGATAAAAACCGAATTTACAGGGAAAATTTTGAATATTTTTTTCTAAAATTTTCAGATAATTTCGTGTACGCAATTGAATCTAAAATATCTAAAAATTTCAAAGAAATACGTGCATGAATATCGTCCAAAACACATATTTTATCGAGGGAAATTTGGCAACTCTCGAATGCTCACACGGCGTTTTTCCTTAGCACAGCAGAATAGATTTCATTATCACAGTCGAAACACTTACTTAGAACCGGGGAAAGAAAAGGGGAGACGAATGTCGCATCAGAGAATGGCACCACTCAATATAAATTTATATGCCAACCAATGGGTCAACTGATGACTGATGCATTTTGGTGAATGTGACATAGGTATGTCTCTTCTTTTCTTTCCCGAGGTCTGCTTCATAATAAAAAAGAGTCTAATAGTTTTATTCATATTGAAGGCTAAGGTGCGAAACCAGGTATCTCCATTGTGGCGTTGGGTTTTTTAACATTTAGTTTTTTCACGGGGAACGAGGAGTTATAGCCCGATGCCCCAACCCCTAACCTGGAGGGCCAGAATTTTATTTCAGAGTCAATTCTCCTAAACAGGTTGCTTTCACTTCAGCTTAGAGCCCTGTCTGCCCACTCCCTCTAAGGCAGGGGCTACCAACTGGGATCCATTGGCGGATCCAGCAAATTGGCAACATTGTCTTTTCTCCATTTAAACACATGGAAATGTATCGATTCTTGGAAGGGCCAGGTGCTCCGATAAGAATCGCTTATTTAGCATAGGTTTAAGTGGAAGAAATCCGATGTTGCCAAATCGCTGGATCCGCCTCTGCTGTGATCCGCAGGATTGCTAAATCTGTGACAGTACAGTCCCCCACCCGGCAAACGATTTTCTTCGATTTGGCAAAGAAGAATTCAATTTTTGAAGATAAAAAAAATCAGTTTTTTCTAGGTCGAGGGTTCAAAGGGATAAATGAGAGAGATAGGAAAAAATAAGATTATATTATAATTACGATGCAGCTGAAACAACGGAATAGAATGCTGAATTTGAAAGAAGAAGAAAAAACACTAGGAGTAGTAACAAGCAGTTTGCTCCTTGAGTTTTGACACCGTAATATATTTTTTGAATGAGTATTTGGACCGCGTTTAACAGAAAGGAACCGCCTTATCAGCTACTGCCAAATATAAGCGGGAGATTAAATTTTTTACAAGAGAAAGTTTGTGCTTATTCCTTTAAAAATTTTCAGGAATTTGCTTCGTAGTGTGGAGAAAATTCACTGAAATTTTTAAATAAATCTGAACAACCATTTTCACGAAAAAAATGAAATTGCCCAATTAAATTAGGCAAAAGCTGATGATGTGGCTTGGGTCCTTTCTGCTCAACGCGGCCCATTTTTAACCGAATTTAAAACAATCGTCCTAATTGAAAGCAAGATATTCTGCCAGTGGTTTATATAATTATCCCTGTAGTTATTTTCTCGATTTCTCTCGACGTCAAAAGCTGGATAAACTTACGACGCAAGCTGCATCCACCAAAACAGGGTGTTATCCCTTTGAAGCGTGTGTGGCCTCGAGTTTTCCATCAGGTATACTCCTTGGCCCGTCCGCAAAATGGCATGCGTAACTCCACTCACTGCACATAGACCATAAACTATCCACGGGGTGTCGAAATAAAATGCGACGTTGTATAGTCTAGAAATAATGTAAATTATACCTTATAAATTATAAATCGAATTTTGTCCTTTCAAAAGCATCACGCATGGGCAGCATGGAGGCACAGCTTGTCACCATAATTTATTAGATTTTCATAATTGTTTTGAATTTTAGATAATAATCGTGCTGTCGCATTGGAAAAAGGAAGTCTCTTGGATTCAGAGTCTAGACTTTTAAAAATAATGGAAAGAAAAAATAATCTTGATTCAATCGAGTTCCAAGCCTTTTACATATAATTAAGTGGATTCGGAAAAATCTGATCGAATCGAGAGTATTTTTTCTTGTCGATTTTTGTAAAAGGTGTTCGTTGCGAACACCCCGTTTATCGATCCTTTTTCGTAGGTTTACATGGTAGATCAATCAATAAATCGGAGAGCACGCCACTGGGCCAATCCCCGGACCGGGCAGCTTCTCCAAAGGGGCGTAACACATACATCTAAAAATGTTTGATAAGACTATTTCTGTTCATTAGACAATTTTTTCCACCTTACGGAATAATATAATTTACTTCCTCAAAAAATTAATTAAATTAAAGTGGTATAATGTACACGTGCGAGAAATGCTTGAGTCTTACAAATCACCAAATGCACCAACGATGATGCCCCCGACAGATCCTGTCTTTGCCAGAATGAAAGAAGCGAAAGGGAAGGTAGCCGACAAGCAAAGGAAATTCACCGTAAAGCAGATGAAGCCGTTGAGGTTGTGCACATTGCTCGAGTCTTCTGACAGCATCAAAGTCTGCAGAAAAAAACCATGATCGACATTAAAGTGGGCTCAAACAGTGGCATGTTATTCACTGTAAAATTTCTACCAAAAATATTTGTTTTAACTAAACTGAAACAAAATTATTTCCAGATTAAAAAAAATAAGGTAAAGAAATGTTATTTGAGTTAAATAAATTTGTTTTAATTCAAATGAGTTTTAGACTTTGTCATCGATGACAAATTTAATTTCATTTTAATAAAAAAATTCATTCGAATTGAAGCTAATTTTTCTCACTGAAAAAAAAAATCTCTATACCTTAAACAATTTTTCTTTGAATAAAAAAGAATGTTGTTTTAATTTTTTAAAAAATGATTTTTGATAATTTTTTCCAGTGAATTTGGTAGCAATTAGTGAATTGATGGCTTGTCCTATCATTCAAGGCATCAGAAACTTTAGTAAAAAGAAACCCTTGTTGAATACTTCATTCTCTCGTCACTGCAATAGTTTTTTTTACCACGAGACGGCAGTTCCTTATTTAAACTTTCTAAAAAATGAATAAAAAATGTTATTTACGACTAAAAGGAAATGGGATTCCAATCGACGTGACTAGTTAGAAAATAAAGCAGACGTACCTATATTTCTTTTAAGTCAGACAGAAGAGAGCCCTTATCAAAGTATGGAAAAATAAAAAAAATTGCGCTAACTGATGCAGAATCAGTGTTTATAACATGTGGTTACATGTTATAAACACTGATTCTGCATCAGTTAGCGCAAAAAGCATCCAAAACTTCCAGTCTTGGCTAACCAAACGCAAGATAGCAATTTAAAATTTGAATAAGGTGGAAAAGGGAGAATTCGAATACAGCTTTATTATAGATTGCCGACTCTGATGTCGGCCTTAGAGGTGATTCTTCTCAAAAGCTCGCCCTGATAAAAATTGGCGATAGGAGCTGCGTTCCAAAATACCATAGGAGTTCTTATAGCCGATTAAAGAAGGCTATTGAAAATCATATAGCTGACTGTAGAAAGCGGAGCAAATTATACAGCCGGGCTATACGAAGCTATAAAAAAGTATACAGTCGGGATAGTTCCTATCGCCGGGCTTTACACTTTATCGCCATTGGCTATAAAAGGCTAAAAAAAATTGTGTAGAAATTCGTGTGGTTTGGAAATCATTACTTAAGTTTAATACGGAACTACCTTGATCAAAACACACATTATATTTCCCTTTAAAACATATTTTTTTTTCATCAATTAAAATGAGAATAGTCCATACAGAGTGTGCAAACATTTCAAAATCATGAGTTGAAAAACGCAGACTCCGCGAGATTAAATATTAGAGCCTAACACAAAGCGGAGCGGCGATGCACTGGCGCCTACAAACCTAACAGGGATACTTCACGCATTGCGCAATGCGGGAGGTATCCCTGTTAGGTTTGTAGGCGCCAATGCGCGTTTCGCGCTCTCTGCCCGCCCGCCGGCCGCGCTGCAGCGTGTCACGGCGTCTGAAGCAACTATTTCACACCAGAGGTATTGCACAATATCATAAGAAATTGAAGGCGCTCCAACATATTAAGAATGACAGGCATCCCTCGAAAGCACGGAGTTTTCCTCGCAAAATAAATCAAGATACTACGGCTCAAAAAGAGAGTGGTAGTCCAAAAACTAAATAAGTCCTAGTATCCGTAATTAGTAACGTTTAGCATAAACTTTATCGTCTGGCTGTTGCTTAATCGCCATCGGCTATAAAAGGCTATAAGAAATTGTACAGCCGGCTACAGAAGCCATTGGAAATCTTAGCTGGCTTTAGGTCTATAGTATTTTGGAACACACATTCTACTGCCAATTTTTACCAGGGCGTGGGCACTATGGCTTGAAAATTTGACTAAATGTTCTTGAGAGTATACATATTAGAAAGCTTCTCGTATCACAAATTGGAAACAGATAAGTCTGATCCCAAATAGTTTTTTCGTCGAGCTGAAAACTTGTAGTGTCCATCTCAAGAGCATTTTTATCCGAATCATTGGTTGGACAAACATTAAACGAGTTTCAGTTTCGCGGGTGGATTCAACTTTTCCGGCTCCACGGATGTCCGTGTTGCATACGTACAAAGTTGAAGGCGTTTTGACTCTTGAGGCACTCACCGCTTCACCTGCGGTGCGGCGGCTATTCGATGGAGAAACTATCATACTACGTTTCTCGTTGACGGTGTTTAAAAAACTTCACCCTCATTTTATTTTCTCAAAATAGAACAAATCAATATCATTCCTTGAAGTTTTCACATGATTTTTCTCGCACAGAAGAAAAATCCCGGAAAATATCAAGAATCAACATTTGGTAGTTTTCCATTTAAAAATTAAAGTATGACAGGAGGTCGACAACGCCGAAAACCGAGATACGTAGTCTGGTAGTTTTGCCGTTGCAGTGTTGCGAGAATTCAAAAGGACAGAGCGCCGTCAAATCATTGTTTATACTAGAGACACATACCTTATGCACGAATAGTTGCCCTAAAAATCATGTACAGCATAATGCGATGTCAAAACTGAAGCACAAAAGACACTCACGTCCTAGGCATGCGTGCAATCGTAAATATGGACGTGTCCAAGAGATGTGTTTATAGAATAAACGAAGAAATGACTCCGCTCTGTCCTTTTGGATCTTCGTAGTAGTGCCCGCCCTCGCGCCGCGGGTATAGCGGCGAGTGCCTTGAGAGTCAAAACGCCTTCAAACATGTATGTATGCAACATGGACATCTGTGGAGCTCGAATAGTTGCATCCACGCGTTATAATAAAATCCATTTCGAAGGCGACGGTCCGCAACCATGTATCTCGTTTGCGGTGTTTAAAAATCTCCGCCTCTATATTATTTTCTTTAAAATGAGAACAAATTGGCATTGTTCCTTGAAGTTTTTGCAGATTTTTCTTCGCACAGAGAAGAAAAATCATGGCAGCTTTAAAGAATTGCCGTTGAGTAGTTTTCCGTTTAAAAAATGAAGTATGACAGGAAGTCTGCAACGTCGCAAACCGAGATACGCGGTTGCGGACTGACCCGTTGATTTAGAGTTAGTCGCATGCGACTAACTGAGGGCGCTCTTTTCGTTAATCTTATACCTTACCATAATTCCAGCGTTACCTACCTAAGATGAACTGAGAAATATATCTTAGTTCATAATTTTAAACTCGTGGCAGTTATGAAGCACCGTTGAGTACCTACCATTCGAAAATATCTCATGAAGAGGGGTAATTGCAAGATAAATTCTAAATTGTTTGAGCGCTTGAATATGTTCTGATGAGTAAAAGTAACCGCAGACGAGTGTTTTATTGTGATTCATACCATATCGATGACGAAAATGTGACTCCACGTATCCTCGAAATTGAGGATTTCAATTTACGTAAAGGAGGTGAAAATCTTCCCAAAGAATGTGTTTAATATGTCAAAGTGGATTTTGGACTCTGTTTACTCAAATAGAGCGGAAATACGAGGTTTTGGCTTTCTTAGAAAGTAGGCGTTTTGAGGAATCGTCAAGTATCATCATCAAGCTAGAATGAGGATCACGAACCTGCAAATCAATGAAATTAAAACAATTCATCAAGGAATTTTAAAGGCTTCTTACCTGCACACTAACGATGGCGGTGGCAGGAATCCCGATGATGAAAAAGCAAAACCCAACGTATAATACATTAAGTTCTCTTTTGTCCAATAAAAGTTTAGGAATGAACGATGCATTTTTTCCCTTCTCCGGCTGCCTATGAACAAAGTGCACACCAGTTTACTTTTAACACATCATAGCATTTGGCAAATCCCGGAAATTATGGAAAATTTAAAGCGACATCACCAGTACAGGAAAATTATCCGTATATTTGTATCTCTAAAAATTGAAGGCGATGTGGTATGGGGATCTGCCTTCATACATGGCCATTAATCAAGCCACAAATGACACAAGCCATGAAATGGATATTCGCTCCCAAATTCCAATTTTTAAGTATCAAAAAGTCAGTTTGAACTTTCTCTCCGCCACAAGAATCCATGTAATTTCGAAACTTCAAACACGTGTTTCTCGAAAATCAAAAACTGCACTTATGCGCCTTGTCCTCCAAGCCCCTCAACTAAGGTTGAAGTAGATGAAGTTAACAGATTCGGATCAAAGAGCAGCGATGAGAAACAGTGGCCTTCTATTGGATAACATTAATATTGGTTCCTTTTCTTATACAAATGTAATTCATTTTAATGAATTACACATGCGCTATTCTAGGCATAATATTTTCTAATGACGCCATTGAACACATCCCTGTGCTTAAGTCCACACTTAAAGCTGCATTGACTTAATTAGACTTACCAAATCCACCCCGTGATAATATATCAGGAAATTAATGCAAAATATACCGGAATGTTAAAAAAAAGAAGGAAGGAATACTAAGGAAAACCTTCAAATAAATTATATACTTACCCTCCACATTTAAATCACTGTAATTACGCCACGTATTGCAATTTAATGAAATAAGAGTGTTTTTAAGGTGGTAGGATTTCCTTTTCATCGTTTCTCGAGAACCTTACCACTTTTGCGCACATTGCTCGGTGGCCCGTCAATTTAAAAAAACGCGCTTTAAATTGAAAAAAAGACCGCGAAACGATTTTTGCTATTATCCAATCAGATATCATTTACAGCGATGAATGCAAACGACGAATGACGGTCCTGCAAATCGATAGATTGTCAGATTGCCAAAATCGAAACACTGAAATCGACTTTTTGAGGTTAAATGTGTAAACTAAACAAAAACACTGGGAGTTGTCGCTAAATCTTAAAAGTTTTAAAAGTCTCCAAACGTCATCGAAAATGGCAAAACATTTCATTTGTATCAGCAAGTTTCCCTTTGTGTCATGTAAGTATCTTACCAATTCTATTAATCAAAGAACTGTGTTTATTTAACCTCAGGTGAAATGATTATATCACCTCTACTCGCCCACTCACAAGCTTTCAGTATCTTTCTATCAGAATATTGAGCCTTCAAGATGTTGGACTGATGCTTAGCATAAGTTTTTCCTGTATGACATTCTTCGCCGACAATATTAGCTCAGCACACATGAGTGCCATCAGCAATGCCCTCTTGATTATTGACTGCATCCCTAACGCTCTTCTGTCTTCCATAAATCTGAATTCATCAGCGAACTATCCCATGAAAAACTATTTTTTTGAACTTAATATCTCCTTCAAACCAAACGCCTGGTGATTCTGCCCCTCGAAGACTGGGCAATCGTTTTGCAGTGCAGCATAAATTTGTAGGGATTTGGGATGATCATGCATACCACTAATTTTTTTCATGAAGTCTACTTACATCCTTTGTAATCCGCATGGAAACTTCTCGTATGTAAAGCGAGGTATAAATGATGGATTAAGTTTTCTATGTTGAAGAGTGTGTCGGAAGCTCATTTTAATGAATTGACAGACACGTCGCTACAATTCTGTGACGTGTAACATTGACTAGATGAAGCCACACCGTACAAGTGTACGCTGCCTCTAGCTTGAGACAGAAGATCTGTCATCTTGATCATTGTACCTACTTTTAGCGCTTAAATGAGAAATGCAGCTCTTCTAGGGAGCACTTGAAGTAAGTCAAGTTATTTTGTGTGGATTTCAATACTAGGTAGATGATGTTTACGGGTTTGGGTGTGGTGATTCTCGCCTGCCCTTAGGCTTGATTAAACTTTGGACTTTCGGAGCGTCTGTTCTTTAAGTCTTGATATTCTTGCAATAATTTTAATCTAGCCATCAAGTAGTGAAGATGCAGAAATGATTTAACAAGTTTGCTTCGAAGTGCTTAATGGCCATAAGCTGTGTAAAGTATCCCATCCACATCGCACCCTCTTACTAATGTCAGTTTAGTAATTAATAATCTATCCTGAAAGTGAATCATATCAGGTGCAGTCCTTACCCCTGCAATAAAAACTAAGGAAATTTTTTATAAATCTTAGTTTCCTAGAAGACTGAATTGAAAATTTTTGCAAGGGTTATGCATTTCGACGGTGAAACTGCGGAAATGAGTATATCAATTGCAGTGCTTCCAAATCGCTGCTTTTATTTTTTTCCAAGGAGACCAAATGAGCATCATAACTTGAAATTTTCACAGAAATCTCTCCATGCAGAGAAGGAATCTCCTAATTTTTCAACAAATGATGCGGGGTAGTTTTCTCCTTAGAAAATAAAAGTATGACAGGAGGTCTGCAATGCAGCAAATCAGAATATGCGTTTTTGCAGCTTCACCATCGATATGAGTTTCAATTATCCAAAAATGGATTACCGTGTATATTGATCATGGAAGAAGAATTTACATGTTTGATATTGTTCTATACTTCAAAAGTTCAGAAGAATGGTTTTCTGCAACTATTTCATATGAATAGTAATTTTTTACTCGCTCATCTTGGGTTCATTCATTTTGACTTTACCCGTTTCTTTTGCTTTATAGATTGAAAACACTGACGGAGCACTGACCTCTGGAAAATATGCTCAGTTCACCCTCCAAACGGGCAGCATCTCCAGAGATTATTCAGGATGAATGTCGTGCCCTCTTGCAAGATCTGAGGCAAACAATTGAAACACAGCTCATAAGCCAAGTGTCAAATGTTTGGAACATTTTTGGTGGTCTCAACCGACTACATCCTGTTGTTTTGAAAATATTTAAACACCGATCTCGAGTCTTTAATCAAGGGGTAAGATTCTGATTTATAGATAAAAGTCCCCTCCCCCCTCTCCAAAACCTTAAGTTTACCTCACCGATCACTTTTGTATACGTCCTACATTATTGTATCGTCGTTTCTAGTATTTCCTTTTTGCCCGGTACTAACATATTTTTAACCAAGTAATTCCATCTTTTCATTCTCCCTAATATTTTATATTTTGCCTTTTTTTCTTTTACTTTCTTCCTACTTACTCCGTATTTTGATGTACTAAATCTTCATTTGTTTTCTGTGCCATGCAATTTGTTCATCAAAGACAGAGTGTCATTAAAAAATTGATTTTAAATGCAATTTATAAGATGAATTATTTTAAAATGAAACATCATGAAAGACATGGGAGGAGGGTAATACTTGAAATTGAATTTTCTGTCTCCTTAATAAATCCCATGAATCTCGCCAGATGAAATTGTACGCACAGTAAGAAAAATATACTGAGTTATTAAAATTACTAAGATTCAAGATTACTAAAAATCATTCATTATTTCATCAGTTACTTCAGTCAGCACCCATTCAATTATTTTTTTTCTCCTCTTTCACTCCTGATTTTCAAAGGTATTTTGTTTGAAATTTTTGACACCATTGTCATCAAGTCAATAGTTTACCGACCTAGAGTTTCAAAACCACTTGATACTGCAAGTTTTATTTCTAGTTATTATGATGTACTGTTTTATAGGGCGAGCCTGACTTATGGAGTTTTATTCAAGGACTGAGCTGGTTGCAGCCTTGTCTTGCTGCCTCGCCATCGTTCGTGCCATCTAAGAAAAACATGTACCTTGCCCCTAGTCCAAGCCGCCATTATGACAAAGCCTCAGCCTGGGTTTACAAAAGGTAAAAATTAAAAGCTGAACAGTTCAAGGTAAAAGGTAAAAGGGCTTTGTGAAGTAGAAAAGAACAAAAGAAGCCTCCAGGAAATTTATGAATTTAACTCTCTAGGTACCTACAACATGTTTTCTCAAAAATCTTACACGAATCGAAATCTGGCAATGGACTTTTAAGCAAAACATGACTGTTTACAATTAACATTCCTCAAATGGCAAGAATAAAAATGATGCCATTTGCATAATCTAACTTCTATTTGATCCTTGTTAAAAATACTTGACGATATTTTGCTTGGGAGTTGATTTTTGAAATTCAATGTAAACTGGTGTAGAGTCCCTTTATACCCAGAGTTAAGGCAACTCACTTTTGGTTGGGCCAGGGTTGGGCTGAAAGTGGCCTAAAAAAAAATCCAATTCTGATTGGTTCTCGCTCATGGAGGCCGAAACGAGTGGACCAAGATGGCGGTACCTAGAATGTGAACAAGAATATTGAAAATATTACCTAATTGTGGTTTATCAAGAGTAAATTGTTATTGCCATCGGTCCAAAATGAAAATAGATTAAGAAATTATTCACAAACCAATCTCATTTTCTTTTTAATAGATCAATTTGTTGATGTTGTTGTTTTTGTGTGACAGACATCGCAGGATTCCTGATCCTTATCCCTCAATATCGTTCGTTTGGGTGCACTCGTTTCGGCCTCCATGGCCAGCCAAGGCCGGCTGCCAGTCAGCTGATAATCGAGTTGTCTTAACTCTGGGTATAAAGGGACTCTAAACTGGTGGACTGTTTTCTGTGGTAGATTTTGAGGAAAAAATATGTGGTGGTTCCTTCCAGTTCAAACGTTGCTTGTGGCCCAATTTGTCAAACTCTTCACAGCCTCTCTTAACCCATTGACTTATGATTTAATTTGACCCTGCCGGGCCAGGAATTACGATTTAATTTGGCGAAAATCAGCAACTTTGAACACTTCAAAATAATCCAGAAATTATTTCTCAAAGGGTGAAAATTGACAAAATAAGCATTCACAATACAACGTTTGAGAAAAATGGTGAAAACTTTGAACACAATGATTTTTTTATGTGGTTTATAGCTGTCAAAATCGCAAAAATCGCAAGATCAGCGAAAATCAGAAAATTTTGAGGTTATTTCATGTGCAAACGCACAGTAATACGAAAATACCGCAACAAAACAAGAAATTACCGTACACAATAAGTCATAGGGTGGCCACACTACTCATATAAACATTGATGAGAACGCAATCTACCGGAGAATTGCCGAAATAACGCGAACAATCAGCGGACGGCTCTGAGCCGTCATTGCAGAGCTGGCCCAGCGCTGCGATGACGGCTGGGAGCCGTCATTGTAAGTCAATGGGTTAAACCAATGAGTCTTTTTTTTGTCTTACCAATGAGCATCTAGACAAGGTTTGAACTAGGAGGAAATGTCACATATTTCCTCTTCAAAATTTTACAAAGAAAACGATTAACATATAACAGAAAGTTCTGAGAGCAACTCTCAATTGAAATATTATCAAGCACTAAGAGGTCTGCCCCCTATGGGCCGATACGCAACCCAGCCCCGAGGGCGCCGCGCATTCGAAAAGCCTGCTTTGCGGTCCTGTAAAAGCCGCTTCTTGCTCTTCTTACTCCTTTTCCTCGCCCTGTCCATCAAGTGTCTTAAAGATGATTTTATTAGAATTTTCCCACTTACGAACTTTGAACTCCAGCCCATCTACCGTCTTACTCCCCTTCCTCTCTCTGTCCATTGAGAGTCTTAAAAATGATTTTATTAGAATAGAGAGGATTTTTAACACAGAGTTAATTTTACTTGAAAACTACTTCTAAAAAATTTTACTTGCCTTTTCCGAACGCATTTAAACTTCCCAAATCCAACTCATCAGTAAGAGCATAGCGGTTTTTATTTCAATACTAATTGCAAAACAACTTATCTCAATTGCAGTGTTTCAAAATCTCTGCTCCTAATATATTTTTTCAAAGAAAAACAACCTACTTAACCTTTAAGCTTAAAATTTATTTACAGAATATTCTGTCTGCCCAGTTGAAAAATCAAGTAAGTTTGCTAGACAATACATTAACACGTTTTCAAAATAAGAAATAAAGTATAACAGGAAGTCTGCAATGTCCCAAAAGGAGAAACGTAGTTCCGAACCTTAGCAATTAATTCATGTCAGTTCAAATTTTCTGCCACTGAAGTCCAACTAAGCACCAAACAACTTTCAGTATGTTTTACGCAAGGATTTTCCTGTGTTGTAACTTTTTTTGACAAGATTAGAGGTGCTATGCATTCGAGGAAGAAGAGGATGGGTATGAAACCAAGCTTTCGTTGTTTGCCTAACCTGTGTATTGTTTTCAATCACCAATTTGGGTGGAAAGATTGAATTTAGTGCTAACAATGTAAAATACAAACATCAATTTTTTATGTGTTAGTTAATTTTGGAAGTTTTTAATGTGACTAACAAGTTCTATGCAAGATTTTAATGAGGCAACATGTTTTTAGTTGTGTAATTTTTACCTCGTCTTGTGGTTTATTTTTGGTTTTCATTATTCAGGGTTGTGAAAACTCTCCGTCTCGTAAAAAATTATGAAGCAATACAATTTTTCTCTCTTTTTCAGTCTTGAGGCTCACAACTTGTCCCAGAAATTAAGTTGGTTGCTGTCTGATAGGGAGCATATCCTATCTCACTACGAGCCAAACGCTTTTTTAGCTCAATTGCAGTATAGTGAAGCAATGCTGATTTGTTTAAGAGCCCTTGAACAAAATCAAATTTCGTTTCTAGCTGATATCAATTCTTCTTTGGTAAGCCCTTTCAAGTAGATACTAATCTTACTTATCAGTGGTAAGTAACCATCTTATTTGTTGCCAATTAAAGGGGTTGTCAGGAGGGGAGAAGAGGCATCAAGGTAGATCGGATAATGACTTTAATTGCATAACCGCAACAGGATGTGCAAGTGATATTTCCTGTTGATCTATATCAGTTATGTGATAGTCCATTCATAGAGTTGTCTGCTAAGTGTCAAAATCAACTGAATCGCTGTAGGATAAGTAATCTGCTCTCAATAACTATGTATCATAATGGAATTTCAAAAAGCCTTTAGGCAAACTTTGCCAGATGAAACAAGCTTATCAGTTGAGTAAACATATTATCACAACCTACAATAGCTCGGTCACTCAGGAACTCAGTGACCATGAATGAACTGCCTCATCTTTGAGACAACTTCACTACATCCCCACTATTTTGTGCGTGTTGTTTTAGTAGTGCAAGTTATTTTTAGTGGACAGCTTTTCTTTTGTTGTTTGGAGCTCTAATTTCTGGAACCTTCCTTCATCAAATTTTGCCTCACATTTCTTCCTTCTCTTTTTTTCTGTACAGTTTCTCATTAAAAGGCTCCTTGAGTTTTTGTCGAATTTTGGTATTACACTAAGAAATTACGTATAATCAGCTGTGCCCTAGTCATGAAAAGGAGGAGAAGCCTTCAATCATGCTCTTCTTACTTGAAGTTACCCGAGTAATTTTAAGGATAGCCATGAAAAGTTATCAAAATTATGTGTGAACTTCAATTAGTCCTCATTTACATGAAGTTTTTTTACGTTCCTTCAAAGTTGAACCAACCCTTTGCACTGTGAAGTGTGAAGTATTTCTCTTTTTTTTATTGCTAGTTACCCTGCTTTTTCATATGAAGGTTTAAAAACCAAAGGTTAAAAGGTTTTTTGAACAAAGGGTTCTTTCTGTGAAAGTTTTTTCTTTTTTACCATCAAAAGCTGTGCAGTTAAGAGTGCAAGATATGATAAAACCACCTTTATGGGTTTACAGTCGTCGATAAATCTTGTATTTTGTGGAAATGAAATCATATCTGCAAACGCTGTGAAAAATTCTAGACTCTTAGCAAGTGATTTTGACCTCTATATTGACTGACACCTTTTTCCTCTTCCGTCTACATACACCAAAATTTTAGAAAGCTATCCTGGATGTTATCCTCCAAGTGAATGGATTAAACCAATCCTCAGTCTAGTCCCTGTAGAATTTGTAGCTCAGATGTTTAAATCCATTTTTTCCGTGTGATAGCTTGTCAAAGAGTCTCTATTGTGATTATGAAACACAAGTGCTACATCAGTGTGTGCAGTTTCCTTTTTCTGCTCGTTTCATATATAAATTTTACAGTCAAAATGCTCTCACTTTTCGTTGTCTCAAGATGGGCTGACTTTTATGGTCAGGTATGAAGAAATCCTCTCTAAGAATTCCATCTAAAAATTTTTCAATAAGTTCAAGTAATTTCAAGGACTTGAAAACGTGCGTATGAGAAATTCTCTGTCTGTAAAACTTGAACTAATTTTTTCACTACTCAAGTTTTGAAAAATACAATGTATTCAAACCATCCAATTTGTCGCTTCCCGAACAAAGGAATGTATCTCCATTCCAAGGTTGCAAAACTGACTTAAACAATGGGCCTGTTGCAAACTTTTGCTAGAGCAGAATGAAGAGTTGTTTCCTATAGATAATGCCTCAAAAATCACGATGAGCGCATCGGCAAAGTCTGAAATGCACTCATAAATTCACAATCTGCGTTAGAAATTTGCGTTATTTTGAGCTTCCCGCTTCAGAAACGATACTACTGCACAGGTGAACATTTTGTTAGAGGAGTCGCTCCATCGTCGGCAATATTCATCATGGCCGACGCTTGCGCAGTTCCTCGCGTAATTCGAGGAGAGTTCAAGGTCAATTAAGGCGGGCGAGGAAAATATGAACGTAAACACGCCGATTGTTATATGGTTTAATCCTGTTCAGGTGTTATCTCGTCCCATCACACGTGGTTTGGCGGACTGGCGTCGGCCATGATGAGTATTGTCGCCAATGGAACGACTCCTCTAACAAAATGTTCACCTGTACCGTGGTATCGTTTTCGAAGCGGGAAGCTCAAAAAACCGCAAAAATCTTACGCAGATTGTGAAGTTATGAGTGCATTTCAGACTTTGCCGATGCGCTCATCGTGATTTTTGAGGCATTATCTGCAGGAAACAACTCTTAGTTTTGCTCTAGCAAAAGTTTGCAACAGGCCCATTAAATTTTCTACAAGAATGTATTTGTGCAATTTTTGTCCAAAATCTCTCTCATTCTTGCATGAGATCAGAGGAAAAAGCTGTGAAATTTTCAGATAAAAATGCTCAAAATTCTTCAGTTGGAATTTCAATTTGCCAGGGGCAATTTGACAACAATGAAATTTAGTTACGTTCTTTTGTGGGGGAACGGCAAATTGCTCATTGATATGTATTATAATCCTGCTCTGAAAGGAAAAGTAAAGAGCTGGAAAAATTCATATAATTACATAAGCACTACTTTTTTTCTTTTATTTTCTGAGATCGCCTGTCAATTAGGTAGCCCCTCATTTTTTATCAAGAGTTTATTATACTAATTAGATGTCTGTATATGTTTCAGTACCTCCTGCCAAAACGTAGCATCCAGCTCATCAGCAAAACTCATCGTCGATGTTCTTCCTCACCAGAAGTAATCGCTAACAGCAAAACTACGTGGTCAGACACAAAAAAACACAAGCCAATCCCATCCATCAAAGAACCAGATGCAAATTTGAATCTAATATCAGCAGTAAAGTTAGAAAATAGCAATAGCGTAGAGTCCAGGTTGATCTCAAATAGTGTAGAGTGTTTCAGAAATCAAAGCGGAGATTCAGAACCTATTCATAAGTCTCCGGATTTGCCCCTATGTGAAGTAGGGCACCAAGCTCTAAAGAAGTCTTCTAGTTTACCAAATTTATTTAGGATTCATGATTTATCAGGCTCTTTGTCTGAGTCAACATCTAAAAAATTCTCAAAGCCTCGAAGTGTCACTGTCCCCAACTCACCATTGAAAACTACATTTGCAAGTCCTGGAAATAATGCCTTGTCTCCAAGCCTCTTGTTTGTTGACTACAAAACGGTAGATTTTGACCGAACAATAGAAAGCTTTAGAAAATATCATGAAAATGGAAAAGTGAAGTCAAACATAAAATCACGAGAACGTAAGAAAGACGCACACGCAGTTGATATTAATCTCTACAAAAAGAACCACAAAAAAAATCAGCGGCCGCTGAATCTTCCAAATCGGATTTGGGAAGAATCAGATGATGACACCAACAGTATTTATTCTGATAAGCTTTCATTCAGTTCGTACTCTACACTGTCTTCAAATGTGACCCAAAAGAAGAGTTTTCTAGAGGATGCAGGCAAATCTATCAAACATATGAAGTCAGGATACTCTTTCCCGAAGCCTGCACAAGGACAAAGTCTGTTCAGCTTTTTGGCATCCAGTCCATTTGGTAAAGGAGATGCAGAACTGGACCGCGAGAATGCGCATTTTAGTGTGTCTGATGCTATGATTGCAGCAATTGAACAAGTAAGTTTTTACGCTCAAAACTGTTTGTTTCTTGGCATAGCTTAAAATCTAAAAAAAATGATAGGGTTTGAATTAATGAAACGAGGAGGTACGTTCTAAAGTGACTCTGTGGCGTAACCTCCTGAGGCGATTTGTGCCTCATTTGTATTGATTTTGCAATAGAATATTGTTCCTTGTATGTCGTACGTAACTCACATTGTAAGGCCCATTTCATCCACCTCTATAGTAAAAAAGTTACCTCCAAATCCATTGACTGAATAAATTTCACTGTTAGTAAAACAAGAAAATTTGGAATCTCGCTCTGTGCGACTTATTTAAAGCAAACATATATCTTTAACACACTCTTGTGTCTGTTGTCTCTGAGTGTCCTGCAATCAGCATTATTCTTTAAGATGTCAATGGCCAAACGTAAACGTGGCATAACAACGTATCTCCATTTCGGTATTTCAAAATTTTTGCTCTTCCTTTATTTTTCAAAGAGGAGCAAGCCAACTTCATAGCTTGACATCCATTTAAAATATTCTGCTAACAAAGAAGAAAAATCAAGGAAGTTTGTAAGAAATTATGTTAACTAGCTTTTCAAGTGAAAAAACAAAGTATGATAGGAAGTCTGAAATATCGCAAACGGAGATATGCAGTTTTGCTCTTTGGCCATCAATATTGCTATCAGAATGTACACATAAACGTGAAAAAAAGTCGTCCATGTCAAATTAAATGCTGAGTACTAAGTGATCAGGGAAAAAAAAGGGTTGCCCTCAATTATTCAGAGATTAGAATTTCAGTAGTATTTGACTGGTTCTTTTATATTAGGCAAGACGAGGTTAAACAATGTAACCCATCTACGTATTTCAGGTTAAGTGTAATCGAGACTTCAATTTAGCAGAGGAGGCTGTTGATGATAGTGACGAAGAAATTAATCATCTGAAACAAAGGATTCGGCTGCGAAGGAAACAAAAGAATCAGGAGCGAACCAATCTCTCAATTACCACTTTCCTGGTTAATGATGCTAGAACAGACAGTAAGTCTAATTTTTATTTCAATAAAATAAGTCTTAGCATCTATTTTATGGACTCAAGGCTGACTTAGAATACCTCCTAATCTTTGAATTGTTGCCAAAAGTAAAAATCGTTAAAACTGCCAGCCCTGGATTTATTGCTGAGTCCAACTCAATCCCTCCAGGAAAAAGTGTACTGCAGTCAGTTCCAAAACAGCAAATATTTCGTAATTTTGTTGAGTTACCAACAATGTAGCGTTGTTTCAAGCATGCATAATTTCTCTATTTTTCACTCCTCATACATTCTTGCGATATGTTCGAATATAGTACCGCTGATATTTGTTGATCGGTTGTAGGGTGCCTTATTTATTTTGCATGCATCTGACACCGCTTTTGATCCAAAGGGTTCTCTTTTCCCCATTATTTTTAACTTCTCTCATCATCATCTTGATTGTAAAAAAAAATTATACTCTATATTTTGTTTTTCACTTTGCACCTCCGGATTAGTGAATCTTTTCTGTATTTAAATATCGGCGAGACTTTTTGTTGCTAAAATACAGGAATTTTTCAGCCTATTCTGAAAAATTGTCTGGTCTCCTAATCGCAGGTTAGGGTGTCCCTTTTAGCCTTATTTTTAATACTATTCTGGTTATTCTTGTTCCAGCCACAACCACCGATCAAAGCTATAGTCCTATCTCTACCTCTCCATGCTCTTCCTCAGAAAGTATTTCCTCTGATGGGGGTGTTGATCTTGATGTGGAACAAGTCGGAAACTTGATGGACATAAATCAGTCAGGTACTGCCATTCTTGTTTAATCTCCTCTCCTTTTTTGGTTTCTCAATGCTACTTTGATCAGCAGGCTGATTGATGAAATTTATAGACAAAGCAATAGACAAAGAAGACAATCTGAAAATGAAAATATCTTATTGGTAGAAGTGGGTGGCTGCAATAGACAAAGGAGATAAGTAATAGATTAACCAACGGAAACCCTCGAGAGACCCTGCAGTTAGTCCATCATATTGCCTTTTAGTCTATAACAACCACCTACTTCACCCAATAGGATCGCTCCATTTTCCCAACGTCTTCTTTGTCTATCAATTTCAATAATCAGCCTGCAGTCCATCTAATAAATAATATTGAAGTTTTCCTACAGCAATGGTGTGTTTTCATATGCACAATGAAGAAGTTGGTCCTTTAAACTAAAATAAAATGGGCAAAGTAGGAAGCTGAGTTGAGAAATCATCAGCCTGTTTAAAAACTAAGGGGGTGGAAAAAACAGGAATTAAAAAACACCGATGGAAAAAAAAACAACAAAGAAAACTCAATTTTAGAATGATTCCAATATTCCCACCCGGAAATTTTCGCAAAATTATCAGCATTTTCTAAAATTTCTCTCGCAGGTTTGTCCATATCTTTGGGATCTTTGTACTCAGAAGCAGAACTTCAGCGTCCGTCACCACCAAACCAAGGGGAGTCTGTCAAAAGTGCTGAGAATGTTGCTTTATCTCTTCTAAAACGATTTAAAAAGAAACAGTTACCAGCTGCCTCTGAATTGGAGTGGCTAATTTCAGAACAAGAAGTACCGCAGCAGGTAAGAAGTTCGCTGGCCCCAAGATCTTTATCAGTTTTCATGAACAGCCATCCCCACTAATATTTTCCTGTACTTATCGATCATTATCTAAATACAAAAATGGTGTCATCCTAAAACCCTGCTAGTTTGGAAAAGAAGTGATTAGAATAGTCTTGATGGCCTCATCTACAGGATTTGCCGATGATGTCGTTCTCTCTTTTCCATTGACGTTTCCTAATTGATTGATTCATTGACCAATTCGAACAAAGAGAGCTACGAAATTTCAAAAATTGGCTTAGCTTTTTATATTGTAGTAGGAAATGACTCAAAACAAGATTAGCTTACTACTGCTGAACTGTGTTTATGTCTCAAAGCAGAGTAATTGACATCTTTTAACCTAAATCACTATGAAAGCAAAGAAAGGGTATTCAATTCGATGAAGAAGAGGTGCAGTTTTCGTGATAGACCCACTCAAGTAAATAAATCTGTTGCTATCAAGTCATGAAGGGCCAAAGGCCATGCTATTATGTACCTTAATTATCGATCATATTTTGTTGTTTTTTCTCAGAGCTTTCCAATTCCAATAATGTCAAGTGCAAAATTTTTTTGTTTTGTTTTTTAGCTGTTACCATTACCAAACAGTTGGCCTGTTAGTCCTGACGATGCTGAGGATCAAGATATGACCAGCGCCACACAATTGCGAGGGACGACCGAATGGGCGCCTCCTCGTTCTCATATTATATTTACCCTCCATCCCCCACCTGTGTAAGTGATCTGCCTCGAGTCAAGTTTAAGCTAAATTTTTCTCTATATGAAATAAATAAACCCGAAAACTGAAAAACTACAACTCACAAAAATAAATTAAAATTGCTGACGCGTTTCGGCGCTCCTCGGCCCCTTCTTCAAGGCTAAATTCTGACTTGAAGAAGGGGCCGAGGAGCCCCGAAACGCGTTGGCAATTTTAACTTATTTTTGTAAGTTTCAGTTTTTCAGTTTTCGGCTTTATTTTTTTCATTATTTAGCTCATAGTGTGTCATCTCGATTTCCCGTTTGTTTTGTTTTGTTTAGTTTTCGTTACTTTCGGTTCATTATTTTCTCTGTATGGTTTATATTTCAAGCCTATAAAAGTGCTCTGCTTTTATGCCAAGTCACTTTTACTTGGAGCTGACCAACATTTTCCCTTTTCTTTTCCTTGTGTTGAAACTACGCAGTCGGCTATAATTCAACCCCGAGCTTGTGGAAATGTTTTTAAGCATAAGTTGGCACTAGTATTATTATCTGTAAGATTTATTGGTATGACCGATGAGGGATAATTTTATGTGGGATCATGAAAGAGCTCAAACATAGGGGAAAAATAATTACTCCTTATAGTACTCATAGTAAAAAACTGTCAGTGTGCATCTGCTATCTCCATTTTGTTCACTGCAACTAATCTCTGAAACCTCAGTTGATATTGTTTGTGTTTCCTCAAACAGAAACGACCTCTTATCGGAAAATGTTTTCCATTGGCATTTGTTGGACAAACTCTTTTAATAAAATTACAATTTCGATCGAGTAAGACAGATCCAAACTGAGGCATTCGAGAACATGAGCTCAGTGAGAAATATGTTTTTTCGTTTTAAGCTAGCACTAGCCAGCATTTAAGAACTGAAACATCCTGTAGCTATAAAATTCATGAACACTTCCTTCTTTGCACAGAATGCAATGCACCTTTTTCAACCTCCGGTTATTGTCTTTTTAACTGCCTCACCTCAAGGCACTTTTTTTTTTTATATTATTATCAGAGACTTTGATTATTTACAATTTGTTTTCATTTGTGTCAGGAGGCGAGTTTTAATGGTGAAACAGAACTACAGGTGTGCTGGTTGCGGTGCCAAAGTAGAACCAAAGTACATTAGGAAATATAGATACTGTGAATACTTAGGACGTTATTTTTGTACAAGTTGTCACACAAACCAAACAGCAATTCTTCCTAGTCGAGTGCTTAACAAGTGGGATTTCAGCAAGTAAGTATTCATATAATTTTAAACTCAATTTTTAACTTGTTTCTAACAATGATAATGTAATCTAAACTTTATGCTGGCGTAAGTTCTCTTTATAAATCCTAACCCATACCATCATTTCTCCCTTATTTTAGGTCATGCCAAGCCACTGAAATATCTTACATGATACTCTAGTGATGAGTCCAAGAAAGCGTTGAGTTATATGGATGACAGGGCTCATCGCGATGTGTAGTTACATCCTTATGTTCGAAGAGCAACGAACTGTAAAGACTTGGAGGTGCCCAGAGATTAATAGGGATTTTCAGATTGTATACATGCTCTAAACAGACTAAGTGAGCCAGCGATTTATACTCTTAAATTTTTGGTTTTTAAGAATCATTCATTTTCATTGAATGTCTTTTTTTTTTTGGTAATTTACAGGTGCCTAGTTTCAGATTTTTCCTTTCATCTCCTTGAACAAATGAATAGTGACCCTCTGTTCAATGTTCAGGACCAAAATCCAAATCTGTTTCGAAAAGCACGTGGCCTGGAAAGAACGAGACAGCTTAGGTGGCAGTTATGTTTGATGAAAGCCTTCTTGATCACCTGTAGATTTGCTACAAAGTGAGTTTTCATTCCTAGTATATCATGAAATATCAGAGAGTTGGGGGAAACAACTTAAATTTGCCACAAGCAAGTTTGTGTGGAAGAGTCATGAAGACGCTGTTAATTTTTCTTGCGAATGTGCGCTAAAATTCAGTTTGAACTGAAATTCTAATTTAAGAGGGACGCAATGCATGTAAGCAGAATTTCTTTCAAAGATTTATACTGTTTGGTAGAACACTTGTTACGACCAATCAGGAAGGCAACTGCAGGCGCGTTGTAGGTGTATTGGACCCATCATTATTGCAGTACAGCCTCCTCATTTTTCTGCTTCCAAGCTCGGAGAGGTCGTGAACATCAGACTGAGATTTATGCATGCAGCTATGGTGGCAAGCTTTGACTTCATAGGGAAAAAATTTTAGATGAATGTCTGAAAAATATTTCTTGCTTTCTGAGAAAGAGTTAGTTCTTGAGGATACCAAGTACCTAAATTTTGAGAGGGTGCGAAAGTGCTTTAAAGTATTAGAACAATGTTTTATCTTTAATTTATAGAAATTATTTATCATTTGTATCATAAATTGTATCTTTTTTTTTTTTTTTTATTTATTGAAACCTCAGCGCTCAAAATGGATGCACTTTATTCCTTTTATTTTGCTTGTTGTTTGCAGTGTACAAAATTTAATGAAAGATGTGCCTTCTCATATAATTGATGACCCAGATCTGTATTCCCTGGAGGATCTGACACAAGTCAAGAGTGGAGATCTTCCGACAAGGTTGAAAGATTTGGTGGATGTTGCATCGGAGCATTTATCTGATTGTCAGGTAAAAAATGCTTTATTTGGTATTTGTCAATGTTTTTCATCTGATGATTATGGTTGGATGGGAAGTGGCTGGGAATACAGTGTGAGTTAGCGTACTTATAAGTACTTGAACTTATCTTTGATGTTTGATATTTTTAAATTTCTCAGCTGGATCTCTTTTAACTTGGAAAAATTTTCGCTTGGTGGAAAAAAAAAAAAAAATAGCACTCACATTTCCTTTGGAAAGCTCACTTTAAGGCAAAGATCTAAGATCATCTGAATTATTCTTCAGTTTTGGCTCTGAAGGAACTATCGAAATACCATTTTTTACGTCCCTAAAAAAAAAAATTCAGGATTGCTGATGTTGAAACCAAGTCCTACTTATAGTACATAAAATTACAACTAATTCAGTATTTACCTTCCTTCTTCCATGATGTTAGAATTCAAGCGTCCGATGTGCTGCGTATTTTTTTTGGCTGGGATGTCAATCCCACATCCAGTTTAAGAAACTTTTTGGCCTCTGTTATCGTGCTGCATTGCTTATCAATTCGAATGCAAGGTTATTCAAGTAATATCTCTCAAGTGTTTTTGTAGTGTGCTATCCTTAGATTTTAAATTCAGTTTTCTGCAAAAGAGAGAAGATTGAAAAGTTCAGAGAGTGTCCATCGTGTTGAAATATAATTTAAAATAAAATACTATTCTAGTTACCTGGATCAACTATTTTCGAGGTAAAGTTGATTTGATTTTTAGTTGGAGAAAGAGATCTTGTCCTTCTCTCAAGGAGTATTTTGAGCAATTTAGCTATGAAATAAAACATTCCTCCAAAAAAAGTCATAGCGATCATTGATTTCCAAAATTGTATTTTCCATATCATTAGCTGATTTTAAGGCCCGTTGCTGTACATAGTTCAAACAAGCAGTGTTACATAAGTGATACATACGTAATCCTAGTAGTCTTTCTGTTCAGAAAGCAAGCTCTGGTTTTACTATTTTACTGCTGGTGTAACTCTATGTAGAAAGAATGGGTAAGGGTACGTATGGGCAAATCCCTGGTACAAGGAGGCTCAGGATTTTTCCTATAATACCTTGCATCTCTAACTTTTTATGGGTGTTTTTTTTACCATATTTTGAACTTAATTATTTAAGAAGATACATCAAAAAGAATATAATTTTTAGCCATCAATTTTTCCCCACATTATAAGAAGAACAGCTTTAAGACTTTTTCTCCTGGGAAAACAGAAGTCTCTCTCAATTCACTCATTTATCACACCCCAGAAATTATTTTTTGCCATGGATGCATTGATTATGCCTCTGACATTAAAAGGAGAGTCAAGTGATTGTTTTGTGTATTCACTCTTCTTTTCAGTCCGTTTGTGGCAGTATCCATTTTCTGCGGACTTAGAATTTTAGATTAATGACCAACAACCGGAAAGGTAACCATTGGTTTCTCCAGTAACATCACATATGATCACTTTTTTGAAATGAATTTCTGAATGTACAAGTTTGGGGCCTCCTTGTACCCAATCAGCAAGTCCCAAGGGGCTTTTAGACCATCTAATTCTGTTTTTTGGCGGCCATTTATTCAAGGAAGCATAATTTTACCAAGCATCTAAAGCAATATTACGATCTGGTATTTTTTGGAGGGGAGCCGAATTCCTCTTTTATAGGGGTCAGCATTTCGCACGGAGATGTGACAGTTTTGGAATTTTTTGTGTCGACGTAATTTAAAATTTTCTGCCCTTTTCGATTTAGGTAGAATAATTTCCGGGAAGGGGGGGGGGTCGACATGATGGACTTTTGATGTCTTGGGGTCAATTCCCACTTCGTTCCCACATGCCCCGATCTCGCCTGACCTGAAATATCCGGGGGAAAAGTTTGGAACGTGTGGTATGGTCTGCATCACCCTGTTTAAACAGGAATGCAGTAACCACCAACACTATTATATCCAGGTATGTTCAACCCGGTCAGATATTGAGTGAGAACAGTTCCATCCAGGGCCAGCCGTTGTGAAAAACACAGACAGTGCACCTTCATTTTTGTAGGTAGTACACTCGCAATACTGACACCTTTTCAACGTGCGTTTGTCATGCACGTGTCCCCGTCGAACATCTACGTTCCTCGTACTTGATTCTCGAAGAAGAGTCTTTTTTCGAAATTTCTACCAATCGTGTCCGGCTTTCGCCAAACTCGCCCTAATAACTACGAAATAATTTTTGTCAACAATTTACCGAAATCGTGAAAACTTCTGTTCATTACCTGATGCTTTACTCCTTAAAGTGTTTTTTTGCTGTAGTCGTGTTAGCTTGGAGAAATCATGAGACCATCTTCTTCAAGTTGAACTCATCTCGCGGCACCACTGATCGCGATCGATTCAAGTCAGAATCTCACGAAACAAAAGGAGAAAAGTACACTACAATGCCGAAAAAGTATGAGAATCAGCTGGGCAGCGAGGTTGACTTCGAGATCAATTTGGCGCGAATACCCGTTACACTCTGCGCCAATCAGACGCGTCTTTTCAATGCAATATGTTCGGTAGTTCATGCAAATTTGACAGCATTCATCTCATCAAAAACCTTTGATTTTCACAGCTTCCGCGCGAAATTCTTACTATCTTTTAAGTGCTTTACGCACTATTTTCTCACAGTTTTGGTCTGGGGGAGGGGGAAGGAGGAGAGTTAAAGTAAATTCACTTAGTTTTGGCGCGGACAGACAACGAATCGCCGACGAGGCCCCCACTTATCCACGCGAACTGCGCTCAGAATGCATCTCATCATGTCTGACCTGTGCCCCCCCCCCCTTCCTTTGTGCACTCTTTAAAAATTCTCAAGCCCCCTCCTCCCCTCGTAATTTTGTTTATGGTACCAACTAACTGACGATCGGTGTAGGCCAATCTTTCGCGGTCATTTTATAGCTACTCGATCCATGTTTACTGTTCGTCTCTCCTCTCACGAACATCTGACCACGCACGGATGAAAATTGGATCCACGCAGGACTGAAAATAGCACGCACGTGCCCGGTTGGGTTCCCGGGTGACAGAAGCCGGACGGCTGCGGGCGACGAAAGCGGACGAGCTGACACCTTTCCGGCACTTTTTCAAAAAACGGACTGACGAGAATTTTATTTTAGATGTTCGGTTTTTTTAAGTTTTTGGGGTGATTTCACTGAAAACATCGCGAATTCGTATCGATTTTCAACGCACTTAATCACGCCGGGGTCACCATAATATGAGAACGTAATCTTATAAGAAAACTAGCCGTGATTAGCTCGCCTTGCGAGCTGTCACGTCTAGTCGGTGTTAGCCTGACTCGCTCCGCGAGCCGCCCCTCATAGCTTTTAACTTTAATGAGAACACAAAATCTTCGTCCTCATCATCTTATTCACCGATTTGCACACAAATCAATAAAGCAGGAGCCGAGGAAGAATTTTAAGCCACGTCCGCCATCTTGCATTTCGAGATTTTGAAATTTTTGGCAACCTCCGAGGAGTCCATCATTTTCCCTCTTAGTCTATGACAACCACCCGTTTCAACCAATGAAATCGGTTTATTTTCCGGTCGTCATTGTCTATCGCTTTGTCTATCAATTTTAATAATTTGCCCGCAGGAGGAAGGGGGGGGGGAGCTCACGCGGATTCATTAGGTATTTGGAGATTGAATCCCTCTGGTTCTTCTCAGTTTCGAAGTATCCGCGGCTACCCAATATCCGCGGTATCCTGCAGATAATCGAGGCTCAACTCGTCGTTCCCCGGACGAAATAACGTAACTCCATTCCGAGGTCGCCAAATCTACTGAAAAAATCCACTTTTTTACGAGAATATACTTGTGCAATTTTTGTCCAAACTTATTCTGATTTCTACATGAGATCAGAAGAAAAACCAACAAAATTTTCAGTTAGAAATGTCTGATTTTCTCCTGGTAAAAATTCAAATTGCGTGGGGAAATTTGGCAACAGTGGTATGTAGATACGTTCTTTCGTGAGGATAACGACGAACTGTGGTCTTGAATGAGTTGAATGCCTCTGGTTCTTCTCTGTTTCGAAGTATCCACGGCTACCCAATATCCGCGGTATCCCGCGGATAATCGAGGCTCAACAGTGGGCTTGAATGAGAATTTTTGGTGAGGCTACGCGAAAGCGTTTTTGTGACCGTCTAAATGACTTTATTGCTCCGGTGCCTCATTACTGTCAGGTTGGACTGGAGTGTATGAGACCTGTCACAGTGGCGCATGCAGCAGAGTGGAAAATCTCACCGGGACTTTTCCACGCAGTTATATTGTGCACCTCAATTTTTGCTGCACCGGAAAGCTATCAGATGTGTTCCCATGATTTTTCCCCGTCTGTGTGTTTGAAAATCTGAGGACGTCGTACGATACATGTACGAAATTCACGTGGAAAAATGTGTTGTCGTCAATAATCGAGATGCTTTTGAGCATTGAATGTGGTATCGTGAAATTTGAAAAAAAAAAGAAGAAAAAAAAATTCCACAAAATCCCTAAGTTCCTAAAAATGAGGCACAAAAAATGCCCCTTTTTGACAGGTTTTTTTCACGTTCTCTTTCGTTTCGAACGTGATCCTACCTTGAAACTACGGCAAATCCACCCCGGTTGCATTAAGAAATCCATTTTTTTTTTTTTTTTACTAAGCAAATACAGGAGAACCTCGACTATCCGCGGTACGGATTTTCAATGGTTTTGACGAAAAACCGCTATTATTTTACGGCGCAAACTTCTGTTTTTCCCCTGAAATAGACCACACTCAGCAGAAAGGAACCGAGCCTCCTCAGTTATTGCGAAATTTAACCAAGCAATTTAATTTGTTACAAGAGAACATTTGTGCGGACTCGTTTGACATTTTAAGGAATTTGCCTTGCACTATGCAGAAAACTCACCGAAATTCGCACAAAAATTCGCACAACCGTCTTCATGTAAAAAATTAAATTGTCGGATTAAATTTTGCAAAAGCTGGTGGCTTGGTTCCTTTCTGCTCAACGCGGTCCAAATGACGTTTGCCAAAATAACTTCATTGAATTGAGATATACCTACTGCTTTTTAACCTGCAATAATTCCCAAGTAGCAGAGGTTGCAACAACTTGCAACAAAATCCTTTGATTCTTGCAACTAATGGATTGATGTGCAGATTGCCTACTCTCTCCCCCGAAGAAGCTATCATTGTTGGAACCAGTTGCAATTGAGTTGAAACATGTCTCAACTTCAAAGTATTGCTGGTTGCGTATCTTTAGATTTTAAACAACTTCGGTTCAGCAATTTTGCAATCTCAGCAGGTTGCAACTTTGTCTTCCGATCAGATCGCCGAAAACGGCACTTATCGACCAAAAGTTGAAACTTTGTCGCAACTAATACCAACATTGTTTCAACTTGTTGCAACTTTTACATTGAAAAATGCTACTTGGGTTAGATTGCTGTCTGTAATCTGACAAGTGTTACAAAAGATTCTCTGAAATACAGCCCTTCCAGTCCTTTTCCCCGGCCAAATAGCCCAGTTTCGGATTATCCGCGGATAATCGAGACCAGTGGCGAGGCTTGGAAAATCGACTATCGATATTTCCCCATTTAAGAATCGATTATTAAGGTGATCGTTGCGAACACGCTGTTCATCGATCTTTTTCCGTAGGTTTAAATGGGAGATCAATCGATCTATCGCTAAGCACGCCATGCCACTGATTGAGACTCGACTGTAAGTAAGAAAACTTTTGTAAGTCGGGACCAGAGACAAGAGACCCTCCACTAGTATCTTGGCCATTGAGGAAACTTTTACATTCGGGACTTCAGCATTCTACTGTTGACTTACCTACATGGCTGATGTTTAACAACGTGTTTGCAAATTCGTTTAGCAAACAAGTCGAAAATTGCCGAAGTTTGTGAAACTTGTTTGGTTCATGACGTCACCCGAAGCTCATCATCGACCATGTAGGTAGGTCAATAGCCGAAATTAGGGTGATGACTGTTGCTCCCTAATAATTGTCCATAAGGAACTGTTGAATCCCCGGAAGGAAAATCTTCCACCTGTCGCTAGGAGGCCAGTGGAGGGTTTCTTGTCTCCGGTCGGGACGGTCGTTAAGTTGGTATGTAATAGGAAGGGGGAAATTGGCATGAGTAAAGCATTGACCAGCGCAATAGAAAACTGAGAGACCCGCTTCCACAGAGCAAGCGGAGATTTTCCGGGGAGATGCGAGTTGAAATCGTGATAATCGACGGAAAAATTAGAAGTTTCCTCGAAGAGGGGCTCCGTCACGGAATCAGTCGTAATTACGGCGACGGCGATGACGACTGTAAGCCATCGACAAAGTGAAGCACCGAATTATCTATCGAATGTATCCATGCCAAAACGAACTATGTCTCACGGAAACCACATGCACATAGTTCCTTTTAGAATAAATTAACGTACGGTGATTTACGTATGAGCGATCTCCGGAAAGCCAGATGCAATGCACGCCATCTCCACCGTGAGCGAAGAGAACAGTAAGTGCATTCTGAGATGAACCTCCAGACACGTGAAAGCGTGTGCTGTTGATGGCTCATACGGAATTGCACTTACTGCTCTCTTGGCTATGACGGTAAATCAGGCGGGGGTGGGGAGTACGCCTTATCGGCCGTCGGTGTACTGTGCAGCGCGGAAGCATCCCGGAAGCCCGATAACGCTCAACACTGGAGTATCTTCGCGAAATAGGGTACTGCACTCCATCGCAGGGATGCATAATGCATCTAGGTGAACTGCTCTTCCTGACAATGATAGCAGACGGAGACAGCAAGCAACAGTGGTGTCATTACCCTCCTAGGTACTTGACGAGCCCCCCCCCCCCATTTCATTACTTTGCACCCCTCCCCCTCAAAAAAGCCGCGGATTTCTAGGGGGTGTCCGGGGGACCTCCCCTGAAAAATTTTGACAATTTGATGCCCTCCAGCATTCACTGGAAAAAAGAAACACATTGGATCTAGAGTCCAGACTCTTGAAAACGTTGACAAGAAAAAGGACTCTTGATTCAATCAGGTTTACCTAGGCTTAAATCAAAAGGAAATCCGCTCAAATTAAGAGGCTTGGTTCTTGATTTAAGCTTAGATCTGATTGAATCAAGAGTATTTTTTCTTGTCGATGTTTTTAAGAGTCTGGACTCTAGATCCGATGTGTTTTTTTTTCCAGTGTTGTTGAAACTCGACATGAAGTCTCAGCAGCCATCTGGCCTGCAACTTTTTTTCTTAGGGGCCATCTCAGCAGTGGCGTGGCGTGAATTGCGATATATCGATTGATATGTAATTTAAACCTATGGTAAAGAATCGATTATTAAGGTGTTTGCTGCGAACACCCTGTTTATCGATCCTTTTCCATAGATTCAAATGGCAGATCATTCAGTATATCGCAAAGCACGTCACACCACTGCATCTCAGATTTCTTAGGGAACAAAATGAAAAATTGCCCTTTCGAAATCCCCCATTGTTTAGCCCAATGGCATATTTTATTAGGTCGATGTGTCACGAAACTTGACGAAGACGGAGGGGAAGAATTGATGATACGACAGGACGTGGCACCTTGCAGAATGCGCCGAAAAATCCCCAAAACGGAGTCTAACAACGATTTTCTCAGCGGCCAAGGCGATTACTTACCAGAAAATTGCTGTTTGGCCGGCGTGTATTTCAAACACTGCTCTCTAGATGCAATTTGAGGCTATAATCAGCAGTTTTGTCTCCTTTCCCACTGCGGAAATTTCCTAGTTTTAACGTGTACATATATCATTGTTTTTTAAAAATTAAATCAATCTTTATTTTTACAGAAAAATGGGGAGGGGAGAAGGAATATGAGGGGGGGGGGGAAGTAATATGAGGGGGTGGGGAGGAGAATATCACCGAGGGGAAATAGACAACACTTTGGCGGATTTATGCTAACTGCCCCTGCAATGACCTTGCTGCTGAAAGCAAGATAGAACCAGTGTTTGGGGAGTGAACTCTCATTACGCAACGGATTGTTTCCCGCTCTTTTGAGAGCCCGCCGACCCCGCCGTGTGTGATGTAACTTAGTTTTGACATATGTGGGTAGAACTAGTATGAGACCNGGGGGGGGGGGGGGGGGGGGGGGGAGCTGGTTCTCCCAGAAATCTATTTGGCCTCTCAAGAAATGTGAAGGATTTTAGGTACTGAATAACTGCGTGATATTTTTCAACTTTAAAATTTAAATCGATCAATTTGTGGGCAAGAGTAGCTCAACGCGACTCAATTTTTGAAAATTTTCCGGGGTAGCCTTTCCCAGACGTCATGTGTTTCTGCCCCACCTTTGCAATAAAAATCCTTAGTTCCGCCCCCAAGCCTCGGACCGTCCATAGTGAATTACGTAATGTTCGAGGAAAAACTTAAAAGTTGAAACTTCCATATACTTAGGTATCCAAAAAATGATATTGAAACATCAGTGATCGCTGTATTTCGGTCTCCGCCAGGTGACGTGAGCTATGCGACCCAGCTATTGCCTGTAGTTGTATGTCTCTAATTTCTTATTGACTACCGGTTACTCAATTAGAGTATGATCCCAAACGTCTTTAAGCACGAGCGAAATAATTGAAGTTCGACCATACTTTTCGCGTGAGCGCTTCAACACGATCGAGTCGGTCTTGCCCGGCAATTATTGTTATTGTTATCGTATTAGCGGCCCCGACTCTGACATTGGTGCATTTTGCCGAGCGTGCTGCCAGTTTGTGCTCTTTAAATGTATGTTATACCTGTGCAACATGCATTTTGCCCAGCGCGCTGCCAGTTTGTGCTCTAAAATGTATGTTTTCCCCGTACAACGCAGGGGCTCACAGTGGTATATCCAAGGGTAAAAATTCCTGAAACCACAAAATATGACGGTTTTTGGGGCACATTCTTAAGTCAAGTGGGAGTGGGATCCAGAGTTCAGACCTTTGGAATCCCCCGTACATGCACTGGTTAGCAAGGCGAAGAAGCCATGATTAAGAATTGGCTATTGATTGATTTTTAAGAATTGATGAATTGAGGGGCTTGGAGGACAAGGTCACAAGGCGCATAAGTGCAGTTTTTGCTATTTCAAGAAATATGTGTTGGAAATTACACGGATCCTTACGGCGGAAAGAAAGTTCAAATCGACTTTTTGATGCTTAAAAATTGGAATATGGGAGCAAAATTTTCTCAGGATATGCAATAAGACTAGTTTTACTTGAAATCATTAATGTCTCAATTTTTTCAAAAACTGCACTTATGCGCCTTGTCCTCCAAGCCCCTCAATTCTACGATGGCTGTAAGCCCCAAGAAGGGCTCTGACTGCTGTTTCATTTTGCTCTCTCTTTCTTGCATCAAATATTGAAGGGTTGATATTCTCAATCATAAGTATCAAAATCTCAAATCTCTAATTGCTTTATTAAATTTAATTAGCTCTCAAGTAAACTATCTTTGCTAGCTTGACTGGATAAAATTAAAGTAAAGAGCTGAATATTTAATTTCAATTATTTTTTGTTTAATTTTAGCTGTGTCAAGCTCGAGGATTTATCTGCGAGCTGTGCCAGAGTGATGAAATCATCTTTCCCTGGCAGTTGAACAAAGTGTTCCGCTGTAAACACTGTGGAGCTTGCTATCATATCAAGTGCTTTTCGTCAGCTACCTCCTGTCCACGATGTGAGAGAATTTCCCTTAGAAAGAAGCAAAAAATTGTCACTAATGATTCAGCATCCTGATCTTGTGTTACTGTAAGTGTTCGTTTTTTTTCTTTTTTGCAAAAGCTTCCTAACTTTAATCCACAATTTAGTTTTTTAGTGTTCTGTGCACAGGGTTTTCCAGAAAAAGGAAGCCGATTTGAATATCTTGAGAAAGCTTTTGAATTTCAAAAAACGCTGAATAATGTATTCGCTCATTTTGAGCAGGACACCTATTAAGCCTATTTACTCTCGTGCATTCTCGCATCGAGAGGAGGAGGGGGGGGGGGTTCTCATGTGTCCCTCTGCGATTCAAAATTTTTAGTCAACAACATTTATTTTTTTTCTCAAAAATCAATTCTACATGGAAAAACATATTTTTCGTCCTGCCGGGTGCTGATTGGATTAATTATTCCATAATGACAACCCTTTAAACTTTTTCTCGTTCTTTCCAGCAAATTCATCAGGATTGTTTAATTGTTACGAAATTCACTTTAATGTTAAGCTGTAGCACATTGAAGGTGAGACTTCTGAATCACATATCTCGGTTAGCAACGTTCCAGACTTCCTGTTATAATTTGTTTTTTAAATGGAAAACTACTTATTGTCAGTGTCCATTCTTAAAATTTTTTATTATTTTTCTTCTCCTTGCAAAGAAAATTCTGAAAAAATTTCAAGGAGTGATTGTAGATTTGTTTCCCTTTGAAAAAGAAGAGTAGGAGCAGACATTTTCAAACTTGCCAAACGAGATTTGAGCACCTATCCGACCAAACAGCCATTACCCATGTCAATGTTGCTAAGATTGTGTGTACATTCAACTGTTAAGTTGGTAGGGAGCGGTAAGCTTTGTTTTGGAATTTGCCTCAAATTTTCTCTCTATTTTTCTGAATATTTTGACAGAAATTTATAATGCTTGTGATTTCGGATACTTGCAAAAAAACGAAAAGTTGCAACATCTTAGCGACGTTGACATGGGTATGTCGAGCTGTTTGGTTGGAAAGGTCCTCATATGTGGTGTGGGGACTTCACCAATGACATGAATGTTCTTCAAGGATTTTCCACAACATTTTTTTACTCAGTGTAAACTGACCGAACTGTTTTCTAACGCTTCAGTCAAATAAAACACAGATTTATTGAGTTGCATTAGCTCGTAAAATCAGTCATTCTATTCATTTTGTGCTCCAATTTCTTACGAAACTACAAACCTGATATCGAAACTTGGCTGTTTTTAAAACGCCTTCAATTGCGGCCTGATACCTCACGCATTCTGGAGAGTTCAAATAGTTGTATCATTGCGCCGTAAGAATGTGACGGAAGATTAAAATGGAAACAGCCTCAATGCATGCTGGGCTTGTCGATTTCCTTTGACATTTTAGCAGTCGTGAATGCATAGCCTAAATGCGCTCCAGCTAGAATTGTGTATAGCAAATGGGTAATTTTTATATGAGGATTATAAACAGGCAAGCGGCACGAAACAAAACAAGAGAATATGAACTGTGCTAAACGAAAATCCGGGTATCGGAACTTGACTGATTTGAAAACGCCTTCAAATGCGGCGTGATACCTCACGCATTCCGGAGAGTTCAAATAGTTATATCATTGCGCCGTAAGAATGTGACGGAAGATTAAAATGGAAATAGCCCAAATGCACGCTGGGCTTGTCGATTTCCTTTGACATTTTTGCAGTCGTGAATGCATAGCTGAAGTGCACTCCAGCTAGAATTATTTATAGCAAATGGGTAATTTTTATATGAGGATTATAAATAAGCAAGCGGTACGGAATAAAACAAAAGAATATGAACTATGCAAAACGATAATCCGGGTATCGGAACTTGGCTGATTTGAAAACGCCTTCAAATGCGGCATGATACCTCACGCATTCCGGAGAGTTCAAATAGTTGTACCATTGCGCCTTAGAATTGCTACGGAAGATTACAATTGAAATAGCCTTCATGCTCGCTGGGCTTGTCGATTTCCTTTGACATTTTTGCAGTCGTGAATGCATAGCTTAAGTTTTGTTTTTTTTATTATTATTATTTATTAGCACAAAGAAAACTGTACAAATGAGACACTTTTAGACATAGAGAATGTCTTTGAAAAGCTTGCTTAATCTGCTAAGGTAACTTAACAATACGGTTTCACGTTATATCTGAAAAATACTACCTGTACAAAGCTAGGAGGAAAATAAAACAAAATTATTCCAAAATAAAAATGTCTTTTTGGTTAATCTTTGATGTGTGGACGACCGGAAACGGCCAAAGTCCAAGGAGCCCCCCAATCACGTCCAAAGAGCGCGGGGAGGCACGTATGCTAAATTAGCTCCAGCTAGATTTGTATTTAGCAAATTGGTGGTTTTTATACGAGGATTAAAAATAAACAAGTGGTACGGAATTTTACATAATAATAGGAACTTTGCAAAACGATAGTCCGGGTATCGGAACTTGGCCGTTTTGAAAACGCCTTCAAATGCGGCGTGATACCTCACGCATTCCGGAGAGTTCAAATAGTTGTATCATTGCGCCTTAGAATTGCTACGGAAGATTACAATTGAAATAGCCTTCATGCTCGCTGGGCTTGTCGATTTCCTTTGACATTTTTGCATTCATGAATGCATAGCTTAAGTGCGCTTCAGCTAGAATTGTATATAGCAAATGGGTAATTTTTATAGGAGGATTATAAATAAACAAGCGGTACGGAATAAAACAAAAGAATATGGTGATAGTGCCAATTCAAATATTCTGTCGGTGCTTTGAATCCTGCATGACGGCCGAAACCTAGGTACCATATGATGACAATCGCGTGTGCAAAGTGCCCAATTGTTTTGGCTCCATTCATGCACGTACATAGCAGGTGGCCACTGATGACATTGTTCGTTTATTAAGATCAATTAATATAAACACATTGTAGATGTTTAGCGATTTGTGTCTTGTTAATAACCTACATTTCAAAAAAAAAAACTGGATCAACAACATGTATTCCAAGATCCAAAACGTTTGGTTGGTAGCTGTCCTTGCTTTGAAATTCATATTTGCCGCAAGCAAAATGATCTGCTATGTAAGATCTTGCGAGATGTAACTGGTATGATCCACAAAATTGTTTAATATCTTCCGCAGTCCACAGCTGAAGTTGCTGAAAGTCGGTCTCCTCCAATCTTCTAAAGTTTTTACTTTTTCGAATTAGGCCCTTAGTTTCCACGATTTTTTGCATCAGATTTGGCTCGTTAATGTTTGCCAACATTTCCAATGCCACAGTTTCACTGTCCTTGTCACTGTAATTCCTATGAAAAAAAGTGTTGTGTATGGCGGCTGTTATTCGTAGATCCGTAAAAAAAGATTTTCTTGTAAGATTATTTTATACCATTTTGTTAGAATTTCAAACATTGGAAATAATCGTCTTTAAACTTTCGTCAACCATAAAACACTTGGCTGAAATCAACATTCCGTTTTCTACTTATTCTAAATTATTTGTTTGCCTGGATGGTCTTTGACACTTAGAACTGGCTATTAACTATGGGTTAGAACAACAAATCACTGAGCACAAAAACTTTATTATTACAAATTATCTCTTGAGTAAGTCAGTTAAAACTAAAAAGTTGCGTAAAGTCCATGAACCAGTCGCTAGGCCACGCGGCGAGGAGCCCGGAGCCCAGGACGGCTGTAACGGTGCGTAATGGGTACGGCGCGTCGAAACCCGCGTATAAAAATGGTCATAACTTCTATACCAATCGTTTCCCCGCCAAGGATAACATATCGATAGATGCGGAATCAGACGAGGAATCGATTGGACATATTTTTTTTAAAATAAAAAAATGGCTTTTTTGGGTATTTACGAACATGTACAATTCGACGGATCAAAAATCCAAAAAAAGAGGTGAATCATAAGTTTAATGTTACGTTCCATCCACAAATCATACATAAAACAAAAGTTCATAATTTTTAAAGAATTTTAGCGCAAACCGCAGATCAATGACTTAATTGGTTCAAAAGTTATCGAATTTTTAAAGGTTGCAACTTGGCAACGCCGCCAAAGCGCGGGAAAATTTTTTTTGGACTTGAAATTATCAGAAACGGGGCCCTTTGTTATGGTAAAATAGCATACTAAAAAATGGAAGCAATCGGAGTTACGGGGGATTTGGCCGTTTTTGCATGAGGCTCTTTATGAAAATTTTGAAAGAAATTGCTCGAAGACTTTTCCAAAAATGGCAGCTCTATCAGAAGTTTTACCATCTTATAATATTCTCACAGCATTTTGCCTGAAAATAGAGGGGTTGCACCGTGGCACTGATTTCTTTTCTTTTTTGTGTTTCAGACCCAGCCGTTTATCTGTGATACTCCTCAAGACCCCAGACCTGAACAGTTCACAAAGTCTGGCCAAGAATCTCGTAATAAATTAGGAAATATGAGGGAATTTTTCTCAAATCTGCTCAGTTGGGATTTCAAATTTTGAAGGTCCTAGGAGGAGTCTGAATTCAATTAGTGTAAGTTATCAATAATTTTGTAAATACCAAGCTCAGAAATTGCTCAAACCTTAGTGAATGGCGCAAGTGCTAAAAAGTATATTGGAAAAGTATATTTTTCAAAACTCCCTAGTAGCATTGGCTGTTTAAAGAAATTTCAAGAACTCTTGAATAAAACTGTAGAATCCATGTGAGGAAACCCTTTTTGTTTTTTAAGTAAAAATGCCTCCTTAAATTTCCTCAAGTTTTCATCTTTTTATTTAAGTAAATTTGAACACAAATTTTACATAAAATTTAATTTTTGTGTTTCCAGCATCAATGTGGATCATTTTTAGAATTCAACAAAAATTTGATGCTAATTTTTTCATTACTTTCTTTAATGTTTTCATTCTTACTTTACGTGATGAAGAACCAAATGAATTTCCATCTAGAACTATACAAACAAAATTTAAGAATTTTTTTTTTTCTGTCCAAATTTAACAGTCAGTGCTTCTAAGGTTAAATACCGTGTTTTTATTCATCATAACTTTAAATAATGGTTAAAACTTCAGTTATTGCCCGGCCTTAACTTATGTATGCAGCCTAGAATTAGTTTGTAAGTCAAATTTGATTCATACTTTTGATGTTTTATTTCTCTCTGTGGTGCAAATTATCAGAGCAGTATTATTCCGTTTTTATGTTCACCTACCTAATTTTTCAATTTTATTCCAGCTATTTTTAGTTCCGGCAGTAATTTTATACTTAATGTGCAACGTTTTTTCTGCTCTAAAATGTTCTCATTATTGGAGGAAAATATCTCACTTCAATTAGAAACCTCAAACATCTCCAAAAGTGAGTGAGGAGTAAGGTACAACAGATTTCAATGTAAAACATCACATGTTTCACAACCCTCTCATGAAATTTTGTGTCAGTATAGGTAAATTTCTTTTAGAGATTGATCAGTTAGGAAATAGGAGAATTTCTATCATGTTTCAAATACTGCAGATAATTCAGCATCAAAAACAATAAAAATCCAGACTTTTCAAATTTGTTGCAAGTTCTTCTTAAAAGTGCACAAATTTGAAATATAGTTAACATCTAGGAACTTTGAATCTGATGCCTGGTATGTCTCCTTGGTGTTCTCAGAACTGCGTCCTTAATTTTTTATGCCAAAAAAAATTTCATCGAAAATCTAAGAAGAGTTTGCCTCTGCCTTGCCTCCTCTGAAGGTCTTAAGGAATGTGACCTCCCCTAAAGGAACTGCCTCATGAAAAAATCAAACAAATGTTTCACTACTACTTACTTTTTAATACCCAATTTCACTTATCATATTTAGTCATCATATTTAGTCTTTTATTAAAACTACAAGACAATCTGAAGAACTTATGCACACTCACATCATTTTAGAAGAAAACACGTCTTTTATCAGATGAACTTTGAATTGCCACTATTTTCATGTGTCTTACGGCTATGTATGATACATATATTATCTCAGAAAGATGAAAAGTCTCAATTCAATATTTGAAGAGCGTTTGCATCAAAAGATATTCGAAAATAATTGCTCTTAAGAAAACTTTTGTCTCCATTCAACTTTTTGTTTTAATTGCCATTGACTCGCTAAATCTGGCTTTAATGTGTGAAGCGATATCTAGTTTCTGCACTTTAACTCGCAGCATTTTTATATGCCATGTTTAAGATGTTTTGCATTTTGAGTGTTTTTGTTCATGTGCTCAGTGCTTAAGAATTAATACTACCTTAATTCTGTTAAGTAGATGCTCTTTGTTACCCCACAACTGTTATGTTTTAGTCATTCGAATGCCTCAAGCAAATGGATTCGTATCAAAGGAAGGTGGGTATGAAGAGAAGATGAAATAACCAGTTTTAGTCCTAAAATTAGTCTTTAAGCTTATCAAATGTCATGAGACTATTCTATGAAAGTAGTCAGGGCTGTAGAAAATGAATACGAACTACGGAGGTTCAAGACAACTGAGCTGGTGCAATTCACATTAATAGTCAAATGAAATCTATGAGCTTTAGGAATGATCAAGATCACTGGCATAATCTGTTTTATAGAAAATTATGCCATTATAGGCTAGTCATATTCTACAGAAAACAGTTCCAATTTGTACGTTAGGAAGACTTTTCTTTAAAAACTCTCTGGGAGCTACCCATTGTTCATGCCGAACTAGTTTGTTGAACTGCTCAATCCTGCTCAGTTCTGTTTCAACTGTCCAATCTATTGTTTTGAGAAAAAAAGATCAGAGTTGTGCCATTAGTTCTTGTACATGGAAAAGCAATGACGAGGGCTTCAATCAATTGCCACTATTAGAAAACAAATTTTGGTTTGCAATTAGCGTAAAGAGTTGCATGACAGGAGCAACTAGACCAAACTAATCTTGCATAACAGCAAAACGCATTTGATGGCAAAATAAAGGACTGCTGTAGGCTGTAGACTACTCTCACTAGGAACCAATGAAGGGATTAATGGAAGCCAAATCTGGGTGTAAGTCACTATAAGCATTCAAATAAAATCCTAAGTAAAGAATATAAACCAAAGAAGATTGAGAGGAGGTAATAATGAATTGAAAAGAAGGAAGTAAAAGTTGGAACCTAGCGTAGGTCTCTCTACATGTTCGTCTCACATCTAATTCTTATTGTAATTAATCTAAAAATGAGCGCTGTAGTGGCACCTAATCTTTACTAGTCCAATTATTTTAGCACTGAACATTTTTGTATGAAATCTTGTGCCATGTAGATACTGAAAAACTGCATCATCTTCATCTCTTTCCATTTAGTACAAATAACTAATTTTTTAGGGTAGGTTTAGTGGTTGGTTTTTCTTTCTGAATACCTATAATTTAACCATACTGCTCCGTTAAGGAAGAGCACAGTGCCTAATTTACTTAAATGTTGCCTCAATTACATGGTGTCTCATGGACCAGTCCCATGTTTATCCTTGTTTTTCATGTGTTAATATTTTCTTTTTATTTTTGCATAATTTTGTTTTTAAATGGGAAGGATAAGAATAAGATTTTAAATTGATTCCACTTATCGATGGCTAAAGTACAAAACTGTCTATCTCTGTTTGCGACATTTCAGACTTCTCGTCATACTTGATTTTTTTTTTTTTTTTCGAAAACTAGTCAATATAATTCCTTGAAAACTTCCTTGATTTTTTCTCATCTGTCAGCGAAATATTCCACGTGAATATCAAGCTATAAATTTGGCTTACTTCTCAGCGAAAAAATGAAGTAAGAGAGGAAATTTTTGAACACAGGAGTGGTGATTCGTGGTCTTGCACTTTGGCTGTCGATGTGGTAAATACCTATTCACCTCTAATATAGTGTGCTCTTTCATACCAGTCTAGAATACTGATCAAAGAACTTGGAAGCCTCTGCTCCTAAAATGTTTGATTGATCTATCAAATAGTGCAGACTAGCTTCTTTTGCTTAACTTATATAGTATTACAAAATAATTTTTAGCAAATGCCTTCAGCTCCCAGCTGAATTTTAAGCTTTTGTTTATAAAGAAGACTTTTTAGCTATTTTGTTAAATATATCTTCTCTAGAAGCTATTGAAATGTCCCCAGCTTAAATTTCCAGAGTCATAATTTTTTTCTCTGTGACAAAAGTTTAGGTCCTCAAATTCACATATGTATTTAACTATTGATTTATCTTCATTACTTTTGTTCTGTGTTATCTTGTGATAAGTATTTCATTGAAATTTTTGACGCAGAGTTTATTACTTGTTACACTGAAATTACAAATTTATTGGATTAGAGCAGTGTTTTCTGCTTTCTCTATGTTGCTGTGATAAAAATTTTGTTTCGTGTACTGACGGATTCTGAGCCCTTTCAGACCCAATAGGAGCGACCTATAGGTTTTTAGGAAGCAAAATGTGAGGCTCTATCTTCTATGAAAAAGTAACCATGAGAGAACTCTTTAATGTTAACCATCAGAGTTACTGTAACTGGCGAATTGAGCTGTTGTTAGGCCTTGTCCAGAACTCAGTTCGCAGAACTTTTTCCCCGAACAAGTTTTAGCTCAGCTAAAACCTTATTCCTTCAAACCCTGGAACTTCCCCGTACTCCAAGCTTCTGTTTCTTTTTTTGTGAATTCGTTTGTTTTTGTTTTATATGTCCTTTACGTCTTGACATTTGTTTTTGTTAATCCCGTGGCCGCAGTAATCTATTATTTTGCAATAATTGTACAGATTTTTCGAAGTTCCGGTGAACTGGTGTAGACAGCATCCCTCATTTTAAAGGAACAAGTTTCGGGAAACGTCGAATAAGTTCCTGGAACTGGGCTCGTGTGGACAGGGCCTAATTTATGTCTGCTCTTCTGCCACTTGGAAGATGCAATTAGGTTGCAAAATGCTGTATAGCGCTGTAAAAGCAATCGCTCTTTACTTATCAAAAAACAAAAGATGGTCATGTTTTCTCTTCAAATTTTTATGCAGAAAATTATTCACACAAAAGGAAGATGGGAAATCAACTTTTAAAGAGGGTGGATGCAGTTGACCTAGTTGAATTGCAAAAACACGAAGGATGGCATTCAAGTGCCATTCGATCATTGTTGGTGTATCACCCAAGAGTTGATTTTCTAACTTCCGTTCGTGAGAATTGCTTTTTATATGGAACGTAGAATTTTGAAAATGAAGCACATACTTAATGTGCTTTGATTCATACATGCAGAGTGACCGGTTATTGCGGGTCTGAAAGGGCTACATGCCACTCTTTGGAAACAATGATGCATTATGGCTTCATTAAAGCGAAATTCGTACAATTTTTTCATTTGTCTAGTTCAAATTTTTCTCATCCTATTCAATCCTTCGGGAATAGAAGTTTTCAGATTGGATTTGCTGCTGATTCATGCTGCACTGGGTAAAGTGACACAATCTAAAAATTGAATGTTTTCAGTAACACAGACGTTTGCAAATTGGGAAGCTGATGTGAACACAGCTATGGATATGAAATGGTTTTTTTTTTTGCTCTCAGTATGACAAACTAGCACAAATGAAAATTTGAAAATTTACCACATAAAATATTGATTATTGGGGCATATTGTTAAAATCTATTCCAGTCTTGACAACAACAATTTTTGGATTGTTTCCTCTTGTTGGGACTAAAAACACTGTTTTTTCTGGAGAGGCAAAAAAATGAAAACAAACAGGGAGAGAAAAAAGAAATCGTTGCAGGATTTACAAGGAGAACGTTTTTAATTAATTCTTATACGATAAAACAACATCAAATTAGAGAAAAAAAAAGGTCATGCAATTCATTAACAGGCTATACTAAAAAATAAATTTCTAAAGAAATATACAGATAATAACATTCATTAAAAAGAAACTTATCAGTGATCAGTTCGTTTGATTTTAAAAAAGACCGGTAAAATTACATTCAAATCATTGATTTGGTGGCCAGCTTCAGTTTAAGTTGCAAATATACTAACTGGCCACAACAATTTCTAAAAACACGATGCAACTATTATTATTAGAAAACTTTTGCAGCATTATTTTTGCTTATTTCTTTTGGTTGAATTCATTAAACACTGAAGAATCATCACCGATTTCTCAGCTAAGACTCATTGAGCAAAATTTCAACATGCAATTTAGATGGCTTTAACGAATGTTAAAAAATTCTGAGTTTGGAGAGGTTCACAGAAGTATAGATTCCAAACACCCGAGAAAGACAGAAAAAGGTGATTAATTTGGACTACGTTTTGCAATAAGGAGCTACAATCTCTGGCTCACATATAAAAACACCCATCTGCATAGTAAAACTAATGGCACTTATGTTGTTTCTAAAATGAGCCACACTTTGTAGTTTCTCATTGGATAATGTAGTCCAATAAAAAAAAAGCTTATTTACATACAGCTCTCAACAAATTCACTCAGAAACCTGTGTGCAGGGAGTAAACAAAAAAGTAGGTGGTATAACGACCCATTTGGAATACCCCCCACTATAAAACTAGTAACATAAAAAACATGTGGAGATCATTGGATCTAATATCTTATTTACATCAGCCTTAAGTAGAACATATTGTACTAATTAATCCTACAGTTGCACGTTCTTTAAAGTCTCCTAGAGCTACCTTAACTAAAATTCAACTTGACGAAAACTCCCAACACGCTAACAGGGAATTGGACTACTCGTATTAGCTGGGTTAGAAATAATGCAAAATAGCGATGATATGATAGCTTTGAAAAGACGTGAATCAAACATAAACAATCAAAAACAGCCTGTATGAAAGGACGTTCTTCATTGAGTGTCACCCCAAGCTATAAAATGTAGGCATTTGGTTCAAATTAATCCATGTACTTGGTTTAAAACAACTGTGCAGCACCTTACGGTAATGGGAATTGTCACTTCAATCAAACACCAAGTCACAATTACAAATGATAACTAAATAATGTACGGACATATTCTTCTTCAATTATAATTTTTGCACTTTTAAGTGGGCAATAGTAAAATTAATAAAAAACCCAAATTCTGAGATGGCACAACGATATATTTGAAAAATATTCCAGGGACAGGCTTAAACTGGAAACAGATGTGTTGCACATTGATTGAAATCTTAAACGACAGAACTAGAGACTTCACTTTACTGATGAGACAACAGTACTTGAAAGCTAGGGCGTGTATGCCTCAATGAATAACCTAACAGCGTGGGAAGTTTGCGAAAGGCTTAAAAACGCTTGGAGCATTATTACTAATCCAGAACAATAATTCAATTTTGTACAATTGCAAAAAAATAGAGATCATTTTCCTTAAAGAAAAAAAAAGAAAAAAAAAGAAAAAAAAAGAAAAGAAAAAAAAAAAAAAACAACTATGAGAAAAGATGCAAAAACCACAATAATTAAAATTGCTGTTTCTAAACACTGAATGAGCTGTCAGTCAAAAGCCTCAAATGGTTAGAGTTGGCTAACTTGCATTAGGGTTGCTACGGAATTTAGAAAACAAAATTATTTTACATTTGAGGATAAGCAGGGTGACCGTCAGGAAATAGAAATTATCACTTCCAGACCTGCACATTCAAAATTTGCTGTTCGAAACGTCAAAGACATTCTGGAAAGGCGAGAAAAGGTCCTGCTTTTCCTGATATCCTTTCACTTTGAAAATTTCTAGAGATTTTTCCGTAACTGTGGCGACCCATTATGTCAGACAGCGTACTTTGGAAGAAAACAAAAGAATAACAAGTTCTGGGGCAAGAGGGTGGATAACCTTTGCATCACTGCAAAGACAATTTAACAGACATATTGTTTACAACTGAGCAATTAGAAAGCTCTAGGATTTTCTTAAAATACTTTGTGAATCTTTGCATTATTTTCTTACAGTAGTAATTTGAATTATTTGTACTTGCTTTGCTACAAATTGCTCACAAAATTGCAAAATCTTAGCAGCGATGCAAGGCTTATCCGCTTTTAAATGAGGAAATAGTTTCGTTCACGAAGACCTCAAATCCACTCAGCATTGTATCTCTATGCCATCAGCTGATCTAAAGGAGGTTTTTGAGGAATTAAATATTCCCCCTTCCTCAGTCATCGAGAAAAAATTTCGAGATCATTCAAAATTGTATGAAAGACTGACTGGCATAGGAAAATCATCGCTGAATAGTTTGTGGAACTGCAGCCGACTCCCAATTGATTCAAATTCAGCAGTAAGAAACTAAACACACTGATAAAACCAACCTAGTACATGTAAAGGGAAACCGATGGCAAATTGATGCTTCTAAACAACCGAAAAAAGGTTATTTTCTGCTAAATTCGGTCCAATTGTATTTTCTCTATTGATTCACAGCCCACAAAGTATTTTTACAGCAATTATTAAGGAGGTACTGAGTAAAATTCTCTGATTCATCTGCCTCATGTCCATTTACTTAAAGTTAATACTTATGTCATAGCTGACTGCTAGTTCTAGGTTTGTTGTTCAGTACAGAATAATCATCATTTAAAATAAAATCTGGATCTCAACTTTTGTCTATGATTAAAAAATTTAAAACAAATATGAACAATTTTTATAGCCTTGAGATTGAAATGAGTAAAAATATTACTAAAATTTTTTAAGAGCCATGATTGTCATAATTTCAGGAAATGCTGAAACTGCGTATAGTCGTTAATTTAAAATGTCTCAATAAGATAAAAGCTTAGCCTGAAGTACCTTTCATGCTTTTATCTCAATTAGTTTTAACATAAAATAAAAAATCAATCGAACAAGATGCAACTGCAGATTGGAATACTTTGATAAAATCGAAAATGGCATTAATACTTTACACACTGTACAGGCCTACTCAGGCAACTAGCTTCGTCAAAAGTCTATACAGAGGGAACAGTTAACTTCATAGCTGAAGATCCTCGTCTCTCAATAGCTCTGTTTTGGCCACTTCGAAGAACACCCTGAAAATGAAGAAAGTCAAACGATCAGATATATGATGATTAAAGCAACAACCATAGAAATCAAAGGTTTCATAAACACAAATGCGAACACAAACTTGTTCCCAAATAAATTTAAAACTCAGTATGAACCGGAAAATACAAAGGCTGTCCAAAACTGACTGCCATTGTTAACCCATTGACTTATGATTTAATTTGACCCTGCCGGGCCAGGAATTACGATTTAATTTGGCGAAAATCAGCAACTTTGAACACTTCAAAATAATCCAGAAATTATTTCTCAAAGGGTGAAAATTGACAAAATAAGCATTCACAATACAACGTTTGAGAAAAATGGTGAAAACTTTGAACACAATGATTTTTTTATGTGGTTTATAGCTGTCAAAATCGCAAAAATCGCAAAATCAGCGAAAATCAGAAAATTTTGAGGTTATTTCATGTGCAAACGCACAGTAATATGAAAATACCGTAACAAAACAAGAAATTACCTTACACAATAAGTCATAGGGTGGCCACACTACTCATATAAACATTGATGAGAACGCAATCTACCGGAGAATTGCCGAAATAACGCAAACAATCAGCGGACGGCTCTGAGCCGTCATTTCAGAGCTGGCCCAGCGCTGCGATGACGGCTGGGAGCCGTCATTTTAAGTCAATGGGTTAATCCTATGAGCAAACCTGAGAAGAAAAATTGAACTGCTAGATTGTGATCCAATTTGACACCATCCATTGGCATAAAAATGAACTAATTCTTTAGAAGCTCGGCTAGAGGGATTCAACCATGGAAATACAGAAATCTTAAGATGTAATCCTTCCACCCAATTCGAAAAAAAAAAATTAACTGAAAATTTTATCTCCCCAAATGAGGGTCCCTTTTCCAACAGATGATCACCCTGACGAAAATTTCCAAATGTAGGCTTTCCAAAGAAAGATTTCAGCCAGCAAAGCATGCATTGCAAGAAAATTGACTTACTTGTGAGAGTACTTATTCCTGATCGTTGAAATGTTGGATTTTGGTTTTTCTCGCAGCATCTTGTTCAGGAAAAGAACTATGTGAGCGAAGTCTTTCAATTCGTAACCTGGAAAGGAAAGTACACGAAAATAAGGATGGCCCCACAGGAAAGTGTAAACAAGACTTAAAGATCATTCATCAACCACCATTCATAGTATTTTTAAAATTCTATATTCCTTGGGTTTTCTCAAATTTTTTCTAGGCTTCAACAGAGAAAGGAAAAGCAGATTATGGTATCAATAAATTTAAAAGAAAAAAGTGCAAGAAGAGTTTTAACTTAAGCAAACTGCTACTACAATCTCATTTGAAAATTAGGACAAATCTTGAACTTCTACAATTTTTAACTCCTCCAGTGTTCGAAACTCACAGGAGCCAACGCGCCAAATGCACCTAAAAAATGAAGGCTCTGCGCTAACGTGGCCCCTAAAAATCTGAATTTTCATATCAGGTGATTATTCGAAATTTTCAGCACCACAAGTGAAAGCTTTTTCTATTCTTCTTGATTTCATCATTTGTGCTCTTGTCTTTCCCATGTTACAACTACTTACTAGTTCTGTTACGAAAACATCTTGCATCTATATTTTCACTAAATGCGCTGTAATTTATGGGCAAATAGTCAATTTAACCCCTAAAAAATCTTTAATGGTGCCTAAAAAACGGGCTTGATGCGCTACATGGCTCCTAAAACTCAAAAATGAGTTTCGAACACTGGACTCCTCAATTCTCCAAGTTTATTTAGATCCTTGCTATCCTGCTTCTAAGTTGATTTGGCGTCAGGGTATACAAAACTTAAACATGACGTTTTGATTTTATAGAAGGAATTTTGTCAGTCCAATTTTTTTTTTACCTTCTTTTATGTACTTCTCATACTTTAAAGTTTGACTTAGCAACTAAGAAACATCCTTGATTGGTTCCTGAAATCATATACCAGTAGAAAGATCTCTGGTAGGAAAGTAGTAAATCAATGGGACATCCAAGGATTTATATTGGACAAAAAATCTGCATGCTAACTGAAACTGTTGTAGTCCAACATTTGGTTGACAGTTACCTGAGTAGAATGCTAGAGTTGGCGTCCACCCACTGATTTTCTTCATTTGCAAAGCCAGGAAGAGCGCTGCTGCCCCTAATTTTGATTCTGAGAACATGATGCAGGAGTATTGCATCAGGGAAAGCTCCAAAATATACCTTGCTAGTGTTAACAATGGCATTTGAACTTTTGCACACTGAAAAAAAAGAAGAAAAAAAAATTACCAACACTTTATAGGAATGTAAACTTCTGTACAGCTAGCGATTTAAGAAGAAACAAAAGACAAAACCTGGCAAACTGTTTAAGGCTGGAAAAAAAACAAAAAAAACTAGGGCTGTGCGAGCCTGGTTTTTTGGATTCGAGCCGAGTTCGAGTATTTTTTCACTAAGTCGAGCCGAGTTCGAGCTTTTTCGAGCTTTGAAAATGACCCTCAAGCCATGTCGAGCTCGAGTCGAGTTCGAGTAATTTCGAGTTTTAAAACGTGATTTAATCTATTTTCTACAACAAATAATTCCAAACAAGACTCATAATATGATATTAATAATTATTGACGATGACACACTAGGAAGGATTTACACTAAAATTACAAAATGTTCGGCAGTAACGCGTTAAAATAACTCCCTGCGGTTTAATTTGAAAAGAGGACCAAACTTGGCAGGCTTTAGAGCACATTTATGCACGCGATTCGTGTCGCCGTGTCGCTGGCGGCAGTTGTTGCCGCGACGTTTTTTGGAATCGCGCGATCCATATTTTAGTAGCCGCAGCACCTTTTTTCTGCCGCCGCTACACCGTTTTTCTGGAGCGCAAAAAGTCCAAAGCACGTGCTCACTTTCAGTTTTCCAAGCGGCGGTCGTCGCCGCAGGTTGAAATTTGTCGCGCGCATAAATGCGCACATATGACTCCGTGTAGTTACAAACCGCGGGCGGTAGCGTGTTGGCGCTGCGGATGGTAGAAATTTGCCGACGAGACTCTGATGTTATTCAATCGTAAAATGATGGCAAAACTTACAATAGTTTAAGTATGATTGAAATATTTGGAAGTTGGACTCTTTCGGCGTTTCCGGCTCAAAAAAACTCGAAATACTCGAAAAAACTCGTCTTGTTGACACTCGAGCCGAGTTCGAGTACTCGCCCGAAACTAACCTCACTTTCGAGCCGAGTCGAGTACTCGATACTCGGCTCGACTCGAGTACTCGATACTCGGCTCGACTCGACTCGAAATTCGAGTACTCGCACAGCCCTAAAAAAAACATATACATAACTTGACTATTTTGGTTTCTTGCTGCTCAAGATTTAAGAGATTCTCGCAAACCATTGCTAGATATTTATAAGAATTTACTGGTGTAATGTAACTTAGGTTTGAGTGCATTCAGTGCATTGTGGTACTTAGGTGCAACTTACGTAGATATAATTTGAAATTAATTTCCATGACCAAAGTGAAACCATGTAACGTAATTGCAATGTTTCTAAACTTCCGCTCCTATTTTATTTGTTCTGAGGGAACAAGCAAAATTTGTATGTAACTTTAAATGTATACAACAGTGCTTTGTGAACAAGCAGGAATATCAAGAAAGTTTTCAAGAAATTACGCTGACTAATTTTTCGAAGAAAAAATAGAGGATGACAAGAGGTCTGAAACGCTGCGATCGAAGATACAAGGTTTTATACTTCGGCCATTGATTTGTTACAGCTAACTAGACAAGACAATGTGGCGAGTCAAAACTTACTCTGGAATATCTGCGAAGAAACCTGTAGGACAAGGGTGCACCGAGATCGAAATTCAGTGTTTTGATCATGTTGATTTCCATTGCAAGGATGTCAGTGATCTTATACTCTTCTGCGCAGATGTAATGGAAGTCTTCTATGCTTGGGGGTATTCTTTCCTGTACAAAAATGCAGCATTATTGAAGTTTTTATTTTCTTCATACAATGAAAACACTTGATGGTCCAACATTTCAGTTGACCATAGACAGAAAATCACCAGCAACAGTAATTTTTACAAATTTTCTGGGCAAATTGAAGCTTTCAAGGAGATGACATATTAATGGAAGGGTTTTTGTTTTAGCTAATTGAAACTTAAGCTTGAGGATCTCCAGAAAAATGATCTTAAAACACTCCGATAAAGTTGCATTCATGCTGAAATACAGGAGTCAAAAATTAAAAACTCGACTGTACCTCAATAACTTTAATTTTGTGCTCGCTTTTAGCACAAAATTGAAGTTATTGAGGTACAGTCGATTTTTATTTTTTGGCCTCTTTATTTTAAATCTTCCTGAATGCTTATCGGTCTCAATTCTACAGTTTTGACACACTTATGCTACCTGTTTTTGCATGGATTAGATTTTTTTTTTTTCACAGGAATCAAACTTGGTGAAATGAGTTGTTCAGTCTTTAATGATCAAGAGTAATTTGAGCAGTGTCACTAGCTTGCAAGATTACAACGATTTGACTATTTTTCAATTTTACTTGCAAGCCGTATAGGAATCGAATCAATACACTAACAGGTGTTCCAAAAAAAAAAAGTGGACAGTGCTATGTCACACAATACCCAAATGACTCGCAAGGGCATATGCATGGTTTTCGAATTTTAAGCACATTTTGAAGAGGTAAAGGATCAATTCTCAAAAAGTAAGCCTGATTTGTTTTCTTGTAGATCCCCCCCTGCTTATGAGTGAAAACACAACCATGATAGACCATGAGAAGGAACCTTTGATACTTAGCAAAACGGTTACTAAAAAAGCCCAGTCAGTTAACTTCTACCAATATACAACTTACATCATATTTGCAGGCGATGAACATGGCTGTTGCTCCGACTAGTTGCAGAAGGGTTTTTTTGATGGAGACCTGGCCTAGGTATAAATCAACCATCTTGACAGCTAGGTAGAGGGTTTCGTGGTTAAGCTCGAATGTTTCTTGCACTTCCACCATCCAGTCAACCAAGACAGCACGCATATCTGCATTTATGGATGTCTGATTCCTCATGTAGTCTTTGCACTTGTATCGTTCCTAGAAGTCAAACATAAAGACACAGCGATTTTAATTAGAATTAAATTATGTTGCGCCGACTAACCCTCTAAGTAGAGTTTACATACAGTTTCTTCAAAAAGGGAGCAAAGATAATAATGAGCACAACGTTATTTTAGGATACATTTTCTCATCCTTGCAGTTTCTTCTTGAACATTTTCTGAATTTTGGCAAATATTTTTTGGAGGGACTCTGTCTTCACTGGATGAGAAAATCTGCACTGTTGGGGATTTATATGTATTTTAATTTTTTTTTGTCGCTGGGACCCCTGACCCCCTCCCTAAAATTTTAGAGGTTTTGAAATTAGTTGTATCAAAATATGGACTTTCATGAAAATCCACAGAAGGGCAGGAAAAGCCTTTTTCTAGGACAATACCTCTACTAAATATTTGCTTTAACCAGCCAAGAAAGAAACAATTTGTCTTTTTCTACCAAAGTCAAAATGTTCCCTCAAAGTTGCAATTTCCGTGGGCATCCCTTGTAACTTTCTTCCTGGACTCCTACACTATTCACCTCCAGTTCTGTGCATACAAAGCTTTAAAAATGTAAAAAGACACAATTAAAAATAAAAACACCAAAGTCCATCAAATCAAAAGATTGAAAACTAGGATTTTACCTCTCGATTTTTTAGGTACTCGAAAATATCCATGGCATAGCAAGACACTTGGAATGGGTCACGTAAATTTTCGCTATCAAAATCGTTCACGCCCTTCGGCAGTCTGCTGGCAAGGTAGTCCTCTTTTGCCTCTTCCTTGATCCCAATGTTCTTTGCGGGTTCTGCTTTTAATCTAGCTTCTGCACTCTCCACTTTTTTCTCCACGGCCTCCGCAAGCTCGGTCTTTATTTTTGGGACTTCTTCAATTTTTTCCATAGATTTGCATTTGATATCCTTCGTTAAAGATTCGTCAGAACTGGAATACATAATTACACTGAGTTAAGAGCAGAACATAAAAATGAAAGTTGAAATAAATTCAGAATGGTTACTGACATGCAAGGGTCAAGAAAGTCCTTCAGGACAAAAAATAGTCGTAGTCATGAGTATTAAAGAATTTTCTCACCCAACAAACAGGTCTCAAGTATGAGTCGAGCTAAAAACTTGAAAAAATCAGTTAACTTTGTCTCAAGTTTTACTAATTAAAAAAGGGAAACAAAAATGTTTTCAATGAAAATGATTTCACACGGCTCGACTAATTCCATGGCTTCCCCAGCTTAGAACCTTCAGCACCTTTACTGACATTCTTCGAGAGAGGAAAAAAAGACAAGGAAGTAAAGACACGCTATTTTAGAAGCACTTTCTCTCATTCTCAAGTTTGAATTTTCATTGCTATGACCCTGACCCTTTCCTTTACAATAAACTGAATACTGTTCTACATGTAAGTGATAAATTGGCAATGGCATGTGGCCAACCTTATGGTTTATACAAGATTGAAGAGGGCTCCGGGATACGGGCCAGTAAAACGTGAGTAACTCCATCTGGACAAGCAAGGAGCGGCCGTTGTTGCTCAAAATCAACTTTAATTTAGCAAGAACCTGAACTACCTTGTGAGACATTTTACTTAACACTTTGTATTCTCTAGAAACAATCAATTAGGGGTAGAGAAAACTTTATTTCTCAATATTTTAAAAACCCATTTCTTCCTAAAATTTTCAAAGCTATGACTTTTTTTGGTCCTTAATTTGCCGGAATTGTGAAAAAAACACCCGAGTTTCACCTTGAATCTACTTATAAGAAACATAGAGATTTTACCGTGGTTTTAACACCATTGCAAGCTACCCATCCCATTTTTGCATGTACCCGTCCACACAATCACAAAATTTTTGTACCCTTGGAAACATTAAATCTTGATTAGTTCTAATATTAAGGAAGCATACTTGACAATGCTGTTGGAATGGGAATCCTTGAAAGTTACGTAACAGAACTCACATTGTACTTAATTGGTTTTTTTCTGAAAAATACCAACAAATGTTCCAAAAATGCTTGCATCTTATTTCAAACTTTGCTGTTGTAGCACTTTAAACTGAAGCATTTAACCTTCCAGCTGTAGCATTGCAAACTTCACTGCTTGTTCACCTTTTACGCTGTTTTCAGAACAGCCGTGATTTTTCGCAATTTGACTTGAATCGCTCTCTGCCTTAAAAAACAGATACTTTTATTTGGTTTCCAAAACAAGTAAACAACCTATAAAATGAGTGACAGGTACTAATAAATGATGTATTAGAACTTGCAGTTTTGTCTGAAAGCCGGCAGTTATTTTTTAAGGTAACTTACAGTGACTCAACAGCAGACTCATACAATGAAGCATCAGAGCTCTTCTCCATGTTAGAAAGCCGCTTGCCAACAGAGCTCCGAAGTGAAGCTTTCGTGATACCCGCCTGCTTCGTAACATCTTCAACTTTAGCCTCTTCTTTCGTCTCTCTTGTTTTTGCTTCAGCTTTCTTTGCAGGTTGAGCAAACTGGTTTTCGTTGGTGCATTTTTGTTGTGTCGAGAAAGTAGGTCTCAGATAGTTTGGCACTCCTTTGTTTTCTTTGTTTTTTGGAGCTGCGGTATGACTGACGTTGGTGGTATCCTTCAAAACAGCTTTCGTCTCTTTCAACCCTGGTTTGCCAGTTGCTTTGGTGGGGCCTTTAGCCTGGAAAAAAAAAATTATAGTCTAAAACAGGATTGAATAAGTACAGTGCATACAGCAATAAAACAGCAATGATCGTAGGGACAAAAATTTTCAAATTTTCATGCTTAATTTTTCCAAAGATGAAATGTATGAAAAAAGAAATCATTGTGCCTGTTTAAGCTAGAAGTAACAATTTATTCATTTTTTTATCTCTTTTAAATTCTTTTAAATATCTATTAAATCATTATTCGATTTCTTTAAAATTTCATTGTTTGGCCTTCATACGAGTTGTCCAAAAAGCGCATCAGGAAATTCTAAGAAACAGATACTGATAATATAAAAAGTTTGTTTTGTCATCATTCACCAACCACAAAACCTTAGTAAAAACTACATACAATAAGTTCTACATATGGATTACATTTTGCAATAAGGACCCATCATTCTGGTTCTACCACAAAAGCACATATTTGCATGGGAAACCAATTTCATGTATGTTGTTTCTAAAATGGGCCAGAAATAGTGGTTCCTTAATGCAAAATCCAGTCCATATGGTGTTGTGAAACCATAAATTTGTGAGACACTGACAGAAACAAAGACACCGGTATTAATTGAGTTATTTCTTCATTTTTGCTATGTAGCCTATGCCAGATTACAGACTGAAACGTGTAAGTAATAAATGGGTCATGCAAATGAGTGAGAAAAAGCTGAGATTGATAGAAAGTTCCTGGGAGCAGAGAGTTAAAGCCTATGGTTCATGAGAAAAAAGGCACATGCAAAATTACTATAAGATGGTTATCTAGACTGAGTCCAGATTCAGATTCACTTATTAATCAGAAAATTACATAAGGTTTAACAGGAAGAAACAAAGTTACTTGAAGATGGAACTTGGGAAAAGAGATTTCAAGTCATAAGCGTTCCTTTGTGAGACTCAATGGTGGAGATTAAGTTCAACAAATATTCTTTATCAACTTAAATGGTTTGACAGGAGTAAAGGCGGCTAGTCAAACTCAAAACTTCTTGTAACTCATCTTTTTCCTAAGTGGGATTCGGTTTTTTTTCTGCTCAATGCAATACATCTGTCCAAAGTAACCAAACCTGCCTGTCAAATCATAATCATACTATAGCACAGTAAAAATGTTCATCTATAGCACTTCCTTTGCGCACAAACTGGGACTCTCCAACCAGCACTAATTCTTTAATTTCCAAGCCATTTCTGCTTGAAATTCCTGGAAGATCTCAAGATATGATCTATGGTGTGTCCCAAACAAATCCGTTACCTTCAAAGATTGTCAGCCCAGCAATCTTTAAAAGGCAATAGTCAACAATTCCATCAATGAGCTTTCTGAAGCCCCCAGTTTGTGCGTGGAAGTGGCGCATAAGGAATTGGTAGATAGCCCGAGAGATAGAAGTGAGAAGGAAGAAGATTAAAAGCCAGGTAAGTGAAAGGTAAGGGTGAGTGAAAAATGCACATAAAAACACAGATATATACATTTGTGATATCTACAAAGGCTGATCGTTTTGTGAGGCGGCCTTTAGGTGGAGATGCTTCAGCTTTCCTCTTGGTGTTGGGATCAAAATTTTCTCCTTTGGATACGCCAGCTTTGCTCCGAGTCATGATGCCTTTCTTGACCCCTGCGGTTGGCATCCTGGTCGTCTGATTTTCTTTCTGAAGGAGAGACATCTTCGAATTCGACTAGAGGAGAATAAACAAAAATTAAATTAGCAGGAAGAATCAGCAATTTTAGAAAACACCAAATTAAATTTACTTACAGCTTGATTCATCATGGTCACATAAAAAATCTGCATGTCGTAATACTAGTACTTACTAAGACATATATTTTTAATGAGTATTAGTGAACAAGAGCTGGCTCAAAATATGTTGAGAAAAATTTGACGTCTGCTAGTGTTGAATCAGCATCACTTCCCAGCTCAATGCATGCGTTCTGATGACACTGCTACTGAGAAGTAGCAAAAACAAAATTTACATTTGGTCTCGACACATGATGAGTGAACTCTGTCAGATGCATTTTGGCTGCACAGTCATGAAGTAATTGAGAAGTCATGATACTCATTTCATTCACTTTCGTCTTGATATGCCTCATTGAGTTTTGCCTTACAAAGCATAGGTATGGGGGTCTAAAAGGACCAACAACAATACATCAAGCTTCTCAATATGTACTGATACATAATTGGTAATATAAATTACATCACTAAGTAATGATTTGTACTGGAATTTGATGACTGCATGAAAATTGCTGACTTTCAACATTGATGCAACTTGAGACTGAAGAGACTTGAGGGTGAATTAACATTTTAAGGGATCAAACTTTATTTCAGCTCCACAATTCAACTAGACTTCTACTATGTTGAAGCCGGTATGGTGCAAACAAGTCAAATATATATGCGCTCACAAGCATAAAAATATTAGAAGATACCTAATGGGAAATCAGAGGAGTTGCCAGCTGAGGTTGCTATCTATGATTGAAAATACTGGGTTGAAATGTTGGATAGAAAATAGGAGGTTTCTCAACGTAAACGGACGAAAATTAATATGAAATTGATCCTGATTTTGGCATGGTTTGGAAATTTAGGTTCCACCAAATGCTGAAGTACTTGCTCAGGAGATGCGACAAGCTTCAGTGTAACTGACATGCGAGCTCCTGAGCCCTAAACATTAAGCTTAGTAAGAAAATAATCAAGCACTAATCTTTAATGAATACGTACTTAAATCAAAAGCAAGGAGTTAAGTTTTGAGTGGACAGGGATCAGACTAATTGTTGAAATCAGGTACATAAGATATCTGATATGTACTCGAAAAACACAGATAAGTGAGACAAGGGACTCCATTGCTTTTAGAGCAAAGCTTGGTGGCTTTGGAATGAGTGAAGAACTGACGGGTCAATACTTAGCCCGGATCGGAAATAAAATTTAGAGAGGCGAGAAACAAAGGGAATAAACGATTAATGAAGAAATAGTTTTGAATGAGAGATAGAACGTGAGCGCTCTGTTTAACTTTGAAGGAATGTGAGGAAGCATTGAGGCAAGATTCCTCGCGGAATAGGATGATGGTACTTACGGAAGATGAAGATCAATTTTCCATGCACTGAGAATAAATTATTGAGAAATGATTAGGCTTGAGAATTCTGAAGCGCGGCACTTAAAAACTCCTGGAAAATGTGATTGAATAAATGAAAAAATGTCAAGGACCTACATCGAAAGAAGATAGGCCAGTTGGACGGAACGATGTCGAGTCGAGAGCCGTTACGATTACTGCGCTTTTTCGAATACTGGAAAAATCAAGCAATTTGATTGGCCGCTCAAGAAAACCACGCTTTGTCTCCAGAACGTACAGTAAAAATTGTAACGTTTTTATGACTCAATTGATTGTAAAGTAATGAACAGATTAGAGTTTAGCGCCAGACATCTTTTATAGGGTGGAAAACAAAAAAACATAATTTATTATTTATCGCAGTATATATTTTCTCCATTAAGCTTCAAATGATTTTAAATAATGTTCCTTTAACATTATGCCATTTCATGCATTTAGGTGTGCCATAGTTTTTATTGGTTGTATAAGGTAACATTGGACTGGTTTGTCAACAAAAACAAAAACAAACCGTTTTTTCTTGGTTAGGTTCTCCATGGTTCTTCTCCCTAACAATGTGGAGTGGGGTGTGGAAGTGAACTGATCATTTAAAATCTGTGTAAAATACTATCCATATATTTTTATTCTTTATGTTTTGCCTTTTTTATCATAATTTTTACCATCGTATTTTTATGACTTCTGGTCCTAGCTCTCTCTTGATTTATCAACGTCTGGTTGTTTCATTTTGTCCCTTTACTCCAGTTCGTCTAATCTCTCACCATGAATACCAGCGTCTTCCAAGTTTGTTATGTTTCCTCTCAGAATTGTTTTATTTATCTCCCGCAAGTGTCATTCAAGCACATAATCAAATCCGACAACAAAATTAAGGTGAGCTTATTTTATTTTCATTCTTAATGGAATCATGTATCTACATTTTCTACCTACTTGGATTGATAGCCGATTCCATTCTTTAATGTGTATATTGTTGTTTGTAACTCCATACAAAGATGTTGACTATTATTTCATGAATTCCATACTTTAAGCTCTTATCGAACGTTGGAATCAAAGTCGATAGATCCGCGCCAGTCCGTCAGGAAAGTTGAGTGTGATAGGTAATCTTTGGAATACGACAGCGAGGGCTGTCCATTTTGCCAGAAAATTTCCCCGAGTTCCTCGTCTTACACTGCTGTTCCCCCAATCTGATGACATTTGTGTTATGCAGATTGGGGGGAACTATGCAATGTAGCAGTGCAAATTGGGGAAACTTTGAAAGTAGCGAGACAGCAAATTGGGGAAACTTCGAAAGTAGTGAGACAGCAAATCGGGGGAATCAGTCGCAGGATCAGGAAATCTCAGAGAATATCTTGTCGTCGGACTGACCTACATCTATTAAGCTTATTTAGAATTCAATGCCAAGCAAATCTCTGAAGACGTGAATCTTATGTTTCAACCAGATTTTAAGCAACATGAATCGGTCAGATTTTGAAAGAGTTTTTCTGTCTTTTGAGGCAGCTACCTCAGGGTACTCTTTTTTACAATTACTCTAATTTACTCAATGTGTCTTTCCCACGAAAGCAAGCTCCAATTATTTTACCCATCTCTTTTTCAGGTCTTCTCTGTCCGCAGATTTGACTCTGATGAAATCACACCCACAGCATATTTCAGTGGACAGTTGTCAAATTCTCTTCCTGATGGATGTATTGGCTTAAACCCTGTTTACGCTAGATTATTGAATATCCCAGAGAAGTTATCGGTCTGTGTGTCAGAGGTAACACATTTTGTATCTGTTGCGAAGGCCTCTATCACTCCATTGACACCAGATGACTATGATATTTTGGTAAGTAGTCCTCTCAGTTCAAGGTCCATATTTTTTTCCTTTTTTTTCTGTTATTCAAGGGGGGTGTAGTATAGGGTCCTAGTATAGTTCACTTTTAAAATTTAGAGGTCAATTTTAATGCACACATGTCTGATTCTTGATGGTTTTGAATGAAGTAGGCCAACTATGCTTTACCTACCTAAGTATATAAAAGTTTCAATTTTAGATTAACTCTTGTCTAGTTTTTCTTTTATTGTAGAGTCAGGCCTGAAGGGAAGTCTATGGCTTTTCTTTTCTGCACCCTCCCCCCCCCCTTCAATCCACTGTTATTTTTTACTCATTGGAATCCTACTGTATCTGATAATTATGAATGTTTGTGTGGAAAGAATGCCTGCTCATTTTAAATTTTTTGTGCTCAAAAACTTTCTCCTGAATTCAGGAAAAAAGCTTGAACAGTTAAACATATAAAAATGTCAAGGGACAGGGTTTCTGAACATCTGGCAGAAGAATTAAGGAATCAAAATTTAATTGAGAGCAACATCTTAAAAATCAAAAGAAAGTCTCCTCAGTCCATTCAAATTAAACCTTCAATCAAATTAAAAAATGAAAATAGCTTAAACTTCATTACAGTCAGGTTCCTTTCTTTGAAATAACCAGATATTGAATGCTTAATCTAGTCAGCCCTTAAGTAAACGTTAAATGATCCAGCTCATAATCCATTGCTATCTAGCTGAATAAGGGGGGGC